GGGCAGGTTTTTTGACAAGATGCTTCGTCGCTTAGAAAACAAAACAAAAACAAAAGGAGCATTCTCTCAGTGGGAGCACGCGTCCCAGTTCGCTGTCTACTTGAAATCCCCCGGCTGTCCGTCTTAAAAGTCTCACCTCTCGTTACGCCGCGACCCCGTCTGACCTCCCGGCTAACCACCCGTCCGGTTCAGATAGCACAAGGGAGGCTGAGGTTGGTCTCAGGCCGTGTCTAAATGCACTTGGCTCAATGACGGACGAGGTGGGATGCGCACGTTCCCGCTCCGGCCGTACCCAACATCATTTCACTCACACACACACACACACACACTGAGCCGGCTGCCTTCAGCTGCTTGTGGGCCTTTAAACCACACCACAGGAGACTGGTCGCTTGCTGAACAAGACACGAACGAGACAATTCACACCTCGCTCGCTGTTCTGAAGAACCGACTCCTCACAGCTCTCGTGAGGCCTCTTGTGACCGTCGGGGGTTATTCAACATTTTGCTTATTTCAAACAAAATGAGGTGAACGGAGCGGCGCAACGGGTGATTAAAGCCACATTGTGGAGTCGCAAAAGTGAAGGTTAAACGGAGGTGAAGTCAAATGGGAGCTGCGAGATGCCAAAATATGTTTCTTATTGTGAAAGAGAGAGTTTTTTTCCCCCAATTCAAAAAGGCTGATAAAACCTCACCCAAAACAAGTGACTCCCTAAACTGATCTCAACGATTATCTCCTAACGAATCTTTCATTTCGCAACTACGGCGGACAACTAAAAGAGGGCTCAGGCCGAAGAAACATGGTCAGCGTTTTCCGGCTCCAGGTGTCGCCCACATGTGTGCGCAGGGCCGTAATTAGTGGAGCCCCAGAGCTGCCGGCACACTAATGAGGCCCCCGCTCTCCAACAACACACATGTGAGCGAAGAGCGCCGTCGCTGCCAGCTGGCACGCGGTCTCACCCGGTCCCTCCAAAGACATTCTTCTGCACTACCTCCAGAGCGCACACACCCACCTAAACAAAAAACAAAACAAACAACAACCCTGTTGACTTGCTGAATCCCCTTCAGACTTCAAAACTCATCCACGGAGCTTCTTGACCCCCCCCCCCCCACCACCCCTCCGGCTCTTTTCTCCAGCAACCAGACAGACCCACATTCGCTAATTCATCCTCCTGTCTATACATCAAAAACCTGAAACCCGTCGCTGGACCGTCTCTTGGTTTACAATGAAAATAAGCACATACGGGAGTTGGGGGTCACGAAAGCACAGCACCGGTGGATCCTTCGTATTTGTGCCCCTGTGTGTCGGCCGTCTACAACCCGTTTGCCCCATTAGGAACGACTGCCCTCAGCTCGGCCACGGCCCTTCGAACTATAATCAACACTGGCAGCGGGGCAGCATCACAGAGAGCTGAAACATGCTGCTAGAGGAGAAGAAAAGGAGGTAGGAGAGGGTGTGTGTGTGTGTGTGGGGGGGGGGTCACAACATCTGGGCTGAGTTAACCACTGGCTATTACCAGGACCTGAAGCCAGGGTCAGATGAAGAAAGATACAGGGACAATGCGCCATACATGGGGGAGGTTTGGGAAAGAGGGGGAGTATTCAGAAGTAGGTGAACCCCATGGGTAAGACGAGGGGGGGTCAGAAAAAGTAATTGAATTGAACTGTTAATTACATTTTGATGCGGCACAACGCAATCCGACGTGTCAATCCAAGCTCTGACTAATAAGAGGTGACATAAAACCATATTATTCTCAGCCAGGAGATCAAGGTCAAAGGTTAGAGGGATTACAACGGTTAGGTGGGGTTCAACCTACTAATTGGCAGCTTGACCTTTGCAAAAGGGAGATATTTCTGGCCAGGTGTTTTCGTCCGTCTTTATTAAAAAGAATTGAGATTCTAACCACAGCGGACGGAGTGAGTGCATCATGGTGTTGCTACAAAGAGAAACAGTTCCCAAAAAATGTGCTTCACGTGAATATTTTACACTTCCTGCTGTCAAACATTCAGCGAGATGATACGTAAAGGAGAGAACGCTGCTGTGTGTGCAAAAGTACATTTCTACGATGTCATGTTTACAGTTGGAGAGAGAAATTGACGTTAAACACACATTATTCAGCAACACCACCAAGCAGAAACAGAGCAGTGAGCGAGACTGGCCATTAAATCACAGAGTTATCACGAGTGGTCTCGTTCCTGCCAACCTGCATGATGGGCTGTGTACGTGAATAGTAAAACACAGAAGCATTTTTGGCTCGGTTTAAGGTAAAAATGTTGCAGCTTGAGTGGTTGGAATGTGTGGAGCTGAGCATTGAGTAAAGGCTGGGACATATTCTTGGAAACAGCCCCCCCGCTCTTTACAGACTTTATATTTTTCATTTCATAATGTTGACTTTCTTCCTACGGCGTTCGTACTAAGCATTCGCAAAACTCTTAACACGTTTACAGGAAACAATAAAATTAGTAATGAAGCTTGAAATATCTCGTGCTCAATGATCAACACATCTTGGTTTACATAAAACTCAAATTCATAGAGAATAGACTCCAGTGGAAATACCATAAAATAAATAGAATAAAGAGGCAAAAACACACAAATGGACTTTTTCCACGTCTCATCATCACTCTGCGTGCTTCTCCTTCAAGGTTCTTTTTCTTCCACTCAAAGGAATTCAAAGACACGTAGATAACGCAGATGTTTAAACAAGGTTTATTTTTCCAGTATTAAGAAATATAGAACTGCCCACATTAACACACACACACACACACACACACACACACACACACACACACCTACCAGTGAGTGCAGTCTGTGTAATTTATGGCGGGACATAAAAGATAGTATCAATGGCTGCTCTCAGCCCCCCCGCTCCCCCCCGGCAGTGAAACCGCTGTGCTTTTCCTTGGCCCGGCCCGGCCTTCCCTCCACGAGCACAAATCCGTTCCAGCCCCTGGTGCTCTCTAATTTCACCCGAAGCAGCAGAAGCTTGAGCTGAGAAAGCCCCCAAGTCCAGCAAAACCATTCCCGTTTTCCCCGTCTCCCTCCTCTTCCAGAGACCGCAGATCGACGGCGAAGCACCGGCCCCAAACTATGAGGGGTATTTTCAGCGCTGTAATTTGAAGTGCACATGGTGCACACGGAGAGACACGCGCTCGCATATAGATCCCCGCACTCTGCGAATACGCGGACGGATCAAAAAGGGTGCAATAACACAGGGGAAGAGGGGACAGAAATGGCCAATAAGGCACGTGTGTGTCCTTGCATCCCATTAGGATCAGGCCCTTTTCTCTCCCTAGGGTGCTCGGGCCGGGCTACATAGAGATGTGAGAGAAACGAGAGGCCTGTGTAGGGAGCTACGGCCATGAGGGCACAACCCAGAGGAGAAGAACAACCACTAAAAACGGAGACGTAATAATGTTGTATATGGTTCTTGAGGACTTGCTCTGCTTAAAATTTATACCTGCAGAATTCATTTAGAGTCTATTTTAATCAACACTAATAACACAACGTATTGACATTCAGCTCAGATGTTGATGGTCAGACTGGAGGGCGAAAAAAAGTGTCATGGAAAACAGACAGCGAAACCAAACTAAAACCTGAAGTCTACTCCTCAGTTGTGGGACAGGGAGCGAAAGGACGCCACATGTACGGGCACACCCCACCCATCCCACGCCCCCCGTGCCAACTATCAAACGCCACCCGCCTTCAAGCTCGCGCGTGTGCGTGCATACATACAACACTTGATTACAGATGCAGAATATATACTGCTCCGCCTGCCCATCACCTTAATTACCCTGCACAGCCTTATTTCCCATAAACACGGCGGGGGTGTCATTAGGGCCCATCTTTACCCCCACCTGGATTGAGGAGAGCCCAGTTCGGTGCCAGCCACAGTGATGAGCCAGCCCCACCCCACTGACACGGGTGGAACCGGGACACCTGTGGCCCAGCTCAAGTGAGGTGGGGGTGGGTGCTGGGCACAAACCACAGGGCTTCCTAATAACCTACCCTCCAATCATCTAATTAAAGTCGGCATATTGTTGTTGTGACAGTTGTGCGTCAAGAGCAAATGACATCACAAACCTCTGAAACAAGTGCGCCTTTCATGGGAGGCGCGGAGACAACGATGCATCAACACACAAATAAATCCTCCTCCTTCCTCTGTACGCGGCAGACGTGCTCTGCAGGTAATTCTGTGGTTCCGAAAAAGTAATCTGCCGCAGGGCTTGTGGTGTTTTCGCAGGATTCCTCATATTTACAAAACGTGAGAGCCCACGGCTCAGAAGGCAGGCCGGGCATCTCGCTGATTAAGACACGCTGGGAGGTCCACCACGGAGAACTGTGAGAATATTTGCGCCGCATCGAACCGGCCTCCACCCCCCCCCCCCCCCCCCACGCACACAAACACTCCAGCGGTCCACTTCCTCGTTGCTGCCGGTGGGGACGGAGCCTTATTGGCTCAGGCTTGGATTTATCGCTGGTGAGAGATTTTCCAACGAGGAAGGGACAGCGCGGTGAGAGCGGAGAGGTTCATGGTCGGTTTGTGTGGGATGAGCAGCCGTGGGAAGAGGCGAGCAGGGACTGCAGCTTGTGTAGAACATCCATAAATCAATAGTAGATGGATGACCGACTGGTGAGTAGAGTTACTCTCAACGTGTTTATTACTCAATGCAGTTTGGGGAGAGAAAAAAAGAAAAACACGCACTGACGGGAGATTTTTCCTCTTTGCTTTCCTTAAATATAAAGTTATGTCTGGACTGAATAAATGATTTTCTAAGCTGCATACAGAGAACGAAATGAGCACCTAACTGCCAAATACACGGTAAATATTGGCTGGGATTTTGGGACAAGATTGATAGGCGTTCCTTAATTAATACACATAAATATAGCTTTTTTTAGAGCAATATACGGATGAACACTTTCTCATTTTGTACCCTGATTTCCCTGTTTTGTAAGAGTATTTTGCAGGATTTGGAGCAGTATGAGGGCTTTTTTAGTGAACTTACCTGAACAGGTGTCAGCTGGGCTCTGGGGTCAAACACTCGCAGCATCTTGTCCTAAACAAAGAAAACAAACAAGGTAAAACATACATATATGTTTCATACGTGTATATGTATCCATATACACCACACACCAAAACTGGAATGGGATGGAAAAGAATAAAAACACATTTTAAAAACACTCACAAAACAGAACCCCCCCCCCCCCCCCCTTCGTATGATTCACTTTAAGAAGAACACAAGCGCTCTGAAGTTTTGCCATTCATCGGCGTGATCCCACTGATTCATTGATGGCGAACGCAATCCGGCGAACCCTCCACAGTCTCACTTTGACCCCGGTCAGCCCAAACACGCATTTGGCATCAATCACGGCAGCCAATCAGAGAGCCTCCCGCATGAATGAGAGGAAATGGGGCCTAATGGGATCAGGCTGTTTCCGGGACGTGCGTGTCTGCAGCCGTGTCACTCAATACCGCCGCGTGATCACAGCAGACATACGGGGCTGATAGCAGCTAATAACCACGAGGACTTTGACTAAACCAAGCGCACACTTAACTCACATATACACGTCAGAGCGAATCAGGGGGCTGACAATGAGGCAGGCAGGCAGTCAACCACACACACACACACACACACACACACACACACGCACGTGTTAAAACTGTCCAGGTTTATTTCACATTGCAGTGTGGATGAATGACACTAAGTTGACAAGAAGTAAACACGGACCTGAACTGTGGCTTATAGCAACGCAATTTCGTTGAAACTGTCTAAACAACGTCTTACACAATATATGAAACCAATATTGAAGCAAATGATCACCGTGAGCAATTAAAAGCAAGCTAAGAGGGAGGTTTATATGCTGTTTATTAGATTTAATAGCAAACAGGGGGATTCTTAAGGTGCTTTTCTTCCTCTGTGCTTCCCTCTCGCTTTGTTTGTGTAGCTGCCCACCCACGAATCTGATGCCCCAAGGCTTCTTCTTGAGGCCTCCGTGACCTAGGCCTAAGCCAAAAGGAGTGGTGCCCAAACACACACACACACACACACACACACACACACACACACACACACGTTCCAAAAATGCCAAAATCTGAGTTCTGGTAAACTTTGGTTGAGAAACTTGACCAACCATTTTGGTAGGTAGGCAACTAGGAGGCAACTAGCCAGTATTTTCATTATCAATTAATCTGCTGATTATACCAATGAATTTTTGTCAATACATGAAGTTTTGTCAATACAATTTCAGAAAATGTGTTGACATCCTTGAATGTCTTTGTTGTCAGGGAAAGAATTTAAAAGATAAAAATAGTTAGTTTTCAATCCTGCATGACAAAGAAAAGCATCAAAGCCTCAACTAGGCAAAAACAACTTTAATCCATGTTCTGACAGCTGACTAATTCTTAAAGCTCTACAGACTTTCAGTTGCTTGGTCTTGCGAGAAAAACCTTTAAATAACCCAAAACACACTTATTCACTGTGCATTTTGTATGTATATACAAACATGCATTCGCCATATCAAGTTCACTGACTGGCATGTTCAACCCAAGCGCTGATGTGCTAACGTCAACATGGAGGAAAGGATCTGGCCGTCCAAACACGCAGATGAGCGGCTACTCATGTACAGATGTGTGCATCAAGCAAACCTCACACACACACACACACACACACACACACACACACACACACACACACACACTATCTCTTAAGCCGATGATGATAACCCAGATAAACACACACACACACACACACACACACACACACACTATCTCTTAAGCCGATGATGATAACCCAGATAAACACACACACACACACACACACACACCACCTCAACTCATAAATGCACAGATGGAGGGCCAGCACAGCCGTGTGTGCATTTGTCCGCGTCTCTCCGAGGCGACAGCAGCTGTTTAATCAAAGTGACGGAGCCTCACTCTCAAGCTGCTGTTAATGAGTTTTCTCTGCGAGCTCGCTGCACACAACTTTCACATGTGTGCAAACACACACACGCTGGGAATCTCTCAACCGGGGGTTCTGTCTCTGCGATGCCAGCCTACCCTCCACAGTCTCCCACGGTTACCGCCGTCAGGGCCTGATCGGCGGTCTGAGACTGCAGGAGCCCCATCAATTATCCCATCTCTCTCTCCTCGCCAGCTGAAATGTTGTACGGGGTTGAGCTATATTGTGACATTTAAAATGCAAGGTGGACCGTGGAACATAAATCCAGCGACACCTCCCTTCCAAACGGCGTGCCGCGCGGTCCTGTCCATCACTCGCATAAACACTCGCCCCGCCTTAGATGAATGGCGCCTTTCTCCCTCCGCGTACGTCATAAATATACATCTCTCCGAGGCCCAAACGAGGCCTGTCACGATGCCTTCTCTTTAGGGTGCAAGTCTCCCCTTCACCCCCGGCCCCCCCCCGGCCCCACACCCTAATGTTTACCCTATGGGAAGGCCGAGGGATTGGACACACATGTTGGCAGGCCGTGTTTGCTTTATTAAGGATTGGATTGGAGGGATTGAAAGGGTTCTTTTGGGTTAAATGACACCAGAGCCCCACAGGGCAAGAACCCCCCCCCCCCCCCCAGGGGCCCCTGGCTCTGATCTTGGCTCACATCCCCCTCCCCGCTTTTCTTCAGGTGCCTGTTTTTTTTTTTTTTGCAAGGGTTGATTGTAGCTCTGCCGCGGACGATTATCATGTCACGGTGAGCGTCCACAGTGACGGGTGGAGCAATTTGTTTCTTGTCAGCGTGAAGACAAACAACAGGGATCGGACTGACAATCATACCCGTTAATTACCCACATGTGGTAGATTTGTGTGTCAAAGTGTATCCGTCTCAAAAAGGCAAATAAGCTCATCGTGTCTAAAGTATACGACAGAGAGACCTCTGCCTCATTTGAACACCAATCAGTCCGTTTCTGCTTTAAAAAGGCTTTAAAAAAAACAGGGAGAACTTCACTGTGGCGCCCTATCAGTGAGAAACTGCAATAAATGAATCTTGTTAACATCTGCTAATGAATACGTCCCTCCTATGAATCAAATATATTCACGAAGCAACATAGAGTACACTCATAAATTCCTCTGCGCCCTACTCATAAACCCGTACCACCTCCCTACCAGCGAGCCCATCCAGCTGTGTGATTACTTCCTGATGACACAGACACGAACGGGGGCGAATGAATGCATTAAACCCTGAGGGATACTTTTCTCTTCCTGTGGTCTTCAGGTCCTGATTAGACGTAAACTTGCCCCAGCAAAGAGGAACACAGGGTGTGTGTGTGTGTGTGTGTGTGTGTGTGTGTGTGTGTGTGTGTGTGTGTGTTGGGGGACACGGGGGTCAGAGGTCAGGTGGGGTTGAAGACTAAACAAAATGCGTTGCGTTTATCGTTACACGCAGGCTTGTTCCGTTGTAAGTGACCACATTAACAAGTTGATAATACGGAAGTCTGCACTGATCACCTTATTAACCGCGGAAAACATTTCCTTCTTCTCCATCATTATCACCGCAATAAAAAAAAAAAAACTGGTTATTATCTTTCAAAGTTGATTATTTTTGCTCTTTGCTCCCTATTTTCCAATCGAATTCATGATGTGATCCCCACCCTTTTTAACAATGATTACCTAGGTTGACTTTTTAATGAAATGAACCCATATAAAACAGAGCAGCAGTTTCCAATGTGAGGCACGCGCCACAAAGTGAGCCGCTGGCTGCATCTAGTGGTCACAAACTGCTACTACTGCGGTTAGACCAGTACAAAGAATGAGGTTGAGTCCTTCAAAACAGCTTTCTCATTAACCTGCTTTAAAATCAAGGGTGCAGCCATGCACCTCATTGCAGCATTTACATGTGTGCTGCGGTGCCACTTGTTATTACCTTGCAGGAGGAAGCCAGCAGGGAACCGTCCGGTTTCCAGCTCAGACTCTGCAGCTGGTCACCGTGCTGCTCCAGAACTGCAGACACAGACATCATCATTTAGAGTGGAGCGATCGGGGAAATGTCTACAAACACAATGTTCATATTAGACATGGACAAAAAATAAAAAAATTAAAAAAAAGGTAAGATGACAACACACACGAATGACGGCACATTTACGGACAAGACAAAAGGACGCGACAGAAAACATCGGGGAGATCACTGCAGGGGAAGTGCGGGGGGGGGGGGGGGGGGGGGGGGGGGGTGAAGCGATAAATAAAGCGCGTACAATTGAGATAAACAAGAGTGGATCCCGTGTCCTTACGGGTTGGAGCCCAGGAGAGAAACCAGAGGTACGACACGCATGAGGCTACAGCGCCGTTAAGTGAACACAGCTTGTGTGAATCGTTCAATATGACGGCAAATAGGTGAAGAGAGATGAGAGGTGGCCTTGGTAAGACGGGTAAACAAAAAGTGATTTGCTATGAACTTCAAAAAGGAGAAGAAAATATGCACTCATTCAAAAGGTAGATGTTTATCACACAGTCCCTCAACCACATATGAACGAGCAACGAGGGTAATGAAAGGCAGCGCGTGGAGTGGGGGGGGGGGGCACAGCACATGAAAGGTTGGATCAGCAGTGAGCAGCAGCCAGGCCAGCTGTCATGGGGGGGGGGGGGGTTGTGTGTTTGTGGGTGAGGGGAGGCCAGAGGATAGGAACTGCATCCTGAGGCAAGTCCGAGGGAGACTCGGACCAGAACAACTGAAGACATTACCTCCGCTGCTCCAAGCACTAGACAGAGCCACAGGGCTGAAAACGTAGGAAGTGTCAGTCAGACCGTCCCCGACATTAGACAAGGAAACCAAACCACTCCACACACATAAAATCATGTTGCACGCAGAAACAACGAAGGGCCACAAGAAAAGACAGAGACTCAAATGTTAAATACGGACGGACACGGCGTGTAATGTGTGACGCTTTGTTTTAAACACAGACAGCAAACCCAGGAGAGCGCTGCTCGGGTCTCCCCGCTGCAGATACCTGCTAGTGGTGTGTCCTGGCGGCCCGCGTCCCATATCAGGGGGACCTTGGTGGCCCCCACGGCCAGCAAGCCGGAGGAGGTCGGGTGGAAAAGCACCAGCTCCAGCCTGCCCTGACCTGGACGCAAGGTCAGCTCCGGACTGCTGGGCGGCTGCAGCTCTGGATCACACAAACGCCACAACTTCACCTGAACACACGCGCACACACAGAAAGAGAGAGAGAGAGATTCTAATTTAGGGATCCAACAAGTTTCTGACTTTTCTCCATTGCTCTTCAACAGAATTCCCGCTAATTTGAACATTGCATGGAAATGGTGACAATCTTTCTGCCTCGACAGCATTTATTTTTATTTTTTTAGCCACACCAGGCAAGCCGGAAGAATCCCGAAAGGCGCGCGTCTCTAAACGTCAAGATGCAGCGTCGCAGCCTGACGAGAGCTGGTGCGAGTCTCTCGCCGCTACAGCTAAAAGGGCGACAGAGAACTGCGTTTACTCCGGTCTGAGGTTCAACTGCGGATTTCTCGCTGATGCTGGTATACGAGCGCGGATGGAAATGGAAAAGCATTCATTTTAGATTAATTTTGAAACACTCGTGAAACTAAGTGCATTCACTTAGTTTCACTGAAACAATATACTGTGCAGGCAACGGATCAGAGGGATGAGGGAAGCTCGCCGCAGACGCTGCCTACCACTCCGGTGTGTGTGTGTGTGTGTATAGTCGGCTCTGTGTGAGGCAACCGTTGTGTGTATTTTCACTGCTCCCTCTGGTAAACCGAGCTGCCCGGTCCGAAGAGGCAGACCCGCTCTCAGCAGATTCCAGTAAGCTCGGGCACCTGTGGCTGAGGATAATGCGCCGGGAGGACGGACCCTTCCAAAAAGGTTTGAATAACACAAAATGGAGCCAGTTCATATCCTCTTCAAAGCGCTGCCAGGAAAAGCAAAGCCTGAGAGGATGGAACGTGGACCAATGTTTATGTAGCCAACAACGAGATCAATACGGGGGAAAGAGAGACGAAATCTCACCGTTTCATCTCCGGAGCACGTTGCCAGGAGACTTTCATCGAACGGAGAAAAGTCCATATCAGTCACCAGATCTGACAGCAGGGAAAACAAATGGAAAACAGTATGTTGTTGTTGTTTTTTTTTAAATAGATCTGGGTCGTAGCTGTCACACTTATTTTCAGAACAAAGACATGAGCATTTGCATTTGTCCCTGAGAAGTTGTGCGTAGGAAAGGGAACAAGGTGGAAGGAAAGGAGAGGACTGTGACGTGACGACTTAACAAACACTACCAGAATGGCAGGAGATCTGCGTGACTGTCCATTGGCCATCTGAGCCGGGTTTGAGGGAGGACAGGCCCAGCATGCCTCCGCCTGCGGACACAAACACAGAACATCACCATATTATATGATAGACAAATGAAATGAAACATCTTTCATACTAGGAAGTCTTGAACTTTCTGTCTGCGTGATGCAAACGTGTCTGCTGACCACGCTTTTGTAGCCTTACCGGCCTGCTCGGTGTTGAAGGCCACCAGCTTGGAGCTCGCTTTGATGTGGTTCCCCTGGCAGGAGAAGGAACCGGCTCGGACATTGTTGATCCATCCCTGGGATGAAACGAGGGTACAGTAATGCACATAAATAACTGGGGTCAGAAAACGTAACGGTGGAGAACAGAGACATTCAGAAAAACATAGTTAATGTTTCAGGATATTAAAGAGCCCACATGACCAAGTGGATGTCTCAACCGGAATAAAACAGGACAATAAACAGGAAGGATCAAGCTGAGAGCGCGCACACACACACACACCTCAGAATTAGCCAAGTGATGAGGAAGTGGAAGGGTATCCTGCATGTGTGTTACATAGCAGAGAACTCCTTTCAACATTAACAGACGAGAGCAGAAAGAGGCCCGAGAGTCGGCATCACGCTCCAAACGACCGTCAGCGACCAACCATGGCCGACCTTTGGCCCACATGGGGCACCTTAAGAGTATGTTGGGATAAGATATATAAAGAAATATGTACATCTAAAAAGGCAAGTGGGCAACAGACTTATGATAAAAGTATGAAGCCAAAAGTAAATAACGGTTCTAAACTTGATTTAACCACATGAAACGTTGCGTTTTATCAGTCTTTATCATTAGTTCTTACCTCGGCCACTGGCTACCAGCTTAGGTGTCTCATCCGCTTTCTGCCTAACTAACTCTCACACTAGAACCGGTACATGGTTCTCCATTATGACAGCACAGCACCATTTTCCTCGAAGAAGATTTTTTTTTTATATTACAGTCTTCCCTCAATATATCCATTTGGGTCGACATGTATAAGATCTGGTCTTTTTCTCTGGGTTAAAGAAGTGAACTGAACTGTTTCTGTGACAGACATGTCCATCATCCACAGATCCATGATTGGAAAAAGAGCCGTGACACAGAAAACAGTGATGGGGGGGGGGGGGGACTATTTGGCTTATCTCAATTAAATTAAACTACACTAATGACCCACTTCTCTTGGCTTTTCATCTCTCTTGAGCGAACGACATAATAAAAGTAGCTGCCTATCTATATTTCCCTCTTCATCAACATCATTTGACATCATTTGGCTCCCGTCACGTGACTAGAGCACCGGAATAGCCTCAAACACGCGCATTCTTTCTTTTATTGGCCCGTTGTGTGAAAGGCAGCAAAGCACCAGCTGCTGACTCACACGGGATTTGGAGAAAGACTCGTATCATCCATTCGAGTCTCCAGATACCAAACAGTTTATTAGGCTAAGTGAAGACAATGTATGGGGGATTGCATAATGCGCTTCCGCAAGGACAACTGGAAACATCTCGGGTCCATAGGGACCAGGGGGGGGGGGCATATTTGAAAGACAGACACCGCGGTCCCGTCCGGAAATGTCTAGTCTCGCAGCCGCCTACAGGGTCTCTATAGAGGGAAGCATCGCATTTGCCATTCAGATGATTTGGGGGCTCCTCTTTGCAGTCAAAGATTATGCAACAACGCGCGCGCTTATTATCTTTGAAACCGGTGAGAAATTCTGTCCGCGGACGTTAAAGTGGAAAAAGGTGTCTCGGTGATGGGCGCACCGCATCGTCAGTTCGTAACGCTACGCTAGCGCCTCCGTGCAAGCTCGCGGCTCATCGTTTTCTCCGCTAGCCGACAGTTCGTTCTGAATACCGGGTGTGTTCGTTCCGATGCTAGGGCAGTTATCTCGATACCAAGCAACCTCCCAGATGCAGGAAGTCCAACATCCCTTCTTGCAGCCAGGCGTTCCCCGAAACACAACTTAAGCGGCACAGCTAACAACAGAAGCTAACGTCCGCTAGGAGAACTCGCTCCCTCCAGACCGTCGTGAGCCAATTACTCACGTCTTTCTTGGCAATTTTCGGAGTGGTATTTTTGAATTTGGAGGTCTTAAAGCGATTCATGCTGCTCTCTCGAATTGACTTTCGTGCCTTCCGGGTGTCTCGGTCGAGCTGGTTGGTACTCGGCGCAGTGCTCCTGTTGCAGCTTGACAGTTCGGTTTGGCCGCACGGTGTCCGCTCGCTTTGCTCCACAGAGCTGTCCGCTCGGGCGGTGTCTTTTTTTCCCCCAAACGCTAGCGAACCCACCTGCTCTGTCATGTGCTGCCGTGGGTCTTAAAACACGAACATCCTTCTTTTGATTCATTCATCTGGTGGTCTTTAACTCTAAAACGAAACGGGTTGTGTTTTAATATGTTTAGTGGGTCATATGTGTTACCTATAAGAACCACTCCATTCGATTTTATACAAACAAACAAACATTTAAGATAAACTTTTTTCCAGATATTTCTTAAGAGAGCAGCATCTTGACTCTCGAATATCTTTGCACTCTCGGTAACGCCCACTCCCCTCCGCGCATGCGCAGTGACCCAGAAGCGGCGAGAAGTGAAGCAACCATGGCGTCCTCGGCTACCCGGTGCTCCTCACGTTGGATTACAGTCTTCGTGTCCTCTGGAAGATGCCAGGCCGCCGCTGCGGTTGTCTCCGCCGGGCACGGAGGTATCCGCAGCTTATCTACCGTGCGAGCGGAGACGCTGCGGTGGGGAGGGACCCGGCTGTGTGGTGGAACGGGTAAAGCGTTGACATTGAGAGGGCTGTCAGGTGAGTGGCGTATGGTACTGGCCTATGCTAAGCTAGGCTAACTGTCTGGTTTACCCTTGTGACGCAGGATGAAAACAACCAACTTCGTAACCAGATTATTTTTTTTCAATAATGCCCAAAGCTGCTGTTTGAGACGGAAGCGTTCGTGACACAAAACGGCATTCTCTTTTATGCACGCAGGGTCGGGAGGGTCGATGCAACGTTATGCAATCACATGTGAAAACTTTTTTGGATTTTTTTTCAAGTTGGATCTGCTGATGCAAGTGTTGCGTCGTATTCTGCGATCCAGCAGATTGTAACAGTGTTTCACCTTTTTATTCTAACGTAAAATCCTCTATGTGGCACCAAAGCCTGGTCCGGGTAACGAGCCAAGATCACCACTGGTTTTCTTCCCAGTAACTTTTTTGGTGTCGCTTACAGTCTCTAGCACATTTTTGAGTTCTTGCAAGAGAACTATCTTCCGTTTACACACGTTTGTTTTTTAAGAAGTCCCCCATGCAGATCAGGCGAACTGCTGGCCTTGTGATCTTATTGGTGCATTACTGTAACAGTGAATAGCAACGCAGACCTGACAAAACAGCTGCTCTGCAGTTCTAAATGCTTCCAACCCTTTTATCTATCTTTCATATTTCAGGTGTCAAATCGCCACACGCGGCCTTCGCGCTGCCCTTTCACACAAGTGCGGCTGATCGCAGCAAGCAGGACTTCTACCAGATCCTCGGCGTCCCTCGCGCAGCCACCCAGAAGGAGGTCAAGAAAGCGTACTACCAGGTCTGCTCCGGTCCGACGGGCTTTCCCAGCCTGCGTTGTCGCTCTCGGTCGTCATAGCAGCTGACCGTGTGTTTGTTGTCCCTTCAGATGGCCAAAAAGTACCACCCCGACACCAACAAAGAGGACCCACAAGCCAAGGAGAAATTTGCCCAGCTGGCTGAAGCCTACGAGGTTCGGTCTCCCTTTCGCTCGAGAATCTCGCTGTAGATTCTGTTTGTTTTATTGGATATCTGTGGATATCCATCTCTTCCAATTGAAACGATCTCATTAGAAAGACAAATGCACGTCTTCCAACGTCCCTCCGATGTCTCCCTCAGGTCCTGAGCGACGAGGCGAAGCGGAAGCAGTACGACGCCTACGGCTCGGCGGGCTTTGACGGCGGTCAGGCCGGCGGAGGGCAGCGTTACTGGTCCGGACAGGCCAGCAGCGTGGACCCCGAGGAGCTCTTCCGCAAGATCTTCGGGGAGTACTCGGGAGGCCGCGGCTTCGGAGACTTCAACGCCATCTTTGAGCAGCCGCAGGAGGTGAGCGGGATGGGACTTTTTCTGCTTCTCATTTTGTCGTTTTTCGATTTGAGATTTAAGAGCGTTTCATTTCTGACGCCCTCATTTTCTTTGGACGCAGTACTTCATGGAGCTGACCTTCACTCAGGCAGCAAAGGGAGTCAACAAAGAGTTTTCTGTTAATGTGGAGGCGGCGTGCCAGCGCTGCGACGGCAAAGGCAACGAGCCGGGCACCAAAGTCCAGCACTGCCACTCCTGCAACGGCTCCGGCATGGTGAGCGCTCCGACGCCTCCGCCTTTTGATTTCAAATCTCCAAAGTGCATCCGTTGTCTTCGTCTCGCTTCACACGTGTGCCGTCCGTACTGCAGGAGACTGTGAACACGGGACCCTTTGTGATGCGCACCACGTGCCGTCGCTGCGCGGGCAAAGGCACCGTCATTGCCACTCCCTGTCAATCGTGCCGCGGGGCGGGACAAACCAAGCAGAAGAAGACCGTGATGGTTCCCGTGCCCGCAGGTCAGTCTCACTTAGCCCACCGCCATCAATGTTTATACACACACACACAGAGGATTCCTTTTTCATCATCATGAAAAAGAAAAGAACATTCGCCAACTTCAGCTGCCTGTCTGTGCTAATGTTATAATGCACTCGAAGGAGCTCCGGGAAACAATGCATGCGATGGTTTTTGGATGTGCACGGCAACTGCACTTTGCTTTTCATTCCTTTTCCTGAATGTTTCTCAATCATTGCAGCTGTAGTTTACAAGAAATAAAGGTTAGGTTCATTATGCCAGAAATAAAGCAAATGTAAAAGTAATTGCACAGAAAATGACATGATACAATAAATAAGCTTATTCTGAGTTTAGACTCTTTTTTTAATTCTTTATGGCTTCTTTAAGATATGTTGTGTATCCCACTAACTGGCTTGTTTTGGCTCCAAGGAGTGGAGGATGGTCAGACAGTTCGAATGCCGGTCGGTAAGAAGGAAATCTTCATCACGTTTAGGGTGAGTATCTTCATCACCTCCCCAAGCCACGCTTTAAATGAGTTTGAGCCGCTGAGCTGTCTGCACTCTTTGTGATGCTCCGGTGCCCCGTGTGATCGCCTTGGACGTGTTTCTGGTTCGTATGTCCAGGTCCAAAAAAGTCCTGTGTTCAGGAGGGACGGCGCGGACATCCACTCTGACCTTTTCATCTCCGTGGCACAAGCGATCCTGGGCGGCGCGGCGAAGACGCAGGGCCTTTATGAAACACTCAACTTAACAGTAAGCCGACGAGCTCCTTCTCGGGCTTCCCTCGAGACGCAGCGGGCGTAATAAATGACCGGCTCTCTCCTCGTCCTCAGATAGCTGCCGGCATCCAGACGGACCAGAGGATCCGTCTGTCGGGGAAGGGAATCGCCCGCATCACCGGCTATGGCTACGGAGACCATTACGTCCATGTCAAAGTAAAAATACCCAAGTAAGGCTGCTCAGACGAGCGCAAAATCCTCCTTTTGCTTCATGCTATGTGACGGGGACACGGGGCCTGAATACAATGACTTTGTCATCTCGTAGAAAAGTATCTTACCAATCACAAGGATCCTAACGCACATTTTTAACCCGTGCAGGACGCTGACGGACCGACAGAGAGCTCTGCTAACGAGCTACGCGGAGGACGAGACGGAAGTCGAGGGGACGGTCAACGGTGTCACCAACACCACCACAGGCAAGAGGACGGCCACACTGACATTTAGCTAGCGAGCGAGTGGTATACGTCTTCTATCTACGGGGGGACAGAAGTTGTGATTCAGTAGTGAACGGGGCTGATGCAGTGTCCATCTCTGTCCAGGTGGGGGCGGCAGTGGTAAGCGCTCTGAGGCAGGGCAAAGCGGGCATGACCAGAAGGAAGCAGAGTTGAAACAAGAGGGGGGCGTCCTCTCCAAATTAAAGAATTTGTTTAGTTCTTCCTGACAGCCACAAACCAGGTAGGACCGGCATCAATTCATCCCAAATAAACGAGTCTCGTTCTGTCCCTGTGACGCACTGCGCGACCCTTTTTTCACGGTCCGGTTTGTGGCTGTCGCGTTGGAACACTGACGCACGCACCCCCCCGCATCCCGCTGGTTGTTTGGCCAGCCAGAGTTGCCCTCGACGTCCCTTTTTATAGGATGTCTTTTATCAAACGCGGACTGCCTTGCCAGCCCGTCAAAAAACGGAATTGGTAAGTAATTTGTGTTTTAACTTTATCTTGTATTCTATTAAAGGCAAAAGGTCGTCTTGGAACTGAGGAGCGTCCCCAGAGGGCAGAAGGAAGGACGCACAGCCAGTCTTCATTAGGGGATGGGTGGTGGTGGTGGTGGAGGAGGAGGCCTACAGCGGCCGCGCACCACCGCCTGCAGCCAACACGACGGAGGATCAACTTCTATGTTCCCTTTTTTTTACCAGAATGAATCCAAACACGAGAGGATGTCCCAGTGCACCATTCACCCCTCCATGTTGGTTTTCAGTTGATCCCCCTGAAAAAGAAACGCGATGGCAGAATTCATGCGCACAGAAATAAATTATTGTGTCAAAAGAGACTTCAGATTCAGTCAAAAGTTTGATTTATTGAACGTCCTGTTATTAATTATTTGGTTCTATATGCTTTTGGGAGTATCCCCCTCCCCGCCCCGCAGGTGGAATCTCCCCAGACTGGGGAGAGAGGTTACCGTACAGCTTGGCTGGTGTACAACTTGCTCTGTGGCAAGTTTAATTTAGTTTCTCCTGAACTCTGAGGACTAATGATCCAACCCAACCCTTTGTTGTGTGAGAGACCGTTCTACACCGTCTCATTGAAGCGAAATACTGTCTGTCTGAGAAAATGCCCCTCAGTCCTTTGTACATATGTGTACTAAACTATTAAATAAAGGTTCTCCTGCTGACGAAGAGCAAGGAAAAAGTCAGCATCATATTCATCCGGATGAATCCTCGGGTAGTCCTTGTTTTTAATATTCCAAGCAAATGTATATAATAGTTGTGATGTATCAAGGTCTGTGGCAAGGAGCTCAAGTATAATCATTTATTAACATTTTTATTGTGATTTCAAACAGTTTCAAGGAATCACCTTTGTTTTATGGAACAGGAAAAGATTGTTTATTTCATATTAAAGAGAACGTACTCCAGGGGCTGAAATCATTTCTCCCCTAACCCAAAAAAGCTTTTCTGCAGTCAAATACACGAGATTAAGAGCAGAGTTGTTAAAAACAAATTCAAATTCAACATTAATTCAAGGTTCCCTCTGGGTTTAATCTGAGGTTCAATGACCAAAACTCCTGAGATTCATGAAATAGTCTCCTGTGTGCATCCAGAAATACTGTAGCATTACGACACGTCTCACTGGCATCCAAAAATACAATAGAATAAAACACGGACGTTGAGCTAAAGCCGTCCCCGTAACCTTCCTCCATATACATCGCATTGTATTTTCATCTGACTTCAACATGAACCTGAGAACACATCCTCACATCGGTTTACACGTCTGCTCGAATCTAATGAAAGAATCTCGTGCATGCAAACTACACAACGTGCAAACACGCGGAGCACAGGGCGCTCTTTGAAAGGTTTTCTCCTGCAGGGTTTCCTTTGGTACTCTGCATCCAACTGATCCAAGCTAAATAAACAACAGGCTTGGCGAGAAGAAGCAACAGTCAAAGTGCACTGGATAACTATGAGGATAAATATTAAACATTAATCGCAACACGGTCCAATGACACCGCAAGCATTTACACGCAGAACAATATAATCCTCCTTATCTGTGTTTAAAAGACAGTTGTGCATCCCACACTTACAGTATGAACGAAAAATGAATAATGGTTAGAGTTAGTGATGATACGTGCAGGTATATCCATGACATATGGATACATAAACAAGGTCTGGGCGCGCTGACGTAGTTCTCCATCTATCGCGGAGATATCTAGCCTTCATGTAGACAATCTTTTACATTAGAATGAGATAATTTTGTTTTTAAAAGAGCTGTGAACACCCCGGTCCTAATATAGGCTCCTTTGGCAGGTCAGACTAAATCATCCATCTTGTATAGTTAAGCTCTGCATATAAAACAACTGTTTGTTTTTTTTGTCATAATAAAACAGTTTCATAACATTCTGAAACAGAGAAATCGTACATTTGAACGTGCATCTGATTCAGAGATCTAGTATGTTCACTGAAATATGTTAATTATCATCCACGTACCAGTGTAGGTGTGCCATATTGTTTTTGTGTAGAGGTGAAAAAAATACCGTAGTATTATTGACTCATACAGTTACTTCTCCTCTCTGGTCGAAAAAGGATCTTTGAATGCAAAAAAAGAAAAAATAGAAGGCTGCATTCAAATTCAACACGGCAGTCTGCCCAGCAAAAACAAGTGTGCTTGCTATTATATTCATGCCAAGCACACTTACCGTGCATAACATATGCATAGTATGCTTCACCGTGAATCAATGTGGATAATCAGTTGATCATAACTGAAAAATGACCCGTGTTCAGACAGTCGCACGCAGGCAGCTTCTACGTCACTTTGCTCGCCCACCTGGCGGTCAATTTGAAATGGGGAGGCAACGCACCGCCCTCATAAGTTAGGTATTAACATTTATGGAGGATTAGTGCAGAGGAGGTGGAGGAATAAAAAGACAGGAAGATAAATGGTGGCACGATGGTTGAAGATGGCGACTAAATGGTTCTACCAATCATTTGACGGGAAAGATTCAGCTGAGAGTTTATTTACCAGTCAGCTGCTCTCGTGGGGCGAAGACGCGACATTGAATGAACATGGACCCGTTTGTGTGAAACTAGGAAATGGCGTACGACTGGATGGGAGTCGCTGTCCTTTCTCATCCCGACAGCAGAGGGACACGGGTCGGCGGCGGCACCGCATCACATGAGATACCAGGCGACCAATCCCGCCAGAGCGGCGAACCAAGTGGCAACCAAAACCTGCCCGGTCGGGTGTCGGAGGACGGCCATGGCGAGCTGCGAGGCGTAGGCTGTCCCTCCAGATGCCGCTGTGACATGGGGAAAAAAAAGAACAAAAAGTTAAAAGAGGATTCACGTGACGCCGTTGCCACAGCGCTACAGAGAGAAGCATGGAGCCATACCCATTTTGGCAGCGTAGTAGGGACACTTGTTGATGTCTCCACCCATCGCTCCGTGGACGGGCGTGCCAGCGTCTAACACGTCCTCCTGGATGGTTTTGCCGATCTCCTCCAGCTCCTCAAACACCTGCCGCCACAAACAAACACAATTGTTCATGGAGGAAATAACGAGACAGTAACGCCGCATTATCTATGCGATCAACAGGAGCCTCATATTGTCACGTCACCCAACTCCACATCGAACAAAAAACATGTGCAATCCTCGTGCCACATGACAGTTAGCCTAGCGCAGCATTACATATGCTTTAGCGTATCAATCTTTTGTAGTTAGGATACAGACCTAAAACCAAATAATGATTTCAATAGGTGCACAATATGAATGTATGACAGTGCATTGAATTCTACACATAATACTTCTTAAAATGAAGATAAACCCTTATTTAACCACTTCCCTGTACACCAGTGAATAGATATTGTTTGGCAGCACGCATCTATTTATTCTATTCTTAAACCCTCCAAACCTTACCTCCATGTTGAACTGGAAGGCCTTGACAGCCTCGTCTACCAGCCTCCTCTTTGTTTCCATATCCAGTTCCAGCTCGTTCATCCGACTACGGTACAGCTGCTTGAATGCTTTTGCACTGTGGATGCCTTCAAACTGATAGAATTCAAGGCCCTCCCCGGTGGACGGCAGCTTCATGGCCCTCTGCGCCACCTTCTTCAGCACCTGCCCCCCGGACAGGTCCCCCATGTAGCGGGTGTAGGCGTGGGCCACCAGCAGAACCGGGTCCTTCCGCCCGACTTCATGAATACGGTCCACATAGCGCCGGGTGGCCTGGGAGCAGCTGACCTGGTTTTGCCAGTCGGGGCCATAAAAGTACTCAAGGTCCCGGGCCAGGGCCTCATGGCGGTGCAGTTCTGTAGGGAAATATAGAGGGGCAAAATGGGGGTGGTCTTTGTTCCTTTCAATCTCCTCCTCCATGGCTGTGTAAGTGTAGTAGAGTGCCACGGCGCCAAGCTGAGGAGACAAGCAAGAAATGTTACAATGTTATATTGCTGGTCTCTTTTGTCCGATTTCCGTTGCTTGTTATATATATGCTTGCTTGTTTTGTCATTTATTTACTCATCTTGTTTGTTTAGTAAAGCACTTTATACCATTCAATAGTAACAATTCCTCGCGTCACTTACCTTGAAGAGCTCTTTGCGGATGCGTCCCTTAAGGAAATCTTTCACAAACTGGGTGTTTTCTGCCTTTTCGTGAACCTCCTTAGTCCCCGCTGCCAACACCTCGGACAGATCCTCAGGACTGGAGAAGAAAAAGAAATAGGGGGTCTAGTGTGTGTATGACAGAACCACAACAATCATAAATATTTTGTTATCTTATCTCACTGTTTCCGATGTAATGGTAATGGTGTACTGCTGGGAGATTTACCTGAGGGTGTCTTCTTTCCCCTCGTATACAGGCCCTGCTCCATTGGACACACTGGTGTTGACCTCCATCTTTTCTGCAGAAATTAGTGGTGCATTTCTGTCTATTAGTTCCCTAGAACCGATCGTCAATTCAGCATTATTTAAGTTCAAGTCAACATTTTAAGTACATATTTAAAGTTGTGACCAATGCATATGCAACAGTAACACATATTACATTGCATAATGTATCATCACATGACCTGTTGTTGTGGTCTACATGTGTCTCGAGTCCAGATGGTGTAACTGGCTTCCAGAATAAACAAGGAACAATGTCAGTGCTCCCTGTGGTTCTAGAGGTCATAGGTATTGTACTCCCAAATCATAAAATACATACTACTCAATAATGAAAATGTGGCCAGAGAAAAAGGCCAATGTAGACAAACAGTCAGTTGCCTAATCGGGAAAACGGGGAGTCGATATCACCCCGATTCTATTCAGAGTAGCTGTTGTCATTGGTGCGAGGGCCAAAGAAAAGATGCCTGTTGGTTAATTCAGCTGTTTTAAGCCTTTGACCTTACCTGCTCTGAGAACAAGGAAGGGCCAAGTGAAAGCCAATACAGTGCGATATCAAACTCAAACAAAAACAAAAAACACTCAGGTAGGAACTAAGTTACATGAATACACAACGAAAACAAACAAACAGCTCATTCAAATCACACCGCAGGCCCTTCTGGCGTTTACCACAAGTCAAAAAAAGAGTCAACGGTGTTGTTCTGGTGATCAAACTACAGTTCAGTTCCTCAACGTATTCAGAAAACATGATCTCACGCAGCCTTTCATCGAGATACAACTGCAGGTATTGTTTGTTTGTACTGACGTCATCTAACTAGCTAAAAGCCTTCTGACAACAACAGCTAACTTTGCCGGATGAGGCTAGCTAACTTAGCTAATAGCTAGCTAGCACTCCAACAAGCTAAACACACTTAAGTTGTTAACGTACGCCGTTAACGCCACGTCCCATTGTGAGCTCGGGGTTGTTTATTCCCCTGTTAAACGATCATATTAATGGTTTAGGAGGCTTTGGTATCATATTGATATTACAAACCTTCAGCCACTACCGTGCAGAGCGGTCCGGCTGGTCGGTGTAAAACTACGAATCAGGCTGGAGAATCGGTACTGAGCGACCCGTCTGACTCCGCCCCCTCCGGACTCCGCCCCCTCCCTGCAGCCCGATGTCGGGCGCGAGGTCTCAGGGGCCTGTTTCAGAAAGGAGGTTAAGTGAAAACTCTGAGTATGTTAACCCTGAAATGAGGGAAACTCTGAGTTTTCTGTTTCAGAATGGGAGGTATGTTAAACCTGAGAAAGCAGAGTAAGTCAAGCCTGTGTCAGAAAGAGAGGTAACTTATACTCAGAGTCAGTTACCATGGCAACTTACTCTGTGAACCTAACCTGGTCGGGAGCAGGTTTTCTTCGGGAAACCCAGAGTTTATTTCGTCTCCTCCCCTTTTTTAAAGAGGAAGTGGTATTTAATCACCTCATTCATTCTTTCGGTATTCATTCATTGCGCACATTTCAGTCACGCAGAGCGCATCAAATCGACACTGGATGCTATTTAGTTATTTATATGTCAAATGTTTGTAAAGTCAGGTAGACTACAACCATGATATGTTCAAGCCTTACCTGATTGAATTATGTTTTTATATTTCATTTTCAGCTGCTGCCATGTTCTTTTAATGCCTGCAGGATTGCACCTACATGAAAATTAAAATTAGGTTGAATAACACACTGTTCTTCCAGGTTCACTTCTGATATTATAACAGTTGGGCAAGTCACTTATATTACTAACTACAACTGGCTTCTTCAACAGTGTAATTAGATTAATGTAATAATGACTATCTCTAGAAAGTATTGGTCTACTTATTACTAATTACTTTCTAAATCCCATATCAACCTCAACCACTTGAACAATACAAGGAGAGACAAGAAACTGCACTTTTAATGCTTTCAAATAAACATTATACAATTGCATGAATTATTCTTGAAAAAATATATCTTTTAAAATTTGATGTTAAATCCACTATTGTTTTATACAGAATTGCTTTATAGTTTATGCAGCATTTAATGCAATTACATCAGATTTTACTTTAAATTACGGAATTAAATTACAGTTTTTAGATTACATAGAAATTAATTACACACAACACTGTATAACAGTAATTCAAATGTAAACTTACGCATTGACTCGAGCAGCTATTTTCTCCCAAGCTAACTCTCTGTCCTTCGCCGCTGCAGCCGTGTTGCTTTTTTTTTTAAATATATGTTCGTACTCTCCATATGCTTGCATAAGCACATCCAGTTCTGCTGGTGAAAAATATGAAGACCTCTTTTTGTCTGGCGCTGTTGCCATGGTGACTCGTAATATCTGCGCTCCATTGATAATGGCTTTTTATAGTTGTGGTGCACGCGCTTAACTCAGAGTAGGTCAACTCAGAGTTGATTGAACTAACTCATTTCAGCTGTTCTGTAACCGAAAACTCAGAGTTTCCCATCTCAGGGTAAGTCAACTCACAGTTCAAGTTTTAACTCAGAGTTGGTTGAACCTCCTTATTGAAACAGGCCCCAGGAAACGCTGACGCAAGTTTGTTTAACAACTAACGTTGGCTTCCAAATGACCAGTGGCGGTGGTCAACTAACGCTAAGCCTTCTCTGCTGGCCTAAACAGAATCATGAAGTTATGGCTATTTTTTATTTATGTCGTTTTCACCTACAGTTTTTGACTGAAGTTTTTATCCAATCAGACTCTAGGCGGATTATAAATTAAAGTAACGTTACATGGTAGGTGCTTGTATTGTGATGGAGGAGAAAAGGGTGTTGAAGTGAGAGTAAAGTGGCTGCCACCTTGACGCAGAAACGGAGCACCGTGTTTTCTGTTTTACTGATAACCTGCTGAAGTACCATAAACTCTCGGCTACGACATTGCTGATTGTCATAACTTCAACCAATCACATCTTTGGTTTGAAGTGTTACGGGGCGTGTATTGGACGTACCAGCAGTGATTGGTCAGCGGGACTTTTGTCAAACAAAACGCTAACTTGCAGATCTGAATAGTCTGTAAACAGCTTTTGTTAAGTGAACCGCTTTTGTATTTTTAACTTCTGCAGTGTTGTAAGTAAAAAGTAACTGATTCTTTTGAGTTGTTTGTTTCGTTTGAGTTTATTACATTAATTTGATTATGTGTATTGTCCGTTACTCTGCATTCCCCTGTATCTGCAGTTACTGTATTTATAGTTGTTGAGCTTGATGTAACATTTTATTTCATTTTAAATTTTATTGTTATTTGAATACGAGGTGTTTGCAGAAAACAAATAATAACCTCCTTGGGACGCTACAGTTAAAGGTTATTAGGTTATTCAACTATAGAAAGACGGCACAGAAGGCCGAGGTAGAAAATGCACGGCCTGCCACTGCAAATGGCAGATATTGTACCTCCACTGTCATATTGTAAATATACTACTAATAATATTTGTATTAATTTTGCCATGGAATTATTTTTAATGTAGTGGTCGAGAAACAGTCAAAAATAACATAAATTACTTCAGCAATAGCTTAATTCCAAACCCAAAGTGATAAAGATGGTGTCCCTGTGTGGTGCAGCTTATAGTCACATAGCCATAAACAAAATAGAAAGACTTAATAACGATCCACAGACCAAATATCTCACCTGGGTGCCTAGCCATAAGAAAAAGATGTATTTCTCTCTCAAATCATTACATTACAAAATCAACTCCAACCCAAAGATCTAAGACCACATCAGCAGAGTAGAAGAGAATAACCACAAGGTGGCATTCACATTAAGCAAATCTGGGTTTGCAGGTTCTGTTTCACAAATAGTTTGAATACATGGAAGAAAAAAAACAATGAAATCTCACTTTGGGCTAATGTTGTAGTTCAAGTGACTTTTTTTTGGGGGGGGGGAAGTAACTAAATTATGCAATAAACTCAGTTATGATTCTTTATATTATGGACACATTATGTGTTATTTTTGGGGGGGGAAACGATTCCATCAATAGAAATCAATAATATTGAATACCTTCTATTATAAAAAGTGTAGTTGTTATAACTAGACAGGATTGTTGATATGCAATTATCTTTGTTATTAAAGCGCTGCAGTTTTCCTGAATCGGTTCGGTTGTTGTAGATTTTATGGAGCGTCAGTCCTGAATGGAGCTTAATCTATCTACAACCAGACATCCACAGCAGATCTTCATGCCAGATGTTTGTTGTGGAGTCAAACTCCTTTAAAAAACTGAAGAAAAAAATCATTTAGGGTGTCTGTATTTTGAGAGGTGAAAGGGGGAAGGAGAGGAGCAAGGCATTAGCATGACAATGTACTGTAAACATGGAGTGTACGGTGAAAATACAAGAGTTCTTCCAAAGAAGCTGTTTGTCCTGATTCGCCTCAAACACATAGTCCACCTCCGCAGAACGTGTTGGTCGGTCACTGTGGTACAAACAAGACCAGCTTCCTTCATGTCGGCCTTTTCACGCCTAATAAGGGTTTTTCAGGTGTTTTGTTTACATTATGTTTCAAACATGCTGCTCGTTTATCATGTCGGCAATAGTTGTTTGTTTGCTGGCCAGATTGTTCACGGGTTAATGATCGTACGCACGGAGTATTTAATCGTCTGCGCTCTCATTTGTGGGGGAGAGGTAGTGTATGTGTGTGTGTGTGTGTGTGTGTGTGTTTGTTACTGTCAAAAGCCTCATACCAGTCTGGCAGCCGGCTGCAGTGTCAGATGCTTGGTTGGCATGGCAGCGGAGATGCCCCCCTTCCCCTTCCCCTTCCCTCCCCCCCTCACTCTGCTACTGATCCACAGGAGGCCGGTGGGGGTAAAGATGAGCGAACAAGATGATTCACTTCCCTCCAACACGGCCAGCAAGCTGTTGCCATTACATTAAATTGCTTTGGGAAGTGATTCTGTGCCAGCCATGCAGTTCAATAACATAGGAGGAGGACTTTAGTCTAAAAGCTGGGATTGGGGAAACATCAGCGAATTTAATAAACTCTTGATTAATTGATGCTGATTTCCCCATTTACGGGTGATAAAATTCACAGAACCCAAATGTTTGTCAACTCTGTCCACTGAAACTTTCTTCAACTCTATTCTGCGGTAACTTTGATTGGTTTCTCACGCTGGACCCCATGCGCGGCAGTCGCTGATGGCAGATGGTGCATCAACAACACTCATAAATATCCCGCATAGGAAATGCTGCAGGAGGTCCATTTAGACGGACCTCTCTTTGACAGAGGACTGGTGATCTGATGCTTTTGATTACATCATGGCAATCAGAAAAGACGATGACATGTGGCTGTGATAAGGTAAACAATGCAAAAAAAAACTTTAACTTTAAACATCACAGACAATTTACTTGTCATGTATTAATATCAATAACAACAATGCTGATAGCTGTTGGGTTAACTTACTTCACTGGTGCCTCTGAGAGAAAGTCACTTCAGATGTCTGCTCAAATCAGATGCCGTAGTTTTTCCCTGTACATAAACAAGACCTGACTCATTTGGGACATTTACAATGCTACATAAATCAACAACAAATTATCATAGATTCAGTCATATCCATTTGCTCTAACTCACTGTGACATTTAAACAGGCGGCTTGGGAAAATAATTACAATATGTAATGATTGTTATCAAAACCACAAGCTGTTTAAGAAGGGCTAATCATTCGCAAAATTCTAAACCGTGTTATTATTAATTCATCTAATCTGTCTCCTTGTTGAAACAGGGACACTGCATTTTCAAACACGATGCAAAGCCTGTAATCTATGAACAGAACACACACAAAGAAACGATGGTTCAAATATCCATAAAAGTTGTGACTTCTCGCGAGAAGTCACAACAAAACACAACAAACGAGACTTCCGTGTCTGTTTTAGATTTCGCGGGTCTGAACGAAAAGCTCGTTGTATAGATGGGAAGACTTCAACCAAAGACACATGCTGTGCATTTGTAACACACTGGCTTTTCCAGTATATTATCGCCGACGTTGATTCAGAGTTTTTAACAGTTGTTAATGGTTTATAGCGCGGTTTGAGTTCTGCGTCAGACGCCAGCATGGCACTGCTGTCCCTGGTTGAGCAAACTATCAAGTCCTGCAAAGCTGAACAAACCAAGATTAACGACAGTATTCAATTCTACAGAGACCTGCTGCAGACCCTGTAAGTCAGGACATTACATTCAGCTGACGCTTTGCATGCATTGCGTGCGCCACGTTGTTCAATCAGTAATCACGATTTCAGCCGTCTCCAGAGAACTCCAAAGCAAACAAAAAATACATTCTAAATAAATGCTATAGTTGGACCTTCAACCTATTTGTGCATGCAAAATACCCTGTAATGGATGCAGATGTTACGTCTTATCTTCGCCAGCCCCGGTGTGCGGCCCCGTTCTCCTGTGGAAAGATCATTGACGTACCAGAGTAATCTGTAATGATCTACCACGGATCTTTTGGGTGGTGCACCCATCTGGCGCCGTGGCTTAGTTGGTCACGGTTCTAATCCCAGTAGTGCTCCTTGCAAAGAGTCACGTACTACAACCAACGTCAAAGATGCTTACAATAAAATGAAATTGATCTTTTCTTTTAAATCCAAAAGGATTTGAAAGCACGGTACTTATTTTTAACAAGGCGCTTTAATATCTAAAATGATTGGTTTTGTTTGTTTGAACCTGTATTTACTGTTGTGTCATGACATCGGAGTCTTAAACTCACACAAAGAATAACTATTAAAACACGCTATCATTTTGGGATCTGTGGTAAACTGGATGCAACTAGAATCTGGATGGTACAACCCTATTTACAAAACAGTCTATCAAATACATAATTGCATTGTGAGATTTGCCCGTTAACACTGTATATATTGCTTCTCGCAGAACGCCAAAGACGGGCTTTGATGAGACCCAGTGTGCCAATGATGCAGCTACAGGTAATTAAAAAAATAATTGGTTTGTGCACACAGAAAAAATAAAAGATTAGTTGGCGTTTGAAGGCATTTTTCATCCGTGGTCACACGGATGAAAAATTTAACCCTTTCAGGTTAAATAACTAACCACGTGTTTGCATGCTTCTATCTCCGCAGCCACAGACACCTCACCAGGGGAAAAAGAAGATATAGAATTGCTTGAACGAGCCCTGGAAAAAGCCCTTCGCGTCCGCAGCGGCACAGGACATTCTAAAAAAGACCCCAGCAAACAATCTCCACCTCTAAAGGAACCTTGCCCTGCCGCTGTTGCGTGCACAGAGGGAACGCCGGCCTCTGCAGCTCCCAAAGTAAATCGCCCCGCGTCCAGATCGACCTCTAAATCGGCTAACCCGAAGGAGCCCAAAAAGCCGGGCACGTCGGTACCCTCCACACTGAGCTCCAAACTCTCTGCTGGACACTATCCCGGCCGGCGCAAAACCACAAGTAAAAGTCCTTTTTCTGCAGCTGGGTTAGCGCATCGCCAGGCAGCAAGGAAACCCCAGCAGGCGGCGTCGGGCTCTGGCTCCGTCCACGCGGGTCACTTACACACATCTACCCTCCACTCTAAGAAGAAGACCATTCGAAGCGACTTGTCGAGTGGACACGACCTGAGCGGAGCCGCGGCGGCCTCGGATCCCTCCAATAACCCGGTGGCCGTTTCGCTGGCTGAGGAGCTCGGAGGAGCTCGCCGCTTACTCGACCCGAGTGGGTATGTTTTTATTTTCACGCCGTGAAGAAAACCACGCTTTGTCAGTGTCACAAACTGGAGGGGAAATCTGTTTGCTGCGTTATTCTAATGGTTCATTTGGCCCTTTTTGCTGCTTGGCAGGAAAGCTGCTGAACCGATAGCGAAATGGAAATCTCTAAGGAGCAAGCAAAACAGGTGGCCCAAAACTTTCTCTTTTTTTCATACATTTTCAAAGCAGATTCCTATTTGGGACCCTAAGTTCCCCGCTTTACCTTCCTTTTAGGTTGTGGGACAAAGTTGTTGCCCTACAGAGGAAGCCCGTGCCTGGGAGGAGTCACTTCATGGAGAGAATGAGAGCTACGGTATCCTTCCTCTTTCTATGGAAGCCTGTCAAAAAGAGCTTGGAAGCCTCCGACTTGTTTTCCACACGGTGTAATGTTGGGTTTGGGAATACACTTGTGCTTCAGTTACAATTCCACTGATCTGCACTGTGCAGCTATTTGAAACGAGCGCGGCATGTGCGTCGAGACTCTGCACACATGCGACAAATACACTTTCATTCATCTCGGGGGCCGTGTCCTTGACCCCTGCCTTTCTGAACCTGCCAGTTCCCCAGGGATCCTCCGTGCGGCGTCCCAGATCAGGCCGGGCTTCTGGCTCGCCGAGGGCCTGGCGTCGACCGCCACTGCCAGACCACGGAGCTTCTGGCCAGACGGACGCAGGGAGCAACCACGGAGCTGGGTAAGAGCCTGAACAGATGACGCACTCAAACGCTCACAGTTAGGAGTGATTTGAGGAGGAATGAAATCAATTGTGTGTGCGCGTGTGTGAGAAAATGATTATCTGTGAGGAAACTGCTCAGGGAGTTGTCAGTAAGTACCTTTTTATGAGGGCCAATTAGACTGATATATCAGTGATGAGCCTCTGCCAATCACGCTCAGGACCCTGGAATGAGCATGTTGAGACGTAAAGCTTTTTGGTATTTTTTCACATTTTTGAGATCGTCAAAGTGTGATTAAAACCAACCAATTGGGGCGAACAGTTCAGTAAGAGAAAAGGAGTGTTTGAAGCACCCAATCGAGCACCGGGACATTAGCATAGTATGTCAATCGCACGGACTACAAACACGGGACTAATTGACACGAGGCAATTACGCCAAACTGCTCCACTCTCTCGTGCAATAATGCTGATTAGTTTGTTTTTGTATTTCCGCGCAGCTGTTGAGTCAAACAAACACGGTTCACGTCTGGCGGTTTTCCGATGAATGCAGCACAGCTTCAGAACTTTGCAAAAACGAGATAGGAATGAATGACTCTACCAGTCTAAAGGTTGGACACGCTGAAAGTGTACTTACTGTAGCTTTTCTTTTCTTTTTTCAAACCATGTGTTTCATGAGTCGCAAACAGATTATTATCCTAATTATTTTTTCCACTGCACAGACTTGCAAAGTCAAGAAGGCATCGGCAGAGTTCCCACCCTGTGTTTTGAATTTCCGGTCCTGCTATAATGAAGGCCCACAGATTTTCCATTCGCATCATCTTCAGGGGGGGGACTTTTATGTTTAGCACCGATGGGTCCGGGGGTAGAACAGGTTTTGTCTCCGAGGGAGGGGTCCAGCGTTCGTCGCATTTGGAAAAAAGGAGCTCGTGATTGACGCGGCGCGCTAACGAGCTAATGCAGCGTCTCCATCCCGGCGCATGGAAAATGAAAACAGAGCCGCGGTGAACCCTCAGTGCCAGATCAGTAGTTTCCTTGGCCTCGACAGATGACCCCCTCCACCCCCCTTTCATCCCCATGACGGTGGGGTTTTAGAGCCGTCTATCCCGGTGTGGCCAGGCAAGGGCCTCTCTATTTAAAGCTGAGGCCGCCGAGACGAAAAAGAAAAAAAACCTTTTAGTCTACAGTTGCTCACGCTCTAAAAATAACCTTATTTTTTTTTCCATCAGCGTGGCAGGCATGGGATCGATGGAGAACAGAGGGAGGTCGTCTTTGCCCCGCTGGGGCAAATGGAGCGGGGGAGGACGGGATGATTGCCCCCCTGCCGCCGACTTTAACCTACGCGACGGAGGCAGAGCTCGTAGAGCTGGAGACGCTGCGGACGAGGGTGTCCCTGCTGCGGCAGGAGATTTACCTCGAGCAGGTGAGGGGTGATGGGGCGGACGGACAGGACAGGACAACAATTCATACGCAAAATGGATTCAACTGTGCGTTGTGTTGTGAGTTCTGGTGGATAACTTCTAGGGGTGTGCTGACCGTCTCTTCTTCTGTGTGACAGGCTGTATTGGACACCCTGTCCCCCCTACTCCCCTCCATAGTCCCCGGGCCTGGATGTCCCGACCTCAGTGCCCTGAGGGACCTGTACTCCCTGCTAGGGGAAGGAGGGGAGCGCTTCCCCGCTTTAGTGCTGGACTCTGAGCCCTGACTGACCACGTGACACCGGCCTCAACTTGGTCTTCCTCCTCTTCAGACACATACGATGAACACAGTATTACCTCTCGCTGTAATGCGATCCGGGGTGACACCAGTTGACGCATTCCCTTCTGACACTGTCAATAAATCTACAACGTAAAACTCACAAAAGGAATCGCAGGACGGAGTGTGTGATGCTGAGCAGGTGGGCCTAATGAAGTGTGACGCTTGACCATGAATCAGGATTCAAGGTGTAGAACTTCATTTATTCAGTGTCTGAGCCCAGGCACTTACATGTGGGATTGTGGTTGTTTATTATTTGTTATGTGCTGTTGTTGCAATTTTACATTTTTTGCCACATTATTTAAACAATAGACAGACTGGATATTTTGTATTTCCACTTGATATTCTTATATAACTTTCAATTTGAACTGGTTAGGTTTAATTTATTAGTGTCTATTTTGACTCCGGTATTATTGTAAAATTAAACAATTCAATACCTAGGGTAACGTTTTTTTCCACTTTATTCTAACTCCATAATGCACTTCTCTCTGTTCCAGCAGGTGGCACTAAGCTCACAGAAGAAGTAACCATAGACTGCACGAGCAGATGACTTGTGCTAATTGCTCCAATCATTCAATGAAAAGCCAATTGGACTCAAACGGGGACTTAGAATAACCCGTGAAAATAAGACTTAATAAGATACCAAGAGATAAAGGCGCTTCATCTTATTTTAGTCCCGTCTTTCACAGAAAGCATTGACTTCAGCCTCATGCGCCACGTGTTTTTCTTAAGATGTGGCTGATAAGAAGCTCAAAATGTAAATGAGTGTGTTCATTATTTAAGACAGTCGGACCTCTCTACCATAATGTTTCTCCATCTGCTGTGTGTGTTTTCCATGCTGGGCTTTTATGATCCACATCGAATGACATATAACACGCATATACCAGCATGGGGGCCCATTCCATGTCTGTGTGATGTGAGAAGGCGGGTAGTTGTGGCTTTGCCCCTCCCAAACACATGCCGTGTGCGGGCGTGAGTGAGATGCGCAGACTCTCGTAGAAGGCCTAAAAGCCTTTTTGCCCACAGATGACGTGTGGCTGGCAGGGGCTGTGCCAGACCGGGCAACAGGTGGCGCTGGGCTCACGCAGCAGGACGTGGGTGTTTGGGGCCCTACACACACACACAAAAAACGAAGAGACGTGCACACTCAACGGCAGGCTGACTCACAAAGAGGGCCACCGGGGGGCGTTGCTGCAAGCTGGAAATGGCACATCTCTCCCCCCCCCAAGCAGAGGTATGAAAAGATTCTAAAAGAATATCTATATGTGCATAAAACATCAGGTCTGCAGGAGAGCTTGTTTGTACCAGCACCAGACGGAGTGCAGCCGCCCGTACAGAACCACGGAGAGGCAAGATTCTTTCTTGTCCCCCCCGTCCCCCACCCGGTTTTGGGGTCAACGCGTGCGCTGTGTGTGTGTGTGTGCGGTGTGTGTGTGTGTGTGTGTGTGAAAGTAGTAAACGAGGAGGCAGGGGAGGATCGTGTAGATCGTGCTCAGGGCTGCACGCGGGTCCCGGAGGGAGTGGCGCCTACGTAACTCGGCCTTCCTGTGACCCGCGTGCATCAGCTGCTGCTCGGCCCTGCCCAGGTTACCCGCGTCGCATGTGTTTTCTCACGGATCTTTTTTTTGTCACACAATGGAAGATCCCAGTCAATTTCCATGGAAGAAGCTTCATTTTCTTTCCCAGGGTGACGGTTCTCGTAACTCTCGCTCAGAGAGGAGAGGAGAGGAGAGGAGAGGGGGGGGGGACCCGAGTTCATTGGTCTTTTCTTTGTCGTACACATTCCTTCCTACTTAGACTGGGTTCTTTTTTTCTTCTCCCCACCCTTTTCATTTCCCCTGTTTTTGTTTTAGCTCTGGTCAACTGCAGTGCTGGAGTCCAAGTGCAAATCCCCAGAAACTGAACAGTTCTAGCAAGAATCCACTTCTCTTCTTTGACTGCCTACTGAACTTTTCTCCAGGCCCTCACAAACACATTCCTTCCCCTCCGTTACTCCTCGGATTGCTCATATGAGCTCTGTTGTAGAGTGAACTACAGCAGACACTTTGTCCCAATAATAAAAACGTGTTTCCCCATCCGCCCGTGCTATTTGTCAATCTGGATTGTTTTGCTGTAGGTCGTTCTCGCCAATAAATCGGGACTATGTGGTACACAGTGGTGCTCAATGTTTATTACTGTTTCTTATTTGATGCAGCGCACTATTTGTGAGTTTCAAGGTAAAGCAGATAAAGCGGTTTTCCTGTTTGTTCAGAGGCAGGTTTGGCAGTAATATGAGAACGGTCATCCTTTGCTACGTCCACAGGTGCATAGAGATGTATTTTTAAACCCATAATTAAATAATATTGGTCTCTACGTTGCTCCTCGTCCCTGTGTCTCCTTCGATGCACACGATGCCATGTTCTATGGTTTTCAGTGATGACTTTTTAGACCTGCAGCGATGTCAAGTAGGTTTTTGGTACCCAGCTTTCATGTCGTGTCGCATGCATCCTCTCTTCTGAAGAATGGAAGGAAACCGCACGTCTCAATTCAAAAAGCTTTCAGCTTCACAGTTCACAGTTCCTTTCTGAAAAAGCCTGGAAGCATTAAATCCAGTAATGCCTACAGCTGAAAATATAGACCTGCGTACACACATCTGTCCTTCCCTAACACAGCTTTTGAGATGTGGAGGGGTGAGCTGTCTGGATTGATTTTATTTTCGCAGAAGAGAGATGCTGGGGGGGGATTAACTACTACCAGGTTGCCTTCCGTGACCGTGTGGGTGGGTGGCAAAGCAGCGGGGGCTGCCTGTGCATTTCCGTCACGTGTGGCCGCGCTCATTGGTCCAGGCCCTCACGTTAAAGACGCGTGGTCCTCCTGTAAATCGCCGTATAGTCGGCTGTCTGCGTGCACGTAAACCCGAGGAGTGCGTGGGTGGTAATAAGATTTCTGTTTGCTGTTGGTGCAGCGGAAACACCACCACTATGAAATTGTCATTGGGAGGTGGGCGCGTTGGCACCTTTTGTGCCGTCGTGGCGGGAGGTGAGATGTAAAAAGTAACTTTCCACTCTGCGGTGATGTGGGATTTCAATTTATTTTCTCTTTTACAGCAGCGACCTTTCGTATTCAGCAGGGGAAGCTTTTATTCTGCGGGGAAATAAAAATAAAAAGACTACAATTGAGAGTCAGTGATGGGGAGAAGAAAGATGGAGCAGTTAACTCTTCTCCCCTCCCCCCTCCTGTTCACAGACAGCCCCATTCTCTCTGCTTTAGTGTTTGACGTCACACAAAAGAAGACCAATCAGAGCACTTGGACGTCCCTGTTTTTTCTGCCCTTGCTCCTCCCCCTTCCCGTGGTCCCTTATATATCCCCCGCCGCCACATTCAGCGGAGTGTACAATGTGCTGCTACATAGCCGGCAGAAAAACGGCAAGAGGCGGAGGGAGAGAAGGATGAGTGGATATCAGCGCTGACTGAGAAGCCTTCGTTTTCTGTCATTCCTCCGCCGTCCCGGGAAGCTCCTTCTCCTTTCTCTCTTTTCCTGCCTTTCTCCATTTCTTCTCTGCCTCCCTCCGGACCAGAGCCTGACTGCGAAGCGTCCTCCAAGAGGCCCGCCCCTGCAGCCCGACTCGGGGGGAACCCACCAGCTCGCCACATCGCGATGGGCTGCGCAACGGGCCACCTGGCTTGCCAGCCGCAGGCCAACGCGGGGCCGGAGGGTCACTCGTTGGAGGCGGGCGGGGCCAAAGTGCCTGAGGTGCTCTCCTCTCTGGAGCGACTGTCCCAGGCCACCGGTGGCATGGAGAAGTCCTGGTACCGCTGCATCTTTCCCTTCGGAATCATCTCCCTGGTGATCGGTGTGGCGGGGACCGGGGTGACCTACACCTACAACGACCTGCCTCAGACTAAAGTGGTGTCAGTGGTTCTGCTGGTCATGGGCCTTTTGCTGATGCTGATGGCCACTGCCTGTTGGATTGTCCACAAGAGGAAGAGGAGGAAAAAGAAAGAGGGGGGCTCGTTCACTTCCGAGCAGTCTCCCCTGTGAAGCACGTGGGGAAATCAGCGGCGGGAACTCGAAAGTAGAGACATGGCCACTGCCGGGAGATCAAGGGGTTGGCTAAAGCAGCCGCAACTTTTCCCTTCTCTCAGCGCATAAATCCCCTCTATTCTTTAGCACCATTTGGCTCCGCTAATACCGGAAGGAACCAAAGTGGAGAAATCATAGAGAGTGGAAGGACAGATAGGCAGGAAGTATCTGTTTCGCCTGTAAAATTTTGGATCGACGAGGAGCGATCGCCAATGCCTCACACGCTCTTTTATCGTCAGACAGCCGGTGTCCGGTGTCAAAACAACCTCCGAGGAGACACACACACACACAAATATGCATCGCACACCGCATGCATATTTACGCTCACGGATGCACGGCCCTCGCGGTCCGCGCTCACATATGCAACCAGCGGTCAAAGTGGGAGCTCTGAGCAGGACACCCAACCCGCTATGCAGAGCTGCTGCCGGATTCAATGCTGGCGTCACTAGGCACGTCAGTCACAGCATTCCTCCTGCCAGGACAGGTGACTCTCCAAGAGGCCAGAAGTGGGCCAAAGACGGTAACCCAATACCTGGGCCGAAAGAGCAGCGCGCCCCGCGTCAGCGGCCAGCGTCATTCACTCGTCCTGTGACACCGCAGCAATGTGTTGGGAGCTTTTTTTACGCAACGGGAGAGTGGAACTTGAGTCCTGCAGGATCCTGGTGGCATCTGTGTGAACGATGAGCCGGAGAGAGGCCGGAGGATCCGATCGCCCGGCGGAGGGAAAGGTGTTTGCGTGTGCTTGAATAAAGATTTGGGTGAACTGAAAGTCCGTTGGACCCTTGCACTTGGACACTACTGGACACACAAACGATTTCCACATGTAGCCGTGTCCACGCCAAGCGAGAGGAACTCCTAGTGGAGCGGCGCGCTCCGAAAGGCCTTTCGTAGCTTCCCGCTGCAAAGGGGGCCACTGACTGACACATTTCCCCCCGGGCCCCCAGTGTCTTCGTGGGGCTCCTCGACCCCACGCAGGACAGTCCAGGATTACTGAAGGACACTACCCGAGGGGACATGCCACTGTAGGGACACTTTAACTGATCCCGCTCCCCTCGGGCCCCTCCCTCTTGGTGCCTTGAGCAAGCACTCATGGAAAAAGGCTCTGTTGCATTCCACCGTTTCCATCTGAACCTCTGAGAATTTCCCCCCCTTGTTCTCTCTCTCTCTCTCTCTCTCTCTCTCTCTCTCTCTCTTCACCCCGACAGGACTCTCCTCATTCATCACACATGCCGTCCTCTGTCCTAAATCCACCGTTTATGACTTGATTCCCCTCATTTCACCATTGTTATATAGTCCAGCCACACACACTTAAATGTAATGCTCAAGTCCCACAAACATTTGTCTTTATTACTCCTCGCCAAAGAAAATGGGATCATTTTGCTCTCAATGGTGGAAAGTATTGAAAATATGGTAAAATCACCGCTTGTGGTCAAAATGTTTCTGGGGTTTCCGTTTCGCCACAGAGAGTAAGCTGTAAATAGGTGCTTTCGGTTTGCGTGGTCTCACGGGATGAGACCATTTTAGTCTCGTCTTAAATATTCTCGTCACTGAATGTAACACAGGACAGAAAATACAGATAGAGGAAGGCAAAATAACAGAATGTATAGAAAACAAATGGAGTCTAAGCCCATTTGCCTTTACCCTTGAGAACCACTTTTGATCACCGCTTCATTGATTCACGCTGCCGGATTTGTGGCGCTTGCCGTCGAGCAAAACGTGTCTGTCGTCCGGAGGTAGCAGTTGACACACGATGCCAAAGACCGCGCTGGAGGCCGGCTGCTTCCGACATGCGTTTGATTGGCCCTCTCAGACACGTCTTCGCCGCTCAGTGTGCATTTAGATGTCCTGTTGTACACTGTCAGCCAAATTCTGTTAAACAAGGAAAAAGGACGGAGGGAACGAGGGGGCAGTAATGGTTGATGACAAAAGCAGAGCGTTGGGGGGGGGTCATTGCTTTCACTTTCAGGTGGGAGTGGGGAGGTGGATGGCATAAGTCCTCCTGAGCAGAGCAGCGTTATTCTTACATTCTTAGGGCCCATAATGCATTGCTGGCAGCAGTAATCACGATTCCGAGGTAATTGTTGTGTAGCAAGTGTCTATGTACCGACTAAAAAACATGTTGAGTACGTTCTTTCTTAGCTCAGTGCAGTGAAGAGCGTTGTGCTTGCGTACTCGTACTTGCTGACTTTCAAGCTACATCGTGACGGTGAGTTGGCACTATAATATTAATGCCTGGTGACCAGAATTTGTGTGTTTAGAGATGTGAAGTGATTTCCCTTCTGCCTTTTGAAAAACTAAAGGGAAGGTCTACCTCTCTGCTGCGGGGGACGTACTCCCCTCAGCCAGCCGACCGCCTCGCTGTCTGCGCACGCCGGTTGTGGCTGGCGAGTGACGAGAAGTTTGTGTGCCCTCTAATATTTGGTGCTGTATATATGACAATTTTATATTTCTACTGTATATTTTTACTCATATGTACAGTTTATTCGTTGTATTAAAATGAATGTTACCCAAGCACATTTGTCCGTGACCTTCTTATTTATTGCCTGAAGTGAAAGTCAAGCCCGGGGATTTATCAAATACATCACTTATAAATGATTTTGTTTGGGATATTATTCACAATCATCCACAGGGCAGAGGCGATAACCACTATCACGCTCGACCCTGTAAGGAGACAATGACACTACAGTGTTTTTACTGTATTTTTACTATTTTTTTTACTGCACTTGTTTGTAATAGTCACCTCACTTAACCAAGAAAATAGAGCATTAAAAACAAACATCTCGGGGTCGACGGCACCACCTCAGCCTCCCCTGCGCTTGAAATGTTGATGCTGTATATAGACACATTGACATGTGCTTCCAGCTTGAATGACTGGTTCAGATACTCGGCGACTGTGTGATCCTTTGGTCGTTAGGAAAACAGAGGGGGGGGGGTATCGGGGAAGAATAACTGACACCCCCTACTGGCAAAACGCTAACACAGGCCAAAATACGGACACGCTGACAAACAAATCATGTGCCTTATTATCGTACAGGCCCCCTTGCAAGTGAGACTGGTTCAGTTCACCGAGAGTTTATTACACTTTTGATCATTCAGCAGTTGTGCTGGGAAGCGACTGCCGGTGCGGAGGGAGCTGTGTTTGTGTCTAGATAATTAGGCCCGACGGGGGCAGAGTGCGCGGATGAAGTGGAAGTGGTCAGTTGGACTGCCACGGTCAGCGCGGATTACAGGAAACCAGATGGGAGAAACTCATCCACCTCTCAGGCTAGAGAACTTGGCGTCGAACCTAAACATTCAGTGCTGTTTGGCTTTTATTGTCGTTTGAATTATTCAAAGCTGACATCAGTTTAAAATGCAAAGCCAGAAAAAACAGGCAGCACGATGTGACATCACAGAGTTTGGATTTGATTTGATTTCGCACCGGGGCCAGATGACTTCATTCATGTTTTATTCAAATCCCTGATCAACAGCATCTGTGCAAAATTCTGTTTTATTGATCAAGTCACGGCCTTCTGTTGCTTCCAAATAATAATTTTGTTACATTTGAGTTCTGCAGATTATTTGGATGGAAGTGTGGATGGAAATCACACTGGCCGGACAGTCAAATTAAATCACAGGAAAAAATGAATTATAGATGCATTCTCAATGCAGATATTAGTATGGAAACATATCCGATGAGAGGCTATTGGATTTAATCACTCAGATAATTGAGAGTGTGGGGGACGTGCACACACCCCGCACACTGATTTATGTTAATTATTTTTGGATGAATGTGAGACATTGGAAAACAGAATACAAATGTATCTTCTATCCAACTTCCCATCTTTTCTCTTCTCGTCTGCTGTCTCTTTTTCAAAAATAATTCAACATATGTCAGTCTTATAGATCTATTTTCAATTTTTTATAGAGCTTTTTTCAAAAACGTTTTATTGATTGATACCTTGATGCACGAGGACAGCTCTTGTGAAGGCGTGAATTCATGGCTCTCCCATCTGGCTCTCAGATCAAACCAAATTACTTCCTGCGGGAGGCAGCGGCTTTGTAATGACATCTTTTCAGATAAATTATGCTATAAATAACAATTGTTTGGGGAACAAACCTGTGGACGGAGCCACTGTTTTGTAATCCCATTGTACACAGGTTTTATTGGTAGAATTGTTTTCACAAGCGGATTGCTTCCCCCTGGCTCCATTACCGCTTACTGGTCACTTTGTCTTTTGCTGAGAAAATGGTTGGGGTTTCTATGGAAACAGTAACTGCATCCAATTGACAATGTCACAGCCTCTGCCCCGTATGAGGTCACTCACAAGATAACTTTATTATACAACACTTTGAGTAAATGCAGCAACAATAGCATCTCTCGATGAAAACAGAGAGCATTTGAAAGAAATGTGTTTTTTTTAATTCCCCATCACACGCAGGCCAACTACATTTATAGAAAACCTTTATTGGCTTGCATTATTGGTGTTAGCAATATAATATACGTACAAATATTGTTTGTTTTAACGTACAAAAACGTTTTCTACTCTATTTTTAAAAACATTCAATAACCATTTAACAACCATTCAGTAATAGTGGAACGGTTGAACAAAAGCTATTGAAGGTGATGATGACATTTGGAGAGATGCAGATCAATAGTGAGCTGGAAAGGCACAAATGATTGATAGTAGCGCCGCACTCCGCTCCTTTATTACCCTCTTCTAAAGACCAGCACAGAAACATCAGACAAAGTCTATTTACTATGGGGATCCAATACATTGAGTCTACTCACCCTGTCCTTTCTGCAATTTTCTCAAAGGAAAAATGAATACATTATAAGCATGTGTGTGTGTGTGTGTGTGTGTGTGTGTGTGTGTGTGTGTGTGTGTGTGTGTGTGTGTGTGTGTGTGTGTGTGTGCGCGCATGTCTGTGTGTGAGAGAGATGTGCAAAAGGGCAAGGCAAGTGACACAATTATTTCTCATTGTGCTGCGTTACAAGGAACACATCTATAATCTTATTTGCTCCACACAGAGGTTGAGACCACTGGAATAAATGTTGATTGCTTTAATACTAAAGATCTTATAACTTACTCAAACTTGTACAAAAGGGATTCACTACAGTGGCTTTTAAAAACTCCATTCTGAACCTATGGTGGGGTTATTCAATTATAATTTACAAAAATTGTCATCATGTCACATTTTCTTATCTTCACAAAATGGTTGTTGAACAGCTTGGCCGTAAAAAAACAACAACGTAAAAACCCCCCAACAATACTGGCGTCTTTTCCTTTTCGATTCAAAGAAAAACACAGGAGAGATCATTCAAAGGTACATTTCGCCCGAGGACCCGCTGTTCAAAGTACTTTCTCTGTTTTTCTCTGGAAAACTTTCGGTATTGCCATAATAAAAAGTCATTTCTGGCAATGTTCGACACTGTCCCTTTAAACAGGGTACCTTTAAACTGCATTTCATGTTTGACTACCTTTCCCACAGTCTACAATAAAGAGGTGGGTCTTGAGTCTCCATCATCATCAGGTCAACCAATCATATGCATTCATTGTCGAGCGCGTAGTTCGAAATAGCATTACGTTGTCCAATGATCTTGGGATATTCTACAATTTATAAAATCCGCCCAACCAGTACAAAAGCGCTTGGCGCTGGCCAATCAAAGGACTACTATCTGGCAGAGAGGCGTCAGCGAGTGCTACCAATCAGATTGAATCTTTTGTTTAAACGGTGAGAGTGGGCGGTCCCGAAGTAACTTTGGGGCGGGTCCAACAAGGGAGGACGCGTGCTTGCTCGAATTTGAATCCAGGCAACAGCTAACAACTTGTTGAGGCTTTAGCCAACTACACCAGCAATTCAGAGACAGCGAGCAGTGCTGTATCACTGTAGCACCTATTCCGGTAACATATTCTGTAAAGTTTGAGTGTAGAAATTAGCTCGCATCTCCGTGACTTTTAAATCGCTGCTCAGTGCTGTAACATTAGCTGCAGGGATCGCTGTTAAAGGAGGGACACTGGACAAGGCAATGAAAGCGGGCGGTAAGTACCTAAAGTCATCTTAAAACCAGTTCCTACCACTACAAATAAAGGCACGACTTATCGGTGAACCAGTGTTTGTGGACGTGCGTTTGATTCTCCGCATTTGACAGAGTTAGCACCGGTTAGAGACTGTTAGGTGACGTAGTTAGCCACGGAAGCCCGCTGCAAGTACCTAACGCTAAGTTAGTTTCAAACGCAGATATTTGACAAACATGTCCCCCTCCTGTTACTGGAAGCGTTTGTGATCATTAAAAACAACTGCTGTTCAAAACAAAAATTCTGTATTATTAAACCCAGCCGTTTATCTGACGTTAGTTGAAGCACAGGAGGGAAATTTGGGCGCTCACTTTCTCCGCCGTTAGATATAGTTAATATATCACTTTGATATCACAACACTTTTGTTTTTACATGCTGTTCTAAGCTTCCTATGATCAGTTGGGTGCGATCATCTTTCGAGGTTATTTAATGAATTGGCGCATTCAAACGGAGGGAATGAGCAGACCACCCGGGGCCGCCCGACGTTAGGCTTTTTGAATGTGGAGCCATAACTCTCCGACCATCACATCGCATGTCCACCGGCTGCTGGCCTGTTTTAAACCAAGCGCACATATTTATCTGACATTGGTGTGATAATTAGTGATTGGATCTTGCACCAAGATGTGAAATGCTTTTGGATGATTGTGTGTGTGTGTGTGTGTGTGCTCCTGCAGTATACAGCAACACTATATTGCTTCTTGCACACAAGATTGGAGACATGCACAAGTGTTTGGAAACCTGTTTATAAAAGTGTGTGACACGTCTAACTCTTGAATTCTCTTTCTGCCTTCAGTCCACTGTCGTTGTTCAAAATGCTACTCTGTCCCGGTACGGAAGCGGGTGCGTAAGCGAACCCCGGCCCTGACGCTGCTGTCCCTCCCCGAGGAGGTCCTCCTCTGCGTGCTCCAGTGCCTCTCTGCCGAGGACCTGCTGTCCGTCAGAGCCGTGAGTAGAGCCGCCGTGCACCCTGCAACGCCGCCCTGCAGCCTGTATGCGCCGCGTCATCCCAGATCTGTGATGGACCGCTTGTCTTGACCTCCGCAGGTTCACTCCCAGTTGCGGGACATTGTTGACAACCACTCCAGTGTGTGGGCCAGGGTCAGTTTCAGGGACACGTGGCCGTCCCCCGGCACCGTTTGGCTATTTGAGAGGTACGGGCCCTTCTGTCAAACGCAAACGAAAGCCCATCTATCTTTTCAGAGCTGCCGCGTGTTTTATTTTAATTTTTCACCGCAAACATCTCTCTTCTTTCAGAGCTGCCGATAAAGGGAACTTTGAAGCTGCTGTGAAGCTAGGGATCGCTTATTTGTACAACGAAGGACGTAAGTTGAGCACTTCTCGGCTATGTTGCAAGGAAAATGACTCCCTCGGGTGATTGCCGTCCCTCACTCATGCTTCGTTTCCCAGCGTTGTTGAGCGACGAGGGGCGAGCTGATGTCTGCGGTCGCAAGGCGTCCCACTTCTTCAGCCTGGCAGAGAGCCTGCGCGCTCCCACCACGGATCCCTTCGTCTGGGTGTTCATTCGCCCCCCGTGGTCACCCACCGGCAGCTGCTGCAAGGCCGTGGTGTTCGACCGCCTCAAGGCCGAGTGTGAAGACAACATGGTAGGTCTCTCGCCTATTTAGGAGAACATGAAATCGTGCCTCCTTTTTGTAAGCACAAGTTGTTCTGACGGTTTCCCTTTTTGTTCACTAGGGCCAATATACAAACAATTTGATCAACGTCAATGCATTTGAAACCACATTCCTGCTTCTTTCCAACTATTCAACATTTTTTCCGCTTTTACCACGATACCAGATACAGCTCCAATAATAATGAAGTGCAGGGGAGATCCTGCCATGGCTTATATGAATCATTCACGTTGGCGTTGGTCATTTCATGATAACAGAAAAACTGGTATGCAGAGTATTTATAAGAAGGACAATTCCAGATTATTTCAATTAAGTGTTGGTTTTATTTGTCCCCTCTGCAGGAGAAGAGAGGACCCTTGTTGCACTGCTTGGCCAGAGTTCTGCAGCTGTTTGAAGTGAGTGCTCGGGTGTGGCAGGACACAAGTTTCTATTGGATCTCGGCTGAGCTGTTTGACTGGTTATTAACAGCAGAGATGTTGTTTTCTGCTTTTGGTATCGCGCCGCGGTTTCAACCACCCATGTTGATGGTTCCTTCTTGCAGCCATGGTCTGCTTTGTTCTTTTGACTATGTATGAAAATTACTTTACGTCACTTCCATTGGACGCCGATTATTATTTTTCCTGTATCTGTATGACGATGCGATGTCTGACCGCTTTGTTAGCCGCTAAGAACAGAACCCCTTTTCACTGTGTGTAGTAAGATATTTCACTCATATCTGGACCTGCGTGACCTTTTCCAGGGCGACGAAAGACGCTCCGAGGCCATATCTATGTTGGAGGAGTCGTCACAGGCCGGCTGTCTACAGAGCTCCTACATGTTGTGGGAGCACAACCGGAAAAGCAGCTGTGAGTGAGAATCTCTATTTATTTTTCCGATCAGAGTTCTACTTGGGTTACATTGACATTATTTATGTCTGTTATTATTATTGCTGGGACTATATTTACTGAGAAACAAGGTGGAACAAGAGATCTATATGCTTTTTAAAAAATATCATATATATGTAATTCTTTTCAGATGGCAGATCCAGGCAGATACCTCCAGTATATCCGAACCCTCAGGGACTATGCAGGCAAAGGCTGCTGGGAGGCACAGGTGTGTGTGTGCAGGACTGAAGTCAGAAACTTTCCAGTAAATGTATTGTAGCAGTTGATTTGATGTGTTACGGAGCCTTTTCACTCTTGTGATGCCTTTTTTTTGTTTTTTAATTTCCCTCGGTGTGAACCACCATCTAATGATGCCAAAGACACTGATGTGATTTGCCTCTGAATGGCTTCATCTTAAATTTCCGGCATTACTCTTCATTGTTTTGTCATTTGTTTGTAGTGTTCTCAAAGTGGTGTGTTCTTTCCTCAGCTCTCCTTGGCTAAAGTGTGCAGCGGCGGGAACCCGCTGGGCCTGGAGTCGAGGGCCTGCTCTGACCTGGTGGCTCAGCTCTTCGGTTCCTCCAACCCGGCTCCACAGCACTGCCCTCAGGGCGTCCTGAGACAAGGCATTAAAGACACAATGAGGTAGACAGAAACATTAAAAGTGCCGTATACGTGGACGGTTTGCAGAATGCCACAGCGTCCAGTTTAATCAACGGGACTCACCACGAGAGCGGCGTGTGACTGCTAGAAAAGGAAAAGGCCAAAGAAACAAGTCTTGCATATCAGCAATTTAGTATTGAACGTTTGTGTTGCCGTTGATTTTTGCCAGAACTAGTTGGCAGTTGCTTAGCTACGACACAGCTTGCTCAACCTGTGAAAAAGGTTCGAAGATTCACAGATCTTCTGGATCCAAAAAGTGAAGAAAAGACCCCACAAATCGTGCACGATACGCAGGCGTAGCCACATTCGCTCCACACACAGTCTGCTTCAGTTCCGTCTTTCTTTGATGGCCTGACTGTGGGCCGTGAAGACACCATTAATATGCGCTTTTTATTTTTGTAAACACTGGAATCATTATCAATGATGTTCATTCATTTTCTGATCTTTCCGTTCCTGCCTGTGTGCCCGTCTAGGTACATCCTGGTGGACTGGCTGGTGGAGGTGACGACCATGAAGGATTTCTCCAGCCTGACGCTGCATGTGACCGTAGGTTGTGTGGACCGCTACCTGGCGCTGCGCTCCGTCCCCAAAGCTCGCCTCCAGTTATTGGGAATCGCCTGCATGGTGGTTTGTACACGGTGAGAATGCACACAAGCCTCTTAATGTGAATTTCTTTTATATTTTACTTTTTAATGTAATACCCTTCCCTTAAGGGTTAACTGGCTTTGTGGAAGGAGGATTTTTAAGGGCTTTTGGGAAAGTGTGACTTTTTTTATAGCTGTTTTTTGGAAGGTAAAATTAATGATTCATCTTTTTGTTTTTCAAATACAAATGATTTCTGGATTAAAATACTATATCCTTTTTTTTTACGTTTGGTTCTCTTTGTTTTCAGCTACATCAGTAAAGAAATCCTGACCATAAGAGAAGCTGTCTGGCTTACTGACAACACCTACAAATATGAGGACCTGGTTCGAATGATGGGGGAGGTTGTCTCTGTGCTGGAGGGAAAGATCAGGGTGAGTACAACAAACGTCCCCCCCGTAGAGAAGAGCGTTTCCATCCTATCAAATATATTTGATGATTTCAACAAAAAAATAACTCGACCGAATTCAGTAATCAAACTGCATAAGAAGGTAGAAACGGCTGCTGGCGGCTTGTGTCTCTTCCTCCCGTTGGCCGTCGCTCTGCTTCCCTCTGGTTTCCTTTCTGTCTGCAGATAGCTGTATTGTTACATACATACTTATTACAATGTGTCTCTATGCCCGCATCTCCTGGTGTGAACTACTACGACAAACACATCACACTCAAGATTATAAAGATTACATTTGAGCCCCCCACCCCCCAACATAACAAAAAAAAAAACAGGCAAGACTTCAGCAACTCAATTCCACTGTAAATTCTTGTCCAATAAAGATGAGAGTTTAATCGATTTTAAATGTGAATCTTCTCATGTAAAGAGTGACTTCATGCTCTTCCCCCACAGAGCCCCACCCTGCTGGACTACGGCGAGGTGCTGCTGTCCCTGCTGCCCCTGGAGAGGCGCACCACCCACCTGTTCAGCTACATCTGTGAGCTGTCGCTGCTCTACTCGGCTCTCTCCACACCACCGCCGTCCAAGCTGGCCTGCGCCGTGCTGCTGCTTGCCCGAGCGCTGCATCACTACGGTAACCACTTTGCCCGACTCTAAACCAAGACACGTATTGCAGGTGTTACATTTTCAATAGTCCCCATGACTCGTCACTGTCTCCCTCTCTGCAGCTCCGCTGTGGCCCAGCCAGTTAGTCGGCTACACGGGCTTCTCCAAGGAACACCTCGCCCCCCTGTCTGTGCTGCTGTATGTCAAGTGGTACGTTATTTCACTCATTTACCTCCTTCTGCGCCGTCGCCCCGTGAGTCTGAGCAGAAGGTCTTTTGCATTTGTGCGGTTCTGCTGATGTGGACTTGTATCTCTTCCTTAAAGGTATTTAATAATACACCTAAACTGTGGTCAGTGGCGGAAGCCTCTCTATATCTATAGAGAAAATAAACATTTAAATAAATTAAGGTTATTTTACGGGGGGATTTTGTTCAATTCTCCTTCACAACAGAGAAAAGACAAAGTATTAATAATACAACAGAGAACGCATTAAATAAACTACATAATTGACCATACAGAACCGCCTCGAGTACCTTTATTGCTATGCAACAACCAGCATTTAGAGCATCACGTTTGTTAGTCTCGCACCAACAACGACAAGCTAGGAGATTGACATCACTTTGTGCGTCGTCTGAAAACATCGCCAGGTCTCGTTCATGACGCCCACGTGAATTGTCCTCTTTGGCTCACCACTCAAGTGACTTCCGCCCCCAAAATATCAAAGTTTAAACTATCGGCTGCAGAAGATCAACCTGTTATTTTGAGTGTGCACTAATATGGAACGCTCCGGTTAATGTAAAGGGGTGTACAGTACTTTATGGCTCAATACAGTACACCCTGTGACTGCCTCCACCAATCAGAATGCTTGATTTAATTTAATTTCTCAATCACAATCTAGTATCAAAAGATAAAGACACTTCCAGTGTCCCTTACTGAGTGATGACAACGTGGTAACCTGTCTGAGGCACCAAGAAAGTGGATGGCCATTACGGTTTGAAAGCAAACATACGAGTGATAAGAGACAGTAGGAATCATTTGGACTGGAGATCTGAGGGGAGGGGGGCGGGGGAGGTGTTATTCACCAACTGAGTCACATAAACGGGCCTCAGGGTGAGTCACTTTGACAGGTGAGCATCGTATCGACAAACTCTAATTTCTCAAATGGATGAGTAACGAGATTTGTCCCCGAGAGTCGATCACAGCGGCGCAGTAAAGTGAAGTCAAGCGGATTTAAATTATTTGATTTTTCTCGTCTCCTCAGTTTCAGTGAAGACGTTCCCAAAGATTACAGGCACGTGTCCCTTACGGGTGTCAGGCAGCGGTTTGAAGATGAGGCCTTCCAAAACATCAGCAAAGAAAAGGTACTTTTATTTATTTGATATTATCAAAGGAGCACGACGCCAACCTCTGTTTGTCTTTGACTGATGTAACTTTACGGCTTCCCCAAGGTGATGGATTTTAAAGAGCTGTGTCAGATCTTGGAGATTCCTGAGGTGGAGCCTCAGATGGAGCCTCCCAGTCCCACTGGTCAACCAGCCGACATCCACACCTTCCTCGCCTCTCCATCCAGCACCAACAAGAGGTAACCCACATCATCATCTTTATACATCTTGTATAACCTCAATAAACATTTGAATATAGACCACTACATTGTGCATTCTGTGAGCACTTGCTACGTTGCTTAGGGCAAAATGGCCTGCCAGACATTTTCTTCTTTGCTCTATTGAGTAGTCCTGTTTTATGGCGTTGTCTGGCTTGCTTTTCTTACTCAAATTAGCATTTTATTTGCAAAGTAAGGGCCTGGACTGTGGAGAACACAAATCCGCAATATCTCATTTCTCTGTAGGTTTACGTTTGTATCTCTAATAGCAACCCTGTCCAAAAAAAACACCCCAACATAACAACCTTCCCCAGAAGGTGTCCGTAAATACCATCTGTGAGATGCTACGGTGACTCACTGTAACACACTTGTCCACTTTCTCCCCCAGGAGACGGGATGACGCCATGCATGCCCACAGAGCCAGCTTCGTGGCCACACCCACCGCTGAGCTGTCCAATCAGGAGGAGACGCTGCTCGGCAACATTCTGGACTGGAGCCTGGACACTTCCTCTTCCGGTTATGAGGGGGACCGGGAGGAGGAGAGCGAGGGGGAGACAGACTGCGATTGTGAGTGTTGACTAAAAGATGGAAAGGGGCTAAATTTATTCCAATTTGGCTACTGGCAGAGGCTCAACGGTGCAAGGTGTATATATACGTGTATAGAGTGGGGAATAATGCATGAGTCAGTCACTCAGCTGATTAAGCAACTTGAGTTGACGCAGCACCATAATAAAGCTGCACATAAATTGAGGCTGACTGCCATTGACAAATGATGATGGATGATGGTTGCTGTGCGGCGTGTAAATGATTCAGTATTTTAAGCTCTGGACACTTTTCTGTTAACAGCCTCCATGATATCCATCAAACTGCCCTCGCTGGCCGACGCAGGCGAGAGACTAGAGCACTGCAGAGCCATGTCCAGCGACGAGGACAGCTTCTCCGACGGGGAAAAGGAGGTGTGCAAGGAAGACGAGGAGTCCTTTTCCTTCACTACAGAGCTCAACAGTTCAGGGTACTCCTCTGTCCAGAGCGCTAGCCCCTCGTCCACAGGCTCCTCCTCCTCCTCCACCCTCATGCCTGGCACGTTCAAGCCACTCGGCACTTCTCTGGGCACGGGCTCCGCCGACGGCCAGCCGGGCTTCCGCCTTTTGGTGCCCATGCAGAGGCCCCGGGGCACCTCGAGCAAACAGGTGAAGAGGAAGAACTCAGCCGCTCACAGTGGAGGCGAGGTGGAAAGAGAAGAGGAGGAAGGACGCGAGTATTCTGCTATTGCAGGGTTTCTGAGCCTATAGACGGGGGGGGGGCGCCTCCAGCTGATCAGAGAGCCCTGCTCAGTTATGATCCTCCAGCACTTTTCTTCAGTTCCTCGATGCTGTGCCTCACTCCTTTCAGTCTGCACTGAGCCGTCAATTGCCAGAAGATCAAGAGCCTTTCAAGTTCAGGGGAAACTAATGGAATTACATGAAACCTTCTACCACATTACATTTTATATTTACAGTTTTACATGCATGGTACAATGACATACCTCACGTGAACTTAGACAGTTTGCTCTGAAACCACTGGAACAGAGCGTGACTTTCCTCAGGAACCTTTCTGTTGTCTTACCAGCCTTTCTACAGAAACCGATCTCAGATCATGTCGAATATATGAAGCCGCGTGGGCTTGTTTTCGGGGGAGAAAAAACAAAAAGTGTTCATTGTCCAAATCATATTGTGGTAAAATCTCAAACACGGCTGTCATCTTATTGTGATTGTTTTGGTTATCATAGTTTCTGATATGCACTGTCAGTACAAGACTTGTCTTGTAGTTGTTGAATGTCATCAGTAGGTGACTATTCTCGTCTGTCTACATCTGAAGCCTAAAATAACGATTGTGTGAACTCATTTCCTTTTTAATTCTGCGTGTGTTTGCCAAAGGTACTGTTGTGATGTCACGTGCAACCGTCAACCGCCGTGAAATGACTTTCTTGGTAGTGTTTGTCTTCTAGAGTGCATCTATACACCTGCATTTTGGTCCATGTTACTTGAGGACGGTCTTTTTAGACCTAAAGGTGTTCTCTCCATAGATTTTAGTGTGCAGATGTCCATCCTACAGGTTTGAGCCACATTACCATATTAGGAAAAACTAATATAAACATGTCTGCTGTTGATGTTGACATTACATGTTCAGTAAGTGTTGCTCATACTAGAATTATTCATGCTCAACCCACTTTTCCACCAATCTGAATAAGGTCGATCAAGTTTATCATCACCGAAGGAGGGTAATTCAATTCAACGTGACATTTTCCCTGCTTGAACAATCAATACAAGTGTTTTGAATGAATTTGCTTTGCCCTCATGGAGTGAAAGGGAACTCGGACACTAACGGAAAATGTTTAACTGACGGGGGTTTTGAAATGACTGTAAGCCACAGTACACAATATCAAAACGTCTGACTGACTGTAAATACATTTTAACTGTTACGCTAGGTTGGTTATAACCCGTTTTATTAATGTACATAGTACTATATGTATACATGGAGGAAGACCAGGAACTTGCCACTAATACTTGAAATTGTTTTCACTTGATTCCAAAACGGCAGTTTTCTTTGAATCTTTCTACCCTACAGTGTTTTCTCAACAGACCTGTGATGTGAATATATAATTTTGTACTGAGTTTAAATAAAAGAGACCATCGTACAAGTGTCGTTTAAGTGTGACATTATGCCACCACACAATAAATTATTATCTGTATATGTTTTTCAATTAGCTATTGACTGAAATTGTGACATTTCATCTGCATTGATTTAGCAGATTCTTTTTAAGTGGTTTTGCTACCCATTTGAAAAAGTTTTGTGTATGTCCACTATACATTCCACTAGCTGACTAAACGTAATAGAATTGTCCCTTATTAAACTTGTTTAAACAGAAACCAATACGTTTGCAAATCTTGCAGGTTTTAACTTTACGTATTAAAAGATTTACACATTTCATCATATATTATGTGGCCACTGTGTTAATACAATTTAAATTCATTGTACGACTGCAGACTGCAACGTCACAAAGGCCATTAGGTACAAAAATACATATCGTATGTCTATTTATGACCAACAATAAAAACAATTTTAAAAGTTTGCGCCTGCCAGAATTGAAATAAGAATGAATACCTAAAAACATACAATATTTACTGTAAACTCAGCTGCTGCGATCACGTGACACTCCGCTCCACTAGTGCTGCGATCACGTGTGCTGCTGTTTGCACGATGAATTCACGGGCTAGCGTCAACACAGAAGCTGGTGCAATGTCATCGCCTCGCTAGCAGCCAGCGAACCGGAGGGTTACAAATAAAAAAGAACCTCAGCGGGCTACCGACGTCGTTGTCCCCGCTGATGCTAGCAGAGCCTCGGCCCTGCGGACGACAGAAGAAACCCGGAACGGACGCCTTTCCCATCGCTTTTACACCGAGAAGGAGGAATTGCATCCGCCTCGAGAGGAAGACCGCAGCTCGGAGAAGTTAATGTGCCGAAACATGCTTTTCATGAGGTAATTTAACACGCCGATGCGTTGACATTTCTCCAGCTGGGGACGTTTTTTTTATTTTAAAGGGTGAAAGGTGATCTCATTTGGGTGCGTCAACAGGGTGTCGTTAGGAATCACCTAGCTTTTGTCCCTCGGCTCCATCATTAGCATTCGTTGGAATCCTTTTGGGATTGACGAGCACACCGAATGTCCAATCAGAAGGTCCGGGCAGGCAGCGTTTGGCCAATCAGAGAAGAGCAAGGGAGGTTCCGGATAACAAGGAAAAGGTTGACGTCCGAAAGGGCTTTATTGTTTGCCGGGACGTGCTAATAGAAAAACGTCTTTTTTTTACAACACGGCCCTCTAATTTAATGATATATTTAAGGATAATACGTACAATGACCCATGTCAAGGATGTAGCCACTCAGAGATGAATGACACTAGTGTGTTATTCAGGATTTTCCAGAAGTACCAGTTTTATTACATTATAAACTGCAGAGCTGCGCTGGGACTTTAGGTTGTAGAAGCTGTAACAGGGGACTGTCCCTGGTGAGGGGTTAGGGGACTATATCTACAGAAGTATTAGCAATATTCTTATGCACTCATTCTTATCTCTATCAACATCTTACTGTGCTGTTTTGACTGAAACAATAATCTCCGTTGGCCTAGTAACTGGTTCAGCGTGTGGATGTCAATAACCTGTTTGTTTTCTTTGTCTGCGTTTTTCTTTTATTTGTACCACTTAGACCGTGTTTCTTTACCCATATCATGTGATTTTCTTCTTCCCCTATAACTTCTTTTGTGCTTATCGTCATACTATTGTTTGCTCGATTTCACTTCTCATTTTTTTTCTCTTGAGTTATGTTTAAAATAAACCTGAGATCTGAAACATCTGATCAGTCATCATTACGGGTGGAGGCTGTTTAAAAAAACAAAACAAAGCTTCAAGAAACCTTCATACCAGTTTGAATAAATGAAATGTGGAGCTCTAACTCAAAACTCACAATATCACCCCTCTCCTCTGTCTGCAGAAGGCTGACTGGACTGTGATCTGAGCGCCTCTCAAAATGGCTATTGCGCGACAATTTGGACTCCTGTTGTGGAAAAACTATCTTCAGCAGGTGAGTTGGGGAGAGGCGAAGCTTCTGTGTGTCATGTTTAGGTGCCGACACTGTGTGCATCTGTGAATTGTCCAAAGAATCAGCGTTTACCGAGCAGAGGCCTGCGAGACCGTACTTGAAAATGGTCACGTCATAAATACAGTAAAGTGACCACATTTTTATTTTCTACTACTTATGATGTTAGCCAGCTGTATAAAGGCCAAGAATCATTAGAAGACAATATAAACCTTAATAGAGCATCAATAACAATGAAATAGAATAAATTACTGGAAAATAGTTTTGTAAATATTTTCACACTGCTTACAGTTATGTATTTATAATATACAATTTAACTACATACAGAAAAACATGTTATCCCTAAAAACAACAGATACATTGAAGGAAAAAACAAAGGGGTTGAAAAGTTTAGTGCAGTGTTCTGGAGATACTCCTGCACCTTTGGTAATGTCTTTGTCAGGTTCATCACAGCTCAAAACTTGCTCGGACTTGATGCTAGCGGCTATTTTTCTTTTGTTTAAGTTTAACTTTCTACTCTTGAGACTGCCAGTGTGCACTGCTCTGAATGGCAGCGTGCATAGTTTTGAACAATGATATCAGCCGATGGTTGCACAACACTGCCTGCAACAGTCCACGCATGTGCGTGGTGTTCCAGCGCTCTTCATCCACTCTTTGCTGCTCCAGTTGCGGTTGTCTGGAGACTACAGGGACTTCATCAGGAACAGGCAGGAAACAACAACCGTTGGTGTTTATTCGGTGGAGTCCTTATCGCAACGGGCATCCCTCATTTAGAAAAGTTGAGGTCATCTTGACATATGTTCAGGTCAGCAGATTTTAAGAGCTGATGCAATTTTCAGTTTTTCTCAAAGTGTGTGTTCTGATTATGAGCGTTATCAGCAGGCTCGTTGTACCATAGCATGTCGTCTGAGAAGAGCCAAATGAAACAACACCAAGTCCCGTTGAAGAGCCTTAAAAGGAATGTTGTTCAAGTTATACTTGGAATCAGTTGTCAACTTTTTTCCTCATCCTCAATGAAAACATTGAGACACATGACAGTAAGTCACTTATTATCACGTATTGTCTCATGCACAACAAAAGCAAAGAAGAAGTCATTGCTTGTGATCTTGATTGAAACATGACATGCAGTCAGCAAGCAACATATTATTTTTAATTCACCTCTTCTACTCCCCTGAATCCAAAATGTCTCACCACTCTTTTATCTCCTACATGTGCATTTGTACCCCTCCATCAAAACCATGACCTTTTCATTCTTGCTCTCTAGAAACGTCAAATCCTGGTAACTCTGGTGGAGATCCTCTTGCCGCTGCTCTTCTCTGGCATCCTCATCTTCCTACGTCAGAAGGTGCCTATTAAGGACTACCCGAATGCCACGGTCTACGAGAGCTACGCCGTCGACGTGCTGCCCAGCCGCTTCATGCACCACCTGCAGCTGGCCTACGTGCCCCGCAACTCCAGCGTGGTGCGTAAGGTGGCGGAGGACGTGCGGGGCAGCCTGTTCCTCTCCTCCGGTGGGTGTTGGTGGCTGGTTCGCCGCCTTGACTCTGTTGTTTTTTTTTTTTTCCCACCATATTTTCTTAGCATCAGGACTGGAAACCCGGAAGACAAGTTAGCTCCCTCCAACTGTTGGAACCCTCATGTTTAAAAGCACATCTGGAGCTCACTGCGAACCAAGTGTGACCCCCAAATCTTAAATAATTTAAAAAAGTTTGTTGGGTGTTCCTGAAAGGCATTATCACATCGTGTTCTGCAAAAATGTGAGAGCAGATGTAGAAATGGGTTGCTTTTAAAACCTGGGTTCTGTTGCAGTACAGCGGAATGTTCACATCCCCGTCCACAGCTGTTAGTACCACCGTAACAACCACTGAAACAAATTCCACAGCCTTGAAAAACAATTTTTATTTCTGTCTAAAGGTGGCAAAAACTTCTTCCTCTAGGAACGGCCCTCACGAGAGCAACGGGTCGCACCCTTCTCTCGTCTCAGGCGGCATCATTGGCCTCGCAGGCTGTAATATTTCACCCTCCTCCCTCAGGAGACCTAAACCCAATTCTCTTATTAATTCACACACTCGCACCTCTGCGGGGAGCAGCTGCTCACAAACACATTCAGGAACCTGTTTATATGTTTGTATCCTCGCCTGCCAGACAATCGGCAGGATGGGCGCGCGGCTGGAACACACTTTAAGGTGTTCCAGCAGAAGTAAATGCAGAAGTCTGGATGTACGACATGAGCGTAATCCGGATCTACATTCTCCTCAAAGTAATGGGCGCTGCTGGCAGCAGCAGAGGTCGAGGACAGCGTGGCGAACGCGTCCATTAACTGTCTGTCCTTGACCACTTTCCCCCATTGCCCTTCCTGTGTTTGCATAAAAGCGTTTATCTTCCGACATTGACCAATATTTAAAACAGACCCTTTTGCCACACTCAGAATACCTCCACGAGTGCTTGTATAAAAAAAAAAAAGGTCACAGAGAAATCCAGCTCTATTGTCTGTATTCTGTTCTCGCAACGCGACGGGCGTGAAATCAGACGTACGTGACATGAACGCCGTCCCACTAACACTGTTTTAATCTTAAGTGCGTGTGGTTGTTTCCTTTCTTTTTTTAGTGCGCGGCTTTGAGACGGAGGAGCAGTTCGAGGAGTGCGTCAGAAACGACTCTCGCTCAGGACAGCTGCTGGCCGCTGTGGTGTTTGAGCATCCTTTCGCCCACGACGATGAACCGCTGCCCCTAAAGGTTAAAAGGCAGCACGCACGCGCACACACACGCCGTCAGGGTGTCAGGGAAACAACGTAAATTTAACCCGTAGAGATGTAAAAGAGGCGACACCGCAACGCGTTTTTTGCTTATCTGATCTCAGAGGGAGGATCAGATAACCGACGCTCACTGCGTGTTACTGGTTCGAGTGGTTCAGCCACTCTGTTCTGCTCCCATTGTTTGTTTTGGCCAGCTGGTAGTTTAAACACAGAGAGTCTTGGACTGAGAGAGAGAGAGAGACAGAGAGAGTTCCCGGAGTTTAGACCTAATCCTACTGTACAGATTAGCATAACAGACTCCAGCCTACATTACATTTGAAAAATATTTATTTTCGTTTTAATCGGACGAGAACAAAAAACAAGCGCCAAATTATGATACAAAATATAGTTGAAGATATTTAAAGAGACATGATGGTAAACGTTTTAAAGGTCAATGTTACATATATTTGGCTCAAAAGCCTTTGTTTGCTTTATTTCAGATACGCCAACCAATGCTATATTGTGTAACAACTTCAACATGAAACATTTCTACTACACACAACCTAATCTCATGACATCAATTGAGTCACAACATTATTCAATTTTTATGCATAAAAAATAACTTGCAGATTTTAATTTGAGCAGCGGGGGACTTGCAATGTGATGGCAAAAATAATTGACTGTCAACCTATTTTTCTGAAGAATTATTGTAAACCGCCACTAATTAATGCGCAGCGAGACTATGACAGGTTAGGACCGTGCAGTTGGTTACCACGGTAACAGGGCCAGTCTTTCTCTCACTGAGAACCAGGAGTTTGCTTCATGTCAGAGATAACTTTTACAGGTTTTCACTAAACCTGCTTTCTGAAAAAGGGCCCAGATGCATCAAAAACATAAATACAACAAAAAGGCAGTAAAACAAAGTATAAGACACAATTGCTTTTGATTTTTATTCTTTTACTAAATTTTTTTTAAAGTCTTTTGCTGTTCTTAGAAATCTTTTGCGTTTTTGTGTTTTTGGTTCGCAACCAACAAAACAAAGGAATGATAATGCACACATTTAAATACAAATTGAAGTACTTATCTAAATAAATAAATATATATCATGATAGGCTCCCAAATGCGTTTTACTGTATATGGATCATTTGTTCTACAGAAATCATTGAAGACCCAAAAACATTCATACAAACAGCCACACGTGAACAATGTGTATAATATCCTAAAGTAGCGCCTGTGCTTATTTATTGCCTATTCATTCAATCAATAAAAACAACTATGAGAGGCCGAGGAAAATACTGCAAGGCACGTTGATGGAGGTGTCCTCTCCCTTTTTTCTTCTCACTCTCCTATACAGGTGAAATACCACCTGCGTTTCAGCTTCACCCCACTCAACGCCCCACCTCGGGAGAGGTCGGAGTTGAGCCCAAACAGTGACCTGGACTGGCACACGCTCAGCCTCTTTCCCCTCTTCCAGCTGCCGGGGCCGAGGGAGCAGTACGACAAAGAGGGGGGCACGCCTGGTACTATTTCCCCCTCCGCATTTTTGTTCATCTCCCACTTCTTCTTCTTCCCCATTCCTTCCAATCATGTCGGCTGTGACGCGGCTAAAACCTTCATGAGGGCTGAATATTCATTAAAATGCATTCACGTGTCTTCGGGGAGCTATTCAGATGAGCATTCGATCTTTTAAGTAGCCATTATAAATCCGCTAAAACAGATGAAAAAGCACTTTATTCCCACAATCTCTGGAGCGCTCTTCTGAGGGTGTGTTTCCATGACAGCCACGGCCCATCACGTCTAGTTTTGGCTGCGCCGAGATGCATTGTACCTTTTTGATGATAATAATATGGTCATGAGGATAAATTGGGGACACCTCTTCCTCTTCATAATAAAGTTTCAATGAGTGAGACCCATAAAGACGGCCGTTCTGAAAGAGGAAGTCACCCTCTCAGCATATCAGCATGACTAGCTTTTAGAGTGGATGAACACATCTATTTGCAAGTCTGTTTGTGCCGCCAGTGCTTATTTACAATACGCGCGTTGTTTGCATTTCTCCTTTTCAGGTTATTTCCGGGAGGGTTTCCTGGCTGTGCAGCACGCGGTGGACCGAGCCATCATGCGCTCTTACAACCGAACGGCCGCTGCCGCTCTGCTGCCACAAATCCGCGTGGTCCTGTCGCGGTTTCCTTACCCTGCCTTTATATACGACGTCTTCATCCTGGCCATCCAGAACCAGTTGCCCCTGCTGCTGGTGCTCAGCTTCACCTACACCTCCCTCAACATAGTGCGATCTGTAGTGCAGGAGAAGGAGAGGAAGCTCAGGGTGGGTTTATGTGGTTCTACAAGAGATGTTTACTGGGTGTTTGAATTAGTAATAAAACTGAGCCCTAATTTCAACCTTTTTTTTGTCCTTTTCATTCATTCCAGGAGTACATGAGGATGATGGGTCTGAGCAATTGGCTCCACTGGAGCGCCTGGTTCCTCATGTTCCTCCTCTTCCTCTCCATTTCCATCTTCTTTGTCACTCTGCTCCTTTGTGTCCAGGTGAGTTTGTGTTTCACATATTTAAACGGACTGACCTGCAGCGTGTAAATATGTTGCATAGCTGTAGCTCGCAAAGCAATAGTTCATTCAGTGGGCATTCAAAACCTAAAGGAAAAGAGAGTGAAAAAACAAATTTCATAATAATGAGATTTTTGTTGCTGTTAATCAGTGTAGTTACTTACCAACAGCTATTTCTTTCTGTCTCTTTACTTTAGGTGAGCCCTTACGGAGCAGTCCTGTCCTACAGCGACCCCACGCTGGTCTTCGTCTTCCTGCTCGTCTTCACTGTGGCCACCATCAACTTCAGCTTCATGATCAGTGCCTTCTTCTCACGAGGTGTGTGTCAGTGTGTCTGAATTAACGCAACACAATTGACAGTCATGACCCTCGCGTCTTAGTGTACGGTTTGTGTGGTCGGGTGCACTTAGCAGGTCGCACTCTGGCTCCGTTTAGCTTGGGAATATTCAGTGTAACGCTGCGCAGGCTCTGAGATGCAGGTCAAAGTGTCTGCTGTGCTCCTTCCTTATTAGCGAGTTCAAAGCCTAGAAGCAGCAATAAAAGGCGCGTCGGTTTTTAGAAAAAGCATCACTCGTCACAGCCTCGGTTTGATGCAGCCTTTCACTGCCTGGTTGCGCTTCTTCTAACAATAAATATTGTAGGAACTAGTTAGTGTGTAGAAAAGTTGCTATATTGCGATGTGTCTTGTGGCTGTGGAGGGTCCGTCTGGAGGGAAACAGGCTATTTATTTCTTGTTGTTATTTCTCGTGTGATTTGCAACAACCGGGGGCGCCAGGAGCATAATGGACATCTTTATATTTTTTCATTATCTGAATTGCGAGAAGCTTGTCTTGTCTGGGCATTTTGAATCTGATCCTGTTCTATCTGGCCTATTTTGTCATATTATGTTATTGCATGTGTGTTTTTTGTTTGGTCTGGGTTAGTTATGTCTCTATGTCCGTAGAGCCCAGGAACAAAAGCTGCTGCAATTCTGTTCTTTTTTTTTAGCTGCCACCAATGGAAAACATTCATTTAATCACAACTGACCATAATTAAGCCTAAAAGACTTTTGTCCACAGGAGCTGAGTCGAAGTATTACCGCCCTTTGAGGAGGGCAACGGGCTCGGTCACTGACACTTTTTTGTCTTTGGTGACATTTAAAAAAATGTCCCGTTCTTCATCTCTTCTTTTTGCCGTCTATGTCTGTATTTTTATATAATTGACAGCCAGACATAAGTCAATTAAAATTGATTAAATTATCGCCGACTAACAGAAAATCACTATGTTGTTTTTCCCTTGGCCTCTGTACATACAAACACGTCAACACGCATAGATCAATACATCACAAATGAACCCAAACCAGGTTCTCCCACGTCAATTACATCTGTAGGTGGAACGGGAAAGAGGCAGCAATCCTGGTCGTTTCTGAAAATGGGCCAAACCAACGGAGAGTATACTTCAGTGCTGATTTTTTTTCTCCATTTTTCAACAAAAACGGTTTCTTTCTTCTCGTGTTTGTGTGAACAGCTGGCTGGCTACTCCTCCCCACCCGCTGAGGTACTTTCTGTGAAAATATAATGGCGCTTCGTCTATGCGAGCTCAGAAATGGAAGCAATAACAGCCTTGAAAGTCTGTAATTGGGCTCATCTGCCGTGCTCATCCTTCTTTCCCCGTTTCTCCACCGTCCCTCATTTGTCCTCCCTAATGCGTCATGTGAACACCGCTCACACACTGGCTGTCAATCGGGGAAATAGGTTTTGCAGCAAGGGTTCTTATAATTATAATTGACTTATTTTGCCCCCTCTGGTCCACAAATGCGTGTGCGTGCTCGAGCTTGTCTAGCACAACAATATGTTCTTGTGTAACCGTGACAACAGAGAGTGATGCTAGCGTCTCAGTTCCCCGTCGTTAAGGTCTGTTGTTGTTCAGCATCTCTCTCTTTTTTCTTCTTTTTTTCCAACTTCAGCCAATGTGGCGGCAGCAGCCGGTGGCTTCATTTATTTCCTGAGCTACCTGCCATATTTGTTCCTGTGGCCCCGCTACGACTTGCTGAGTCACGCCCAGAAGGTGTCGGCCTGCCTCATCTCCAACGTGGCCATGGCCATGGGAGCTCAGCTCATAGGCATGTTTGAAGGCAAAGGTGAGACCGGGGTCGTAATTTAAAGGGAATGTCTAATTTCCTCGCTGTTAAAATACTATTTGCATTCACTTATTTTGCTCTCCGCTCTCCTCCGCAGGAATGGGGGTCCAGTGGTCGAACTTGTTTGACTCGGTGACGGTGGACGATGACTTCTCCATGGCCCAGGTGTTGTGCCTGCTGCTGTTTGACTCCGTGCTCTATGGGCTGGTGGCCTGGTACACGGAGGCGGTTTTTCCGGGGGAGTACGGAGTGCCTCTGCCATTTTACTTCTTTGTACTGGTATGTTTCAAAGCGAGGTGGCTCACAAACGCACGCGCGCTCCTCACTGGGGATGCAACCAAATACAGCCGCATTAGTGGGAAGAAAGTGTGAACAGATGACGCATTCAGAAGCGACATGTCAGATAAATGAAGTTGTCTGTTAGCATTCATCCTCACAGTGCTCCAATGTTCTACTGCAGTGTCTATTAGTATTACTAATACACAACAATACATAACATAAAAGACATAAACCCCCGCCCCAAAATGGGGAAGTTGTGTACGGACAAAATATTGCATAGTCATCGGGTTGGTTCTTGTAATCATCTTTCCATCTTTCTGTTATAATGTTCACATGCTGTAAAAGTTCAACACATTCTGTGGAGTGACTAAATAGACTAGAAACATACTTTTTCTTAATTATCATTGTCAGTTTGCTTTTGAAATTCTCATATTTTTATTTTATCCTCTTTTGCCCTTTTGGATTCTTAGAGAGTTCTATTCATATTTCTTTAGTAAACTTTGTAATGTTTAATATTGTTCTCATTTTCGCTGATTTAAAAAAAGGAGAAAAACAAAACTTCACTGCACAGTGGCTATATGAATATTTCCTTTACAGGTAATGATACAGACAGAGGTAGTTTGTTTAGGAATAGGAAAAAGACTTGAAATGCACAAACGGGCCTGAAGTTTCGCAACTAGAAATTCTGCCCGGTTCTGAAATGGCTCTTAGATTTTGGTTTACAGTTAAAGACCCATTATAATGTCAACAAATACTGCAAGTGGGTGGTGTTCTGCACCTACAACTCCAGCGGGCCCCCGCGATGTCAAGGTCCTCTTGTTACAGGAAAATTGCCTTCGATCAAAGAAACCGCTGCACTCTGTGAAAGTGAAGTTTTCATTCCCCTCCACTTTCACTACATCAGAGAGTGAAAGTGGAGGGGAACGAAAACTTCAGGTCACAACATATCGGCCAGAGGAAGCCTTTGGGTTCAGCTCGCTAGAATAACAGGAAGCGTCTGAGTGTGTCCAGCCAACACAAATAGGGTGTATGACCGTAACAACTATGGACCGTCACAAAGTGGCCCATTAATCACTAATTCAAGACATTGCCAGCAGGGTGTGGATTATATGTTGACACACTTTATGTCCTGTGTGTGTGTGTGTGTGTGTGTGTGTGTGTGTGTGTGTGTGTGTGTGTGTGTGTGTGTGTGGGAAGAGATTTAGACGGTGGAGGTTTGACGCCGGTCTTTAGAAAGTCCACCAGAGGGACGTTTGTTCAGGAGACATTAAGAGTGTTCATGGACAACACTGGCCCAATCTCTCTTGTGCAAATCGTGCGATAACGACATTTTATAATTTCATCCTATACAATATGTTGGGAAATGAATACTGGGATTGCAAAGAACTGTTTTCTTCAGCCGCTCCACTTGCTACCTCTGTCTATCCTCCACTTTCTCTCAATCCCCCACAATCTGCCTCTCAATCTCCATCAGCCGTCGTATTGGTGCAGCAGCCCCCGTATGGCTTTGGTGAATGAGAAAGAGGAAGAGGAGGATGCAGAAAAGGCTCTGAAAGGGGAGTTCATCGAGGAGGAACCGGCCGGACTCGTCACCGGGATCAAGATCAAACACCTCGCAAAGGTGAGCAGCTGGACGGGGCGCCCAGAGGGTCACCGTGTCCCAAAGCACCCTCGTCGCACAGGTAATGCATGTAAATGACTTGGGTTCGTCCCCTCGACAGGAATTCAAAGTGGGAAACAAGACGCGGCAGGCTGTGCGGGACCTCACGGTGAACATGTTTGAGGGACAGATCACGGTGCTGCTAGGACACAACGGGGCTGGGAAGACGACGACGCTGTCCATGCTGACAGGTGACCAATGCGCCAATGGACACAAGTCAAACAAACCGTCTGAACTGTACTGATTGCCTGTGTGTGTGTGTGTGTGTGTGTGTGTGTGTGTGTGTGTGTGTGCCTGCAGGGCTGTTTCCTCCCACCACGGGCAGAGCTTATATCAACGGTTACGACATCTGTCAGGACATGGCTCTGGTCCGCCGCAGTCTGGGACTCTGTCCCCAGCACGACGTTCTGTTTGACAACCTTAATGTCAGAGAGCACCTGCTCTTCTACGCGCAGGTAGCTGCATGATGAAGCACCCGTACACAAAACAACACGCGCATACTTCAGCTCAAACTTCGTCTTCTGGTCAGGTGCTAATTAGTTAGGGGGTTGGTTCTTAGCTCGAGAGGTTTGAGTTCACCGAAATCTTTACTGTGTGTGTGTGTGTGTTCATGTGCGTGATATCCAGCTGAAAGGATTCTCCAAAGAAAAGATTCCCGATGAGGTGGACCGGATGATCCGCGTCCTGAATCTTGAGGACAAGCGACAGGCTCGCTCCAAGACGCTGTCTGGTGGCATGAAGAGAAAACTCTCCATTGGCATCGCCCTCATCGGAGACTCCAAGGTGAAGAATTTCCCGATAGGTACTCGCTTGAATTCCCCCCTCCCCCCCATATCTGTCCCCCACACTGACCACGTCGCATGCCTTCGCCGCCCTGCAGGTGGTGATGTTAGACGAGCCCACGTCGGGCATGGACCCGTCGGCTCGGCGCGCCACCTGGGACCTCCTGCAAGGGGAGAAGCGCGGTCGCACCATCCTGCTCACCACGCACTTCATGGACGAGGCAGACCTGCTCGGCGACCGGATCGTCATCATGGCCGGGGGAGAGCTGCAGTGCAGCGGCTCGCCCCTCTTCCTCAAGAGCAAATACGGTAAGTGCAAAGTGGAGGCGAATTGTATCTCTCCAAAGCAAAATACGTAGTAAGCTCGCCGAAAGACGGGTCGTGGCGTTTCTTGCTTCGTACCTCCAGAATTCGTAAATTGTGGTTGCAATGCGTCACACGGGCCTCCTTTCTTCTGCTCACCAGGTGCTGGTTACCACATGGTGATCGTTAAGGATGCTCTTTGTAATGTGTCCGAGATCACCCGCCTCGTCCACATGTATGTTCCTGATGCCACACTGGAGAGCAGTGCGGGGGCTGAGCTCTCTTACATCCTGCCAAAAGAAAGCACCAGCAGGTGAGTCAGTCGCAGCTTTGTTCGTACTCACAATAACACATTGGAAAGGGTGACGTGGCCTAAAAGGTAGAAGGACCACCGACCCAAAAGTCCCCCCCTGCTGAGCATTGTGACTATAAATGATGGATATTGTGAAAGGGGCAACCTGCATTCACTCTGGGTATTTGATTCTAACAAATACAGATAATCACCGGATGGCTTTTCTCTCGGTAAAAGAAAAACCGGAACACGTTTTGGTCATTAGAGCAAAACACATAAGTCGGGATCAATGCACTAACTATACAAAAATGGTCTCTTTTTTTAACACAACCTTTCAATTATTCTATGCTCCGTTTATTTCTCTTTTAATAACTATATCTCATTTTGCCTACTTCTATGTAGTTGCTATATTCAGATTTTCCTGACTTTGACTCCATAGTTTCACCCGTTACTGTTTTTATGATTTAATGCAGAACTCAATTTGCAGATACATGATTTCAAAGGTACCAAAGATGTAAGGTCAATTTTCGCAGCTCTAATGATAGCTTACATTGTTGTAGATCTGCATTTGTGAGTTTAGTGCGTAATGTGTGTGTCACCTCTTTGTTTGCTCGCAGGTTTGAGCTGCTGTTTGCCGAGCTGGAGATGAACAGAGAAGAGCTGGGCATTGCCAGCTACGGAGCTTCGGTAACCACCATGGAGGAGGTTTTCCTCAGGTGGGAGAAGTATAGAGCGGGCAAAAGTGATTTCATCTAATTCTGCAGAATGTGTGTGAAAAGACTTAATCCTCCTATATTTTCAATTAAGCAGCAATCCACTGGTAGAAATAACCCAGAGGGTTCCATATACCATTTCTATTTAAGAATTTCTGTTGCTGCAATCGGTTCAATCTAATCATCTTTGGGAGCTTAAACATTGAGCCGCACCCTGATTTAGACTATTTTCTATTTTGTTTAAATGAAAACCATTGATGCGACTGATGTTTTCACCTTCTGTCCTTTGCACACACATCTCAGTTCTGGCTGAGAAGCAGACTTGACACGTGTATCTGTGGTACCGAGCAGTAGGGCGATTGCTCTTCCGACCGCTAACAACGCATGCTGTTTCCACTGTGCGCAGGAGTGTTTTCGTTGCAATTGCCGCCGCAAAGACAAATGTTTGTCTCACAGGCATCGTTGTTGCACTCAGAGTGCATCGGTGTGTTCTGGCCGTAAACCTGACACACCAAACAACACCAACGTGACGAAAAGCTGCTGTTTGAACATTTGGTCATGAATAAAAAATAGAATGGATGGATTGGAGGACATCACACAAAAGAGCCATTGTTGTTCTATTTTTTTTGTTACATTGATATGCTTTTTGTAGTTCTGTATTTATGATGTAATCTAACATTAACCCATTTTCCGCTCGTAAGTGAAGCATGGAAGGCATCTGTTGTTTTTCAGTAAGTCGGTAAACTGACACAGTTGACATATTTTTATTTTATTTGTGTTTTCAGAGTGGGGAAGCTGGTGGATTCGAGTTTGGACATCCAGGCGATCCAGCTCCCGGCCCTGCAGTACCAACACGAGAGGCGCTCCCACGACTGGACCACAGACGACGCCAGCAGCATGAGCGGCATGACCGACGTCACCGACTTCACCGACAGCGGCACGCTCATTTCGGAGGACTGCTCCAACATCAAGCTGAACACCGGGGTGAGCGCGCCGGAAGCCAGCCGGTGCTTTCCCTGCGCGCCGTTAGGTTTTTTGCTCCCACCCTGAGCTCCTTTTTCCTCTCCCCATCAGGCCAGACTTTACCTGCAGCAGTTCTACGCCATGTTCCTGAAGAGGGCGCTGTACAGCTGGAGAAACTGGAAGGTGATGGTGGCCCAGTTTCTCGTCCCTTTACTCTTCACCGTTTTGGCCCTGGTCGTGGCGCGCTCGTTTCCCAACCACCAGGACGCCCCTGGCCTGAGGCTGGCCCTCAGGCGCTACGGCTCCACCAGGGTCCCCGTGGCTGTGCACACTGGGGGGGGTCACTTGGCCGCCGCCCTGGCAAACACGTACAGTTCGCAGCTCTCGGCCCAGCTCGGCCAGCTCATCAACATCACCGGTAAGAGCCGCGAGCGAGACGGGGACGGGAGGGGGGGGGTCTTTACTGCTTAGCTGAGTACTTGCTGACCATGTGCCCCCCCTTTTTTTTTTCCCCGCCACATGGCAGATTTCACCGATTACATCCTCACCCAGGCAGAGGAGGAAGGCGGCAGCTTTAATGAGCGCTGCGTGGTGGGCGCCGCTTTCCGAGGCGCCGGCAGCCGCTACACCGAAGCGACCGCCTACTTCAACAACGAGGGCTACCACACACCCGCCACCGCCCTCATGATGGTGGACAACGCGCTGTTCCGGCTGCTGGCGGGGCCGAACGCCTCCATCGAGACGGGGAATTACCCGATGCCGCGCAACCTGTCCGAGAGCGCGCAGAGCCAGGTCGTAGAGTGAGTGGAGGGGACGCGTCTTCTAACGCGATTGTCCTTTTGGCCCTCGTGTTCATGCTGCAAAGAATACGTTTTAGAGTTATAAAGTTTCCTATAGGAATGTCCGTCAATTCTGTTGCACTTAGCTTATCGCTCCCCACTTCTCTCAGAGGCCAAACGATTATTGAAACATTTTCAGAGGGAAAAGAAATAACTCTAAAAGGTATTGTGAAGGTACTGCATTGCAGCATTCATCCTTGAATCTTGTAAGCAGTGAGGATTTGAAAAGGCGAAGCTCAAGGAAGCAGTTCTCTTCATCTTTTCTCATTTTTTTGCCTTTCCTTTGCGTGATTTCCTCCTCTCATTAACTCTCCCTTCTTCCATCTGCAGGGGAAAGACGGGTTTCATCATCGCTATAAACCTGATGTACGGCATGGCCTCCTTGTCCAGCACATTCGCCCTTCTGCTCGTAACCGAGTCCTCCATCAAGTCCAAGCATGTGCAGAAGGTCAGCGGTGTCTACCTGTCGAACTTCTGGTTTTCTGCGCTGCTGTGGGACCTGGTCAACTTTCTGCTGCCCTGTTTCCTCATGCTGGTCAGTGGGACATCTGGCCACTCGTTGGTGGTCCAGTCGATGAGTACAGTATGCACAAGAAGACGCAGCCATTGAACCGTCTCTTGCCTTCTTCTTGTCTCCTGCTCTCAGGTGGTGTTTCAGGCATTCGGAGTCAAGGCTTTTGTGGACGACAACCACCTGGTAGACGTGTTGTTATTGCTGCTGCTGTACGGCTGGGCCGTTGTGCCTCTCATGTACCTGCTCAGCTTCCTCTTCTCCTCTGCCGCTTCTGCCTACACACGCCTCACCATCTTCAACGTGATCTCTGGCACGGCCACCTTTCTGGCTGTCACCATCATGACCATCCCAGGTGAGGGGACACACGGGCTTCTCGTTTCACGCCGTGGACAATGTGTTATGTTACGATTCCGCTGCATCTATGGTGGGAAGTCGACGAGGGGGGCATTTCCTAGCAGCTCTGGTTGCTTGAGATGTCTGTGTGGAGAGGATTGGCCTCTTGAAATGATAGTGAGGAGGCTATTGGCTGTACAAAGACTGGGTCGGGTCAAAAAGGGACTTAACATTGATGGACTCTTCTGAATTGGGGGAATCTGGATACAGACGTGAGAGAAACGGGGGAGAAATGTATGCAACATATTATTTTTTTCTTGTTTCCTTCTGCAGAGTTGAAGATGCAGGCCATGTCCCACTTACTGGATAAAATTTTCCTCATCTTTCCTAACTATTGCCTGGGCATGTCCTTCAGCCAGTTCTACCAGAACTACGAGTTCATCACGTTTTGCACCCACGGTACAATCAGCAAAGCTATGTGCAAGGCTTTAAGTGAGTACAACTTAACTTGTGCTGCAGTTTGTTGTATAAGAATGCAGAAGATATAATTAGAATGAGGTTCAGCACGTACACATATACGGGATTGACGGTGGTAGTTTTATGATTCGAATAATGATGTAACCTACATATAGATTAAGATCATTTAAGTTTAACAAAAAATGGAAAAGATTGATTTAAACGTTTATTTTCATTTTCTACACAAATACCTGAAATGAAAATAAAAGAGGAAAAAATGGAGGCAGCGCAAATGACATGCATAATGCACCAGACACCATCAGACGTTTTTTTTTTCTGAATCGGCAATTCAAACAACGATCAAATGGTTCTATTTCCTGTTAAAACCCGACATATACCGTAAGCTATAAAAAAAAATACTTGACAACACTCTTCTGGTCCTAGACATCACGTACCAGACAAACTACTTCTCGATGTCGGAGCCTGGCGTGGGACGTTTCCTTGTGGCCTTGTCGCTGCAGGGTGTGGTCTTCCTTCTTCTGCTGTTCGTCATCGAGCTGCAGTGCGTCCGCACTCTCCGACGACTCCTCTCCTCCCTGGGCAGGAGACGCAAACAGGTAGACGGATAGTGGGAAGCGTCTCCGTGTATTTGTTTTGTTGGACACTTTAGCGTGAGACTGATAACAGAAGAAAGATATGATCATGCCTCTTAAGTGCAAGTGTCCCTGCCAACTGATCCATTGTGCCGACGCCAGCAGTCTTAAAGATGATGAAAGTGATTTTATTAACTTTTAAGATTTTGTGTTTAAGATTTATTGCGAACACATCATATATCACCCCTTGCGTAACAACAACAACAACAACAACAACAACAACAGCGCAGGGATACACTGAAGAGTTAACAAAGGGTTCAGCTTCGCACTCAATAACCGCCCCGTCACTTACAAGCACATAGACTTAAATTCATGGATTCTTCGGCATTTAAGAATTATGTGCCTCAAGATATTTGAACACGAGTGAAATTGTGTTTTGAAAAGCACTTATTGCTAAAATTATTACTTTATTAATCTATAAATGCATCAATGGAAAAATCAATCTGCAACCATTTTGATGATTGAAAATTTTGCCAAACTGCCTCGTCAGCTTCTAATTTGTGAGGATTTAGGGATTTTCTGTATCTTATCTTGTACCATAATGTATCTTAAATAGAATACCTGTAAAGTTAAGACGTCATCTTTGGCTTCCGCAAATTTAAACAGCCTTTTTTTGTTATTGTGATGTATCAGGAAAATAATTGGCATATGGATCAATAAAAGGGAGAGTTAGAGGTTGTAGTTACAGTTTCTGCAGGCTTTTCGTGTCTTGACATTAAACTATGCTTGTCTAATCGATTTTCTATTACGGACTACTTCTTTAGCTACTATGAAATAGCACTATATGTATTATATTAATCACAAAAGCCATGTATGTACTGTTGCTGCCAGAGGACAAACAACATGCCCAGCAGTCCCCGTTTTACTTTAAAAAAAAAAAAATTATTGTGATGCGGTGGTTGACCTTTGCCGCGTGTCTCAGTTACCTCTGCTGGAGGATGCAGCGCTGCTGCCAGAGGACAGGGATGTGGCTGAAGAGAGGAAGAGGGTCCTGGAGTGCCAGCCGATGGTGGAGTCAATGATGGGCAGCCCTCTCATACTGCAGGAGCTCAGCAAGGTACGTAGCGCAGGAGTCTTTTTTTTCCCCTTGTCTGAAGGAGATGAGTTTGTCTCAGTGAGATGCGATCGCGGTACCTCTCTCCTCCTCAGGTGTACAGCAGCGGGGAGAATCTGCTGGCTGTTGACCGGCTGTCTCTGGCTGTGGGGAAAGGCGAGTGCTTCGGCCTCCTGGGCTTCAATGGAGCAGGCAAGACGACGACCTTTAAGATGCTGACATGTGATGAAAGCGTCACCTCCGGGGACGCCTACATTGACGGATACAGCATTTTGAGGGACATTAAAAAGGTAAGTTGGGGAGGGAAATGGAAAACAGGATAACCAAACAAAGAGTGATGACCAACTGCTTTCAAGAGGCCAGATTTGAGAGAGAACATTTGCTTCTGGACTGCAGGTGCAGCAGCGCATTGGTTACTGCCCACAGTTTGACGCCGTGTTGGACCACATGACCGGGAGAGAAACTCTGAGTATGTATGCCAGGCTCCGAGGAATACCAGAGAGGTATGTGTCCGGCTGTGTGGAGAACGTCCTGAGGTCACTGCTGCTGGAGCCTCATGCTGATAAACTGGTCCGCAGCTACAGGTGGGTAAACCGTTCAGAGCCTTTTCAGTATGTTTTTTTAATTATTATTTTTTTCTTCGGATTTACATCTTCACCTGAATATATCTCGATTTAAAAAGAAAAGAAGGTGTATGTAAATAACATGGTCTTGTCTGTATATGCAGTGGCGGGAACAAGAGGAAGTTGAGTGCGGGCATCGCTCTGATTGGTGGGCCTCCGGTCATCTTCCTGGATGAGCCTTCGACCGGGATGGACCCGGTGGCCAGGAGGCTGCTGTGGGACGCTGTTACACGCACACGGGAGTCTGGAAAGGCCATAATCATCACTTCTCACAGGTGAGCGTCGTAGCCTTTATTGAATTTCAGCAGGGGTACATTTACTCAGCTACTGGGTCTGTATTTTGAGGTAGTAGCCCTAGTAGTCCTTTTACTTGATTATTTTCCTTTTTCTTCTATTTCATACTTCTACTTTGCTACATTTCTGAAGGAAATAATCATTGTGTGATGAAGCAGTCAGATCCTTTACTCAAATTGAAGTACAAGTTCTTTAAAATTGTACTTAAGGGCAGTGCTTACTCGGATAATCTTATTTTTTGTTTCATACAAAACAGTATTAGAGATGAAATTACCCTACTTCAATATGTGAAGTACATGTAATGCTCAATTACTGTCACCTATTTTTTTAAATGTTATTTAGAAATTATAATAATAATTTCTAAATAACATTATAATAATCCACTTAATTGATAATACGTAATAAGTAACTAGGTAATTTGGTACTACTTATTTTGCTTAAACTAAGTAAAAGCTCACAATCAATAAAGTATCTATCTATCTCAATACATTTTCAAAAGACCTTTTTATTTTAATTTTATTTTCTTCATGTTGAAAGGGATACCCCATGAGCAGGCTTCCAGCGTTAACCTTTCTGCCCGGTATGTTCCCACACCAGCATGGAGGAGTGTGAGGCCCTGTGCACCCGGCTGGCTGTGATGGTCAACGGTCAGTTCAAGTGCCTCGGGAGTCCTCAGCACCTGAAGAGCAAGTTTGGCAGTGGCTACACCCTGCTGGCCAAAGTGCACATAGAGGCTGAGCTGGAGGATCGTGACCTGCAGCTTTTTAAAGACTTCATCGAAAGTACCTTTCCAGGTCAGGGGCATGCAGTTGACGTTTACATACATACACTAACTCACCAACACATAATTATAATGATGTTTTTAATCACGGAACAACGTGTATTATTGTTGTTGCAACAATTAGCTTTTTACATTTGAATGCAAATAAAAATGTGTTTGCTTACATTAAAAAGTTGAAGGGGTTTTGTGGTTAAAGGGATCTGAGGCGAAACCTAATGCAACACTTTTTTTCCCCTGCACCACAGGAAGTCAACTAAAGGATGAGCACCAGGGGATGGTGCACTATCATTTGACTGACAAAACACTTACCTGGGCCCAGGTAACACATACACATACATATACAGAAATGAAGGACTATCTCTGCCCTTGTACAGTGTTAGCGCACACACCGGTACACTATCGTGCTGAAACTTTTCATAGCTCAAACAGAATGTTTAATCACATAAGTAGAACTTGCAGGTGGCAAAATAGCGTGTGAACACGCAAAAATACGTGTTCACAATAATGCTACGGTAGGATGGTCATGTTATAAACTCCAAACACTTAAAAGCTTACTTTGAAAAAAGTCTAAAATGTAAAAAAAGTAAAATAATTTGTATATGTTTGTCTTTTCAACGCTGCAGACTGTAGCATTGAATTGGGATGTAGACACGAAGCCTTTGATTACACCAGCGATGCATTCCTATCACACCCTTTTGTGCTTTCTCCCTATTGTCCACTACCTTCCAGGTGTTTGGTACTTTGGAGGCAGCCAAAGAGAAATACCAGATTGAAGACTACTGCGTGAGCCAGATATCCCTGGAGCAGGTGTTCCTCAGTTTTGCCCAATTCCAGCACTGCTCTGAGAGTGGGAGGAAGTAGGCGGAGCCTGGAATCTGTTCATGCACTGTCCTTTTTCTTCAGTGCTTTGTGTGCGTGTGAAGGACCTGTGTAAATGGACCTCTGATACACAACAGGTGTGTACACAGGCCGGAGCAGGTATTTATCTCCGGCTCCATTTTTACCTTCACCAACAAAACAGACACACACACACGCACACTGGGCCAGTTCCATCAACTTCATAATTTTAACTACTGTACCGTGTTTGTTTGGTTTAAATTGCGATTGGGGTCGGGATTACGCCGAGTGATTCGGCTCCGTGTGGCGCACCTTTCCAGTGCCGTTAAAGACAATGACAACACTCATCGGATACTACAGCTACTCCGAGTTGTGTCTGGGTTTATTTGTGTGTACGGCTTGTCCATTTTTTAAAAATTTCTAATAATTTTAGTTTTAATTTCTTTTATTTCATTGATTGTTTCCAAGCATTTATGCTTTTTTTCTGTGATAATCACAACAGAATGAACCACTCCATATGATGCGTGTAGGAAATAGTTGCACACCTTTGCGCCTTATCCAATTAACAAGGGTTCTCGCTTCTGTATATTGACCTATACAAAATGTCTCGTAATCATTTTGAGCCTCTTAATGTGGTTGCCTGATGTAAATAATGTGACGTGTTTATTGTACTAAAATGCCCTCTCTCATTCCGGCCATGCAGAACATTTACTCGTTTCAAGACTATTTTGGGCACAATGATGAATGCATGTACGTACGTATCGGATTTACAGAGCTGAAAAACGAGAAGACCATGAATCCTCAGAGTACTTTCCGTCCGGTCTGAGTTCTTTTATTACGCCTCCATTGTCCAGGTCTTGTGAACCAATGTTTCGGTTTTCCTGCCAAACAAGTTCCAATAACAGTGTGTCACCATGTGGATATTCAGCCTTCAGGAGAAAGGAATCGGGTGACAAAGGAGATTTTGCTCCAACGTGTCAGTAAAACAGGCGGTTGTGACTTCAAATCAAGTCGCGTCAGGCCGCATGTGATCATGGGACGAAAAATCGAAAAGAACGCAATGACCTTTGAGCTTTTGTGTATCATTATTCTTGCTATGCATCTCACACTGTGTGTGTAGGTTTTGTGTGTAGTACAACGATTATGACAGTAGTACAACGCATGATTCCGGATTTCGTCCAGACTACTTAAACAGCGCTACGATGGTCCTTCAATAGTAAAAGTAAGTAACTGTTATTGCGCTGCGGTCAAACCACTGCTGCGTCATCTTTAAGCTGCTCCTTTCAGGGAACGCGAGGAAATGCAATAAAGGAAATTAAATGCCTTGTTCGGAGGAAGAATGATCAATGTTTGGTCCTCATGTCAGAGCGAACCCAAGTTACCAGTCTCAAAGCCGTGATTGTGAATAAAAAACATTGTAATTGTATTTATTTATTCTGTAGGAATATTTAGAAAAGCATTTTAAGTTTCAAGAAAAACAATGAAGAATCCTGCGCATTTTGATGAGAAATGGATTGTCCGTTTCCTACTTTTCATCCATGTTACAGTTTAAAATTATTCCATTAGATAAACCTGAGGATTCAAATGACATCCTTACTCTTAAAAAAATCCCTCCGCTTTCACAAGTGATACGAATGTATTTACTGTCCTAATGGTAGAAAAACACCCTTACTACTGTAATCCACTTTATTTACAGCTTTGTATGATTCACATTGCGTGTGTGAAGAAAAAGTAGAGATGGACGTTCCAGACAGTTATAGATATGTGACTTAAGTCTTTATAGGATTAAAACTATTGTTACACTTGTTCATGTATTTGCACTTGTTTTACTCATTACATGTATGAATTAAACAAATTGCAATGTGGAAATGGAAAGCTCTGCTGATATCAAATGATTAAGTTTTGTTGAAATCTGATTCATCATATTTAAAAAAGGGAAATTACGTCCTTGTGTTCTGTACATGTACCATGAAAATGAACAACTGTATATGTGCTGCTATTATTTTTTAATTAAATAATGCTCTATGAAAATGTTAAGAAAAACCATTGCCCGGACTAATTCATCTGATAAGTGACACTGTACTTGAATCCATTCCAATGACTTGATACCACAAGGGGTACGTGGCGACACCTAAAACCTCCCATCACGGTCTTCAAGAGGCCACCTTCACCGGAATACAAAAATCTACTAGTACTGCAATATGTTTATGGAACTAATCTTACATTTAAAACAATGCTGGTGAGCGTGCTAAGTGTAGTGGGACGGTCCGCTGGGCACTAAGACAGATAGATACTTTATTGATCCCTCAAGAGGGAAATCTTGGTATCACAGCAGCATGTAGAGGGAAGAAAATAGAATAAAAAAATACACATTATATACAATATAATAAGATAGAAATATTAAATTATTAAATAAAATAAAATAAACTAAAACTGAAACACAGGAATAACCTTCCAAAAGAGACAATAATAAAAATTTGTAAAAGGAGAAGAGGAAGAGCAGCAACATCACAGCATTACAGGGTTATTATTGTCATTATTTAGCCAGGGATGATTTACATTACATTACAGGTCATTTAGCAGACGCTTTTATCCAAAGCGACTTACATTACACTTTAAACCCGTGGCTTTTTCACATTTTTGCCCAGGGAGCAATTAGGGGTTAGGTGTCTTGCTCAGGGACACTTCGACATGGAACATGGGGCAGCCTGGAATCGAACCACCAACCTTGTGCTTCCCAGCATACCTTCTCTAACCCCTGCGCCACGACGAGTAAAGTGTTACTGCACTGGGCAGGAATGATCTCCTGCATTGGTCCTTGTGAAGGAGTCTGTTGGAGAACGTGCTCCGCTGTCCCTGTAGCAGGTGGTGGAGGGGGTGGTCAGAATTATCCAATATGGATAACAGTTTCTTCAGTGACCTCCCCTCCAACACCTTTTCCAAGCTGTCCTGTTTGCAGCCAATGATGGAGCCGGCCTTCTTAACAAGTTTGTTAAGTCTGTTGGTGTCACCGGCTCCAATGCTGCTCCCCCAGCAGACCACGGCCAAGTACAAAGCACTGGCCACAACAGACTGATAGAACATCTCCAACATCTTGCTGCACACATGGAAGGATCGAAGCTTCCTCAGGAAAAAGAGTCGACTCATCCCCTTCCTGTAGACGCCGTTGATGTTGGTCTTCCAGTTCAGTCTGTTGTCGATGGAGACACCCAGGTACTTGTATTCCTCGACCATGGCCACCTCCCCTCCCAGAACCCTCAGCGGTAGATGCAGGTTAGGCAGAGTGGGGGCTTAGTGGGCTGTCCTTTTGGGAGTTGGGATCTTACTGGGAGAGGAGGTGCGAGCCAAAGAGGCGGGTAGACAATTGATCACCCAGCTGCTTTAGTTAGACGTGTGCCCTGACAGCAGAACAGATGTCTCTTTTTGGTGATTTTGTTGTGTACCTTTGCTCGAGTACCAGCACTTTTTTAGGGGCTGTTGTTCTCCTGCTCGTCCTCTATCTCGTATCCAACAGTTTGACCCGCCGGGAACTCAGGAAGGTGCCTCCTGGTCCCAGTCCTCTACCGCTGCTTGGCAACCTTCTGCAGCTCGATCTCAAGAGACCTTACGTCACCCTGTGTGAGGTGAGTCTTCATACAAAACAAATCCATTTTGATCTTTATTGGACAATCTTTTTGCCTAAATGTGTGTTTTTCTTTCAGCTTTCAAAGAAGCATGGGTCCGTGTTTACGGTCTACCTTGGAACCAGCAGAGTGGTGGTCCTGGCGGGATACAAAGCAGTCAAAGAAGCTTTGGTGAACCACAGAGAAGAGTTTGGAGACAGAGATATCTCCCCTATCTTCTATGATTTGAATCACGGCCATGGTATGATTTACCCTTAAATACTCTTTAATACATAACGTATTTACTTTGTAGCACAGAACCAAATAATATAGTGATAGTGTCAATAAGTGCTTACTTTTCTACTTGGTTTTATTTAGGCGTGTCACTGATGAGCGCTGTATGTATGACATCCAATTGACTAGTACGGTTTAAAAGACACTTGCATTTCATCCTCAAAAGGAATTCTGTTTGCTAACGGAGAATCCTGGAAAGAGATGCGCCGTTTTGCCCTCACCAACCTCAGAGACTTTGGAATGGGAAAACAACTCTCAGAGCATAAAATCTTGGAAGAATGCCAGTACCTGATGGAAGTGTTTGAAAAGCACCAAGGTACGGAGTTTATATATACAGGTGTAACTGCAGGACATAGTTTTAAGATATACACAAATAAGAGAAGGTCACATCTTAATTGTGAGTGACAATTCCTCCACAGAGTTTGTCATTTTGCGTATTCGGCACACCTTTAATACCCAGAAATGTTACTCTGTGCTGGAATCATCCCCCACTTTTTAGTTGTTTTTGTACCCTTCAATGCAAGTCATACAGAAGTTTCCTATAATAGAACAAAACAACACTTTACCTTTTGCTTAATAATTCCCTTTTTTGTCTCTTGTCATTTCACAGGGAAACCATTCAATACAGCAAGCCCGGTAAATTATGCCACATCCAACATAATCTCTGCTATCGTGTACGGCAGCAGGTTTGAATACAACGATCCCCAATTCATGAGCATGGTGGAGAGATCCAATGAATCCATAAGCGTTGTGGGCTCCGTACAAATCCAGGTGAACTTCATATTGGCTTTGGAAATGGCTGCAGTATTAAGGGCACACTATGGCAGTGGTAGCCGTCAAAGGTTGTGCTGAATGGTAAACGGCACCAGTTTGTTATAGCAACAAGGAAAGGCCGTTTTATTTGTAACAACAAGGCAATTCAAGGTGCCTCACGTAAAAACATTAGAAACAAACAAACTTTGGGGGGGGGGGGGGTTGTGGGAGAGAAAGTGGGCCGTGGAGTGAGTTTGCTTCCAACTACGACCGATTCTTTGATGCAGTCAGTGAAGGGGGATGGGGAAGAGGTGGGACGAGGGGGGCGAGTGTGTGATGGAGTTTGAAGGGTGGAAGTCCCAAAAAGATTGTTGGTAAAACGTGTAAAGTAGTCATGTAGACCTCTATACTCCAACAGAACAGAGTGCTGTTTGAATCATTTGTGTCTTTACATGGTGGGAAGTCGCATTAACTTTGGGCTTTGAAGTGACAGTGTTTTTTAAGTGCAGTCAGATTTAAAATAATAAATTTAAACTGATCAAAAGTGTGTTTAAATGCTAGTTTATGATTACATATATTGTGCGTAATTAGGCACATATAAAACATCTTGCTGTTAAATTAGTTTTCATTAGCAAATCAACTCTACTTGGGTTGTTGTTTGCTTTACATCGTCTTCACTAATCTTTCCTGCCTTCACTGTTACGTCACAGCTTTACAACATGTTTCCCAAGCTGGTCAGTTGGACAAAAAAACGGCAGCTTTTATTAAATAATCTGACGAGGACTGTCAGAGATGTCAAAGAACTAATCTTGCATCTGAAAGACACACTGCACCCTCAGTTCTGCAGAGGCCTCGTGGACTGTTTTCTCATCCAGATGCAGAAGGACGAAGTAAGACAGTTTTTTTTGTTTTGCAGTTTTCATTCATCCAAAAGAGCTAATGTCCTGCATAGGTAATGATATGTGGATGTTCTTTCTCTTAGGAGGCTCGTGTTAACACTCACTACAATGAGAAGAACTTGATATTTACAGTGACCAACCTGTTTTCAGCTGGCACTGATACCACAGCGACTACTCTGAGATGGAGTTTGCTGCTCATGGCTAAATATCCACATATTCAAGGTAAAAAGATGGATGCGTCTTGTCGGTGTGTATTTATGTTTCCACTTGTCAAGCCTACTGGTCAAAGACGAGTTCAAATGAAAAGTCCCATAGCAGAAACCCTTTTTTAATGGAAATATAAATAATTCTGAACATGTTCCTATGCAGACATTAGCAGTTACAGGGGAGTAGGCTACATCTTCAGAGAGGACTGCGAATTGGTCTAAATGCAGACACATCATTTTTATTTGTTCATGCCCGAGTCCAGACCAGGTCCAGGAGGAGCTGAGCAGGGTGGTGGGAAGCCGTCAGGTCCGAGTAGAGGACAGGAGGAACCTGCCGTACACTGATGCTGTCATCCATGAGACACAGAGACTGGCCAACATTGTCCCCCTTGCCATTCCTCACAAAACCAGCCGAGACGTCACCTTCCAGGGCTTCTTCATCAGTGCGGTGAATTGCTCCCATCCATTGTGTTTTGCTGGTCAATAAATCTAAAATAATACTAATGAAATGTTCATCAACTTCTTAAAGCTGAAAATGATTATGGTTATCGTCATTATGTGACTTTATAAACCTACAGGGGACCACTGTAATTCCTCTTCTTACTTCTGTCCTTCGTGATGAGAGTGAATGGGAGAGCCCAAATTCTTTTAACCCTTCCCACTTCCTGGATACGGAAGGTAAATTTATCAGGAGAGACGCCTTCATGCCCTTCTCAGCAGGTACAACAACATTGTTGGGATGTTGCTTTGTAGTGCTTCAAGATGCATTACAATTCTTAAATTCTCAAAACCTGCTGTAACTCCTCGTTATCAGGTAGCAGGGCGTGTCCTGGAGAAAGTCTGGCCAGGATGGAGCTCTTCCTCTTCTTCACTTCTCTCCTCCAGCGCTTCCGTTTCACTCCTCCACCTGGAGTTAAAGAGGATGATCTGGATCTGACTCCAGCTGTGGGCTTCACCCTCACCCCTTCACCTCATGAGCTGTGTGCCGTCAGTTGTGAGGGAATTCAAAATGAGAAGATTATTTAATTAGTAAATAACAATATACAGCTGCACAAATCAAACTGTTAGAAAAGCTGTATTCTACTTGAATTCATGAGGCAAAACATCAATGTGTTTAAAAGAAGTCACCACATGGTAGAGATTATTGATTCATTATATATATATTATCTTTATTAATGTATTGACTACTGTATTTCCATGCGCTGCAAGAACACTGATTCTAATTGGCTGCTGGGGCTCCATTCAGCCCTGATAAGGGGAAAAAAATAGTAGTTGCAGTAAAATCGTAGTTAGAGGGATATTAGCTATTCAGAAAACTATCCCTGCAGTGGTAAAGAAATCTAAAAAATAAATAATATTAAATAAACAATTTAAAACTTTTAACCAGCCGATTCTTTTGATCACATCATGTGATAGTGGTCATTGTGTAGATATGGTCAAACTGTCTTTGGGTTCGGTGTGTTGTGTGTTTTGAAGCACTCCAGGCATTTACGACGTGTCACATGGTGGAAGATTATGACTTTCAGCCCCAGATACCTTTCAAAAGCAGCTACATTCCCTACTAGCTACATACTTTGTGTTTGGGTGTGAAATTCAGCGACCCTGTGTAGTTGTTCGGCATATCTTAATTTATAACTTCTATAACTTCTCACTATTCTTTGTCTGGGTGGATAAAATGTGCTTAGACAGAGAGAGAAACAGATATTGTCATCCCTGTTGTTTGGTGTGTACAGAAGACAATATCTGATCATACGGGACGTTTCCTAGTTTTTAAACAGGCCCCACCGCCGCCGCTTCTATTTCCAATTCATCATCCGTTATGGAGTCATTACTTTGAATCACTTAAATTTGCTCCATAAAGAGCAGAGGGCTTTCTCTTGTACTGCCATATAATTTTTTTCTGGTTCTCTTGGTCTTTCTTGAAGGTTTCTTAGCTCGGTCTGCAGGTCTGTTTCCACACTTTTTGTAGTTAGCCTTCCACAATCTTTAGGATTGTGGCTGCAGTCGCTTTCTAAAAGATATATGCATGCATGTAAATACAATTTATATTCGCTAAGATGGAGAAAATGAAACCATTAGGAATCACTAGACCTCATCGGTGCTTTAGGTGGTTAATCCCCCTATGGGCTGTCATATTGTTGAGAAATCTTTAATGAAGATATACTTTTAAATATAATGTTTGTTTTACTAAAACATGTAATCAACAACAAGAGTGTCTTAAACTATCTGTAGGCACGTACTGCAACAAAGTTGTTTGAATACTTCCCAAATACTTAAATACATGCTTTTTGTGTGGGAGTGGTTACATACACTTTTTGCATAAAGTGAACTATAAACCCATTGGGCCCTGGGTAAAATGTGTCTGCTCTGCAGGGGGGTGCTCTGCCACACTCTCACACCCCCATTGTAAAACACGTTCTAAAAACAGTTATGTGAAACGGCATCCTTCCTACATTGGTTTTGACCCTTTGCATTAAAGGGTCACAGACAATTGTTTGTTTCTGATAACACGTATGTGCCTGGTCATCTTGTCTCTAACCATTTAATTGTTTTATTACTACTCACACAAACCCCTTAACATATTGCAAGGTTGTGCCCCCCTCACACACACACACACACACACACACACACACACACAAACCCACGCGCAGCCATAAAAAGTGCTGACACATGTAACCCCATACATGCACACGCATTCTAGTGCACGCGCATAAACTCCTGCTCCACACTCCAGTCCAGATGGTGGTGGTAATTCAACTCTAAGATGCTTTGCCAACTGCCAATGAACACCATAGAAGAAGAAGACAAAAAAATGATTGCTGTGATTGGCTGACCTGCTCATTCACAGTTAATGAAGAGCTCCACACAGCTGTTGTTAACGGGGTGGGGCTTCTCTGCAGAAACCTAGAAGGACTAAGACTAGAAGATCTGTCAGCAACTATTAGATATTTATCCTGCCAGTGTACTTTTCACAAAGCTGTTCAGCTGAAAGGTTTCTTGGGAGGACTGCGTTCCAAAAGTTACGATATGTTGATGTTGGAAGATCTTTTCCAGTCCTACGTTACAGTAGCTCTGATGCTGGTCCTCATGTGCATTCTCGTGTCCTTGTTTTTCCGCTCCAAAGACCAGAGGGGGGAGCCTCCTGGACCTCAACCTCTTCCCCTGCTTGGTAACTTGCTTCAGATGGATCTCAAGAGACTGGACCGCTCTCTTGTTGATGTGAGGAATGTGTTTGTGAGCAAGATGATACGAGATTTGAATGACAGGCTGCACACGTGTGTTTCAATCAAATGAGATTTGTATGACTGTTTGCAATTTGTAATACGTGTTATTGCTTTAACACAAGCTATTAGTGTATGACATTTAATATCTTCTCAACAGTCATTTTAAATGCAGAATTTGAATAAGTGTTCATGAAACTGATCTTATGAGGTGTTTCTATCTTCTTGTCTATGTTTTGAATTCAGAGTGATGTTCTTGGATTTAAATACTAACTTTTGTAGTTGTAATGATTACTGCTTCTTGTGTGTCATAGCTTTCCAAGAAAAATTGTGAAAATCGGTGTTCTCAGTGCATCTTGGACCCCAGAAAGTGGTGGTTCTGGCTGGATACAAGACCGTGAAGCAGGTACTGGTCATCTATGCTGTGGAGTTTGGAGAGAGATATGTCAGTCCAACTGGCCATGACTTAAGTGGTTCGCTAAGTAAGTATAACGCAGCTGATTTGAGTAATACTCACTCATACTATAAGGTTATATAAGTGACACCCACATTTGAGCTCAAAGTATACAGCTACAGTTTAATAGAATTTCATTTCATTTTTTCCATTAGTTGTAGGGACATTGTTGTTCAGACAAAAGCAGTAGCAACAACAGAGCGGTAGAAAGGTTGTGGAACAGAGTGGCAAAGCAACAGGGGGACCAATGTGCACGATAGCAGATAGATCGACCAAGATCTTTGCTCACAGAATTGCAACAGACCGTCTGTACGCTCTGAGACCTGAATGTGCACTTTGATCTTTAGGGTGCAGGTACATGAGGTCCAGGATGAAAGCGGCATCACTTGGTCCCACACAGCATTCAACTGCTTCACAGGCTTTGATAATAGTGTAAATTTGTCTTTAACTGCATCTGAAGTAATTTATTGATTTCCAAAACACAGTTCTGTGTTTTTAAAAAAAATGTATGATGCATTTACTTCATTATATGCTGTCATGAATGATTGTTGACATTCATTTCATATTTGTGTGCAAAGTGAATCCCCCTGAAGAAAAATAAAAGTTCATCATTCAACTTCTTGCTGAAATGATCCTAAAAATGTCAGACACAAAATTCTGTCTTTGTCTAAATATCATTTGACAAAAACACGTGTACTTGCTTTCACTTCAGGCAACGGAGTCTAATTTGCCAACGGGGAATCGTGGAAAGAAATGAGGCGTTTTGCTCTGAGCAACCTGAGAGACTTTGGGATGGGAAAAAAAGCAGCAGAGGATAAAATCATTGAGGAGATTCAGTATCCGATAGAAGTGTTTGACATGAAGGTAACTCGTCTCCTTTATTGCATTATGTCTTAGAAAGGATTCCATATTGTTGTTTCATCATTCATTTTTTGGTTACAGGTCAACCCTTCAATACTAGCCAGTCGATGAACTATGCAGTCTCCAACATCTTCTGTTCAATTGTCTAATGGCAGCAGATTTGAATACAGTGATAAAGAGTTTAAACTCATGGTAGACCGAGTAAATGACAACATTCGGCTTGCAGGTTTTTCTTCAGTACAGGTAACACTCTGTCTTTCATTAAATAAACTTAAGATGTACCTTTTGTGGGTTATATTGAGAATTACGGACTTAATGGGCATGCATAATGACATTTTTTACTGCGCATTCATCACATATAGACAACAAATAACCTGCCGAATGTGTTATTCTCTGTAAAATTCCAACAGTTGTTCAAAATGTACCCGCTGATATTTTAATGGGTGAGCAACACGATGCGTCTCAAGAGGAATGTTGCTGAAAACCAAAAACAAATAAAACAGCTGATCTGAACATTCAGAGGATTTGTGGACTCGTTTCTAGCACACAAACGAAAGCTAGAGGTATTAAAATCAAGCGTTTCTCTTGACAAATGTACCACATACCCCCATTATATTTCTACTAAAGTTTATATCTCTTCTGTTAATAAGGAACATTCCTCTTGAGACGCATTCTGTTGCTCGCCCATTGAAATATCCACGGGTACATGTCGAGCAACTGTTGGAATTTAAAGGAGAATAACACATTCAGCATGATATTTGTTATCTACATATATCATGTTAGTAGGGATTCCCATGAGTAATTATCATAACCGGCAAGGTACTTCTCATAGTTTATTTAATGAAATACAAAGTGGTACCTGTATTGAAGGAGAACCTACAAGTTGCATGTTGTCATTTGCTCGGTCTACCATGAGTTTAAACTCTTTATCACTGTATTCAAATCTGCTGCCATAGACAATTGAACAGATGATGTTGGAAACTGCATAGTTCATTGACTGGGCAGTACTGAAGGGTTGACCTATAAACAAAAAATGAATGATGAAAAACAAAACACCAATATGGAAGACTGAATGCAATAAAGGAGATGATGTCAAGATTCGTGATGTAGGCAGGACCCAGACGCAGAGTTGTGAAAAATGACTTTAATAGTCAAAAATCTAAATGGCGGGGGGGTCAAACACAGACAGGAACCCTCAGGATTGAGCATTCAACAATGACGCGACAAGGCACAGGAGACACACAGGGCTTAAATACACTGGGAAGGTGCAGGTTATTAGACACAGGTAGAAACAATCATGACACGGCAGACAGTCACAGGGGAAAACAGGACAAGGCAGGAAGTGAAGTTAACCCAGGAGCACCAGAGGCAGGAAACAAAATAAAACGAGACGTGAAGCCAAACCGTGACAGACAATTTACCTTCATGTCTTTCAAACACTTCTATCAGATACTGAATCTCCTCAATGATTTTATCCTTGCTGCTTTTCTTCCCATCCCAAAGTCTCTCAGGTTGCTCAGAGCAAAACGCCTCATTTCTTTCCACGATTCCCCGTTGGCAAAAATGATTCCTTTTCCTAAAGTAAAATCAAGAACAAACATTTTTTGTGAAATATTATTTGAATATTTAAAATTGTGTTAAAATATCTTCAGAAAAATGACAGTATGTTGAATGAAATATTTCTTTCAGTGACCTTCACTTTACACAAAGAGCACAAGAAGAAAATGCAGCTATTCAGATCAAGAGAATAAGGTTTTTTTCCTACTGTGTGGAACAAAGCATGTGTTCATCTTTCCTCCTGGGCCTCCTGCACCTGCGTCAAAAAGCCTGTTTGCGTCTCTCAATCCATCGTCAGCCTGAATGACTCGAGGCTCCTAAAGGGGGCTGCCTCGTTATTCTTGCCACTAAAAGAGTGCCTAATATCCCCCCAGCAAGAGAATATTGTCCCAGCTGCATTCTTTACACACACACACACCTCCAAGGCCAATCACAACAACTATACCCTGCAACAGTATCAACTCATTTTAAACTACATAACATTTGCATTACAGCGCATTTTAAACACCCCCACCCATAATAAAATCAACTTTACATTACATTATTGTAATTAATGTACATTAATGTAATGTAATGTAGAAAATCAACTATTATGTCTGTAGATTGCATCATAAAATGAAATGCACTGTATGTGTCATCTGGATAAACCTATACTGTGAGTGGTTATCACTCAAATCTGCAATATACTTACTCTGTGAATCGCTTAACATCAAGTCATTGCCAAATTGAGGGATTTGTCTCTCTCCAAACTCCACAGCATGGTTGACCAGTGCCTGCTTCACGGTCTTGTATCCAGCCAGAATCACCACTTTCTGGGGTCCAAGATGCACTGTGAACACGGATCCATATTTCTTGGAAAGCTATGAAACACAAGAAGCAGTAATCATTACAGCTTTGAAAAAGGATAGCGTATTTCACCAGAACATCACACGGAATTCCAAACAAAGACAGAAAGCACTTATTCAACTCTGCATTTACAATGATGGTTGAGCAGATATTACATGAGATCCCGTGTTGTGTTAAAGCAATAACATGTATTACAAATTGCAAACAAGAATTTAAATATCATTTGATTGAAACACACGTGTGCCACCTGTCATTCAAATCTTGTATCATCTTGCTCACAAACACATTCCTCACATCAACAAGAGAGCGGTCCAGTCTCTTGTGATCCACCTGAAGCAAGTTACCAAGCAGGGGAAGAGGTTGAGGTCCAGGAGGCTCCCTCCTCTGGTCCCTGGAGCGGAAAAAAAAGGAGAGAAGAATGCACATGAGGACCAGCATCAGAGCTACTGTAACGTACGACTGGAAAAGATCTTCCAACGTCATCATGTCGGACACTTTTGGAACGCAACCCTCCCATGAAACCTTTCAGCTGAACAGCTTTGTGAAAAGTAAGCAGATGGGATAAATATCTAATAGTCGCAGGCAGATCTTTCTCAATATGCGCTCTTGGTGTTCTCGTGAAACTTTATCAGTCGCAGTCTGATTACTGTTCCAATTCTAAAGTCCGCATCTCGCCTAAAATGGTCATAATACCCGGATGTGACTCAACAATGACAGAGGAAAATAAACACTACAGTTTATAAAGTGTATAAATATAAAATCATTACGTCGTTACGTGTAATTTTAGGACTTTTTCAGACGAGAAGTTAGTTGTTTAAGCAACATTTCTGCAGTTGGTTTGTCAACATTCTGCCTTGGTAATAATTTGCTCCGTGGATGCTGGAGAAGTGAGGTGTAGTTACCAGTGAGCCTCATCTCAGCCCGCAGAGAGGAGCCTGTAAATTGTAATAATAATAAATAAATATTTTCCACATATTAAGAATATTTCTCTGTAAGATATCTAATGTCTGGTCAGCTGCTTGCATATGCCTGTATGTGCTTGAAAATGTTTCTATTTATTTCATTGTTTGAAAATGTACATCTAACTGTAGCACCTTGATGCATCAAAGATATGAAATACCATGTTAATCACTAATGATGTCACCTATCCTAAAGAATGTAGCTTTATTAATCCCTGCATCATAGAAAATAAATACTATGACGTTAATCACTAATGATCATGTCATCTATCTTACGGTATGTAGCCTCATTGATCACTATATTGTATACATATAATACTATGAGGTTAATTACTATTAATATAGAGACACAGAAGAGATTCAAGTACATCACAAATGTAATTTATAGTGATGTTTGTGCAGTTAACTGTACGAGGACCACGACACTGATTATCGGCCTCTTGATGTTTGAGTAATAAAAAGACAAACGGTAGGTGTGTGTGTGGAATGTTGCCCTATGCAGTAAAATATTAACTGTTTAATTATTGTTACTGTATCCAACCTCCTCTTACTTTATAAAACCTTTATAAATCTAATGCTGTGTGATGTAATACAAAAGCCCTGAATTAAATATTCACCTGTGTTTCTTCAGTCCAAAATGAATATAAATTAGATATACACCTGTCAGTGTAATCCAAAGTTCAGCAGCACAACAAACTACAGCTGCTCCTCTTCATCGGCTTTAAATAGATGTTTGACTGTATAACAACTCTGATCTGATCCATTGAGATATTTTGCCTAATCCTTTTATTACTGATATATATATATATATATATATATATATTTACACCGGTGCTCCATTTTATATATACCATTTCTAATTGTAAATGAAAACAAAAGAAAAGCTTGATAATAGTAAAAAACTTGTCAAGAACCGTATTAAAATGTATTTGCAAGACTTGCTGACTTGGTCATGTGGTGACGTCATCAAGTGAGCTGCCTTTCCAAATGACCGTTCTCCGTCCTCCTGTACCCGAGTCAGGACTCCCGAGTCCGTCTCCCGAGTCTATTCTTGCGGAAATGCAAGTACGTTCTCGCCGTCTAAGGTATTAAGAAAGGGCCTTAGAGTCTTATGAACTCTCGTTTCTGCAGAGAAGTCCCGCCCCTTTAACAACAGCTGTGTGGAGCGCTTCATTAACTGTGAATGTGCAGGTCAGCCAATCACATTTCGAGTTCACGTTCTCTTGAGTCTCTGAGTAATCAATGTAATGAATAACAAATACAGAAAAGTATACTATCAAATATCATTTAAAAAAATCAGACTTTGCAAAGTGGTTACGGTTCATACATGTTTTGAAAATATTTATACTTTTAAATTCAAAGCTATTTTTTGAAAGAAAGAAATGAACCACACTCAAATAAATATTTATCCATTATACCAATTTGTTTTTACTTTAAAGGGGGAGAACATTTTGTTATCCAAAATAACTTCCCATCCCAGTCTGTCCAGTCGAAACACGCCCGACGATCCTCTAGCGCCTCACTGGTCCACTTGAATTCCCTCACCACAGATTTGTAGAGCTTTAGTTTCTGCCTGTATGCAGGAATCAGATGCATGTATGAATAGGATTTGCAGAGTGCATGATGCTGGAGGAGTGGCGAGCTGAAAAAAGGAGAAGACCATGAATCCTCAGAGTACATTCTGTCCGGTCTGAGTTCTTTTTATTACGCCTACATTGTCCAGGTCTTGTGAACCAATGTTTCGGTTTTCCTGCCAAACAAGTTTTCGTAACAGTGTGTCACCATGTGGATATTCAACGTGTCAATAAAACAGGCGGTTGTGACTTCAAATCAAGTCACATCAGGCTACATGTGATCATGGGCTTATGTGTAGTGCTCAAATCAGAGGTGGGTAAACTATAAATTTTGTGCTCAAATAGACCTCAAAGCGATGCAACGATATGCAAAGCAACCCAACACAAAGCATTGCGACTCTGTAAGGCTGCCCTGGCTATATTCCATTATGTTATCAGTTAAAGTAATTTACGATCAATGACCATTAGGACCAAGGACCTCTATTAGGACCCTGGGCCTCTCTATTAGGACCCTGGGCCTCTCTGGAAAAGAGGCCCAGGGTGTTACAGCTGAACCGTGTAATGTAAAAAAAGCCACCCGGCATGTTAACACTTCCCCTGATCCTAATCATTAAGAGAAAGCTCCAAAACTAATGAATCCATTCCGAGCAGGCGGGTTGATCCACAACGTGTGTGTGTTTACATCCTGATTGGTGTTGCCGCCGCAGCCGCAAGGCGCTGATTGGAGGCTCACAGACAAGACAGCACAGATGAAAATGATTCAGACTACAACGTTTATATATTCAACAATATGAATCGTAGTCTTAGGTGTGTAAACGCCACTTCGAGGAGCGTAAACGCTATTTAAAGGTGCCTAAATGCTATTTCCAAAATTCCAGAGATGCGTAAACTGCGTTTACGTGCATTTACCCTCCACTACAGCCCTGCTTATGTGTATCATTATTCTTGCTATGCATTTTAAACTGTGTGTAAAACCTGAGGATTCAAATGACATCTTTACTCATTAATCACACAAGTGAAACAAATGAAGCTTAGGCAAAAATTCAGTCAGCAAGACTGGACGGGCTGTGCCGTTTCCTGGTGGCCTCTTCCCTCCCTGGGGGTGCACGGCCAGTTGATTAGGGGCGGGGTCGGGTATTATCACCGTGGGTGTCGTTACCGTAAACCAATCACATAGGTGCAGGCAAACGTTAAAAACCTCTCTTTTGCTGTCAGTTGTCATTTCCGCACGCTCCAAAGGTGACACGCCACCACCCCTGACACCTCCAATCTACAGCAGAACCTGGCATAGCAGGAGAGTTATGCAACTCGGGCTCTACCACCACCACCAGTGTCTGGACTCCCAAAGGGGGGGATGTGCCTCGTCTCGGCTCGAGATCCTGGCCCCTGGTCTATTCTGTGGCAGGATGGAGTCCAAGCCCCAAACAACTTGCAATATCATATTATGCCTATTATAATAAAGCATTGTTCAAATTTCAACAAGTCTCTCCGGATTTAAACGTATTTACTGTCCTAATGGAAGAAAAAAAGCACTCGACTGTAATCCACTTTATTTACAGCTTTGCATGATTCACACTGCTTTGTTTATCTCACGAGACATGTGTGTGAAGAAAAAATAGAGACCGACATTCCAGACAGTCATAGATATGTGGCTTAGGATAAGGATTTGACTTAATTCAAACTTTTGTTATACTTGTTCATGTATTTGCACTTGTTTTACTCATTAAGTATGAATTAAATAAATAGCAATGGTAGTTACATAGAAATGGAAAGATTTGCTCTGCTGATGTCAAAGGATTAAGTTGTGTTGAAATCCGAGTCATCATATCTAAAACAGGGAAATTACGTCATTGTGTTCTATACATGTACTGTACCATGAAAAATGAACAACTGTATATGTGCCACTATTATGTTTTAATTAAATAATGCTCTATGCAAATGGTAGCAAAAACCAGCGCCCGGTCTAATTTATTTGATAAGTGACACTTTACTCCTTTGTTGAATCTATTCAAATGACTTGATACCACAGGGGGTACACGGTAAAACCTAAAAACATTTCTCCCATCATGGTCTTCAAGAGGCCACCTTCACCAAGAAGAAATATAAAAATCTACTAGTACTGCAATATGTTTATGGAACTAATCTTTTTTCTTGAAAGTGGATGGTTATACGTATACTGTGTGTGCACTTCATCCTGTTTGCTGCAGTGTAAACATCCCTGCTTTGGGACTCAAAGGAACATCTAATCTTACATTGATCCAAAGTTTATTTGATCGGGAAGCACTAGCTGTGAGAACAGTCAAACCTTGTCCTCACACAATCAAATGTTATCTATTAGGCAGTGAGAGAAATCCCGAACATCATCTTCATTATCTTCATGTAACAACAATTTTAAACCTGAAAACCCTCCCATTGGGTCTCCTCATGCCAAAAATCGATGACAATCTGAAGGTCAACCTCCCAAAGAAGTCATTAGCATTGCGTTCCCCTCTCCTTTGGGATCTATTGCTCATCAGCGAGTAATTGAGCTAAAGAGGCACGTAGACAATTGTTAACCCAGCCTCTTGTGCCACCGTATTCCAAGTCAATAACAGTTGAACTTAGGTGCTTTAGTTAGACGTGTGCCCTGACAGCAGAACAGATGTCTGTGTACTTTTGCTCCAGTACCAGCACTTTTTTAGGGGCTGTTGTTCTCCTGCTCGTCCTCTATCTGATATCCAACAGTTTGACCCGCCGGGAACTCAGGAAGGTGCCTCCTGGTCCCAGTCCTCTACCGCTGCTTGGCAACCTTCTGCAGCTCGATCTCAAGAGACCTTACGTCACCCTGTGTGAGGTGAGTCTTCATGCAAAACAAATCCATTTTGATCTTTATTGGACAATCTTTTTGCCTAAATGTGTGTTTTTCTTTCAGCTTTCAAAGAAGCATGGGTCCGTGTTTACGGTCTACCTTGGAACCAGCAGAGTGGTGGTCCTGGCGGGATACAAAGCAGTCAAAGAAGCTCTGGTGAACCACAGAGAAGAGTTTGGAGACAGAGATATCTCCCCTATCTTCTATGATTTGAATCACGGCCATGGTATGATTTACCCTTAAATACTCTTTAATACATAACGTATTTACTTTGTAGCACAGAACCAAATAATATAGTGATAGTGTCAATAAGTGCTTACTTTTCTACTTGGTTTTATTTAGGCGTGTCACTGATGAGCGCTGTATGTATGACATCCAATTGACTAGTACGGTTTAAAAGACACTTGCATTTCATCCTCAAAAGGAATTCTGTTTGCTAACGGAGAATCCTGGAAAGAGATGCGCCGTTTTGCCCTCACCAACCTCAGAGACTTTGGAATGGGAAAACAACTCTCAGAGCATAAAATCTTGGAAGAATGCCAGTACCTGATGGAAGTGTTTGAAAAGCACCAAGGTACGGAGTTTATATATACAGGTGTAACTGCAGGACATAGTTTTAAGATATACACAAATAAGAGAAGGTCACATCTTAATTGTGAGTGACAATTCCTCCACAGAGTTTGTCATTTTGAGTATTCGGCACACCTTTAATACCCAGAAATGTTACTCTGTGCTGGAATCATCCCCCACTTTTTAGTTGTTTTTGTACCCTTCAATGCAAGTCATACAGAAGTTTCCTATAATAGAACAAAACAACACTTTACCTTTTGCTTAATAATTCCCTTTTTTGTCTCTGTCATTTCACAGGGAAACCATTTGATACAGCAAGCCCGGTAAATTATGCCACATCCAACATAATCTCTGCTATCGTGTACGGCAGCAGGTTCGAATACAACAATCCCCAATTCATGAGCATGGTGGAGAGATCCAATGAAATCATAAGTGTTGTGGGCTCCGCACAAATCCAGGTGAACTTCATATTGGCTTTGGAAATGGCTGCAGTATTAAGGGCACACTATGGCAGTGGTAGCCGTCAAAGGTTGTGCTGAATGGTAAACGGCACCAGTTTGTTATAGCAACAAGGAAAGGCAGTTTTATTTGTAACAACAAGGCAATTCAAGGTGCTTCACGTAAAAACATTAGAAACAAACAAACTTTGGGGGGGGATTGTGGGAGAGAAAGTGGGCCGTGGAGTGAGTTTGCTTCCAACTACGACCGATTCTTTCATGCAGTCAGTGAAGAGGGATGGGGAAGAGGTGGGACGAGGGGGGCGAGTGTGTGATGGAGTTTGAAGGGTGGAAGTCCCAAAAAGATTGTTGGTAAAACGTGTAAAGTAGTCATGTAGACCTCTATACTCCAACAGAACAGAGTGCTGTTTGAATCATTTGTGTCTTTACATGGTGGGAAGTCGCATTAACTTTGGGCTTTGAAGTGACAGTGTTTATTAAGTGCAGTCAGATTTAAAATAATAAATTTAAACTGATCAAAAGTGTGTTTAAATGCTAGTTTATGATTACATATATTGTGCGTAATTAGGCACATATAAAACATCTTGCTGTTAAATTTGTTTTCATTAGCAAATCAACTCTACTTGGGTTGTTGTTTGCTTTACATCGTCTTCACTAATCTTTCCTGCCTTCACTGTTACGTCACAGCTTTACAACATGTTTCCCAGGCTGGTCAGTTGGACAAAAAAACGGCAGCTTTTATTAAATAATCTGACGAGGACTGTCAGAGATGTCAAAGAACTAATCTTGCATCTGAAAGACACACTGCACCCTCAGTTCTGCAGAGGCCTCGTGGACTGTTTTCTCATCCAGATGCAGAAGGACGAAGTAAGACAGTTTTTTTTGTTTTGCAGTTTTCATTCATCCAAAAGAGCTAATGTCCTGCATAGGTAATGATATGTGGATGTTCTTTCTCTTAGGAGGCTTGTGTTAAGGACACTCACTACAATGAGAAGAACTTGATATTTACAGTGACCAACCTGTTTTCAGCTGGCACTGATACCACAGCGACTACTCTGAGATGGAGTTTGCTGCTCATGGCTAAATATCCACATATTCAAGGTAAAAAGAGGGATGCGTCTTGTTGGTGTGTATTTATGTTTCCACTTGTCAAGCCTACTGGTCAAAGACGAGTTCAAATGAAAAGTCCCATAGCATAAACTTTTTGATGGAAATATAAATAATTCTGAACATGTTCCTATGCAGACATTAGCAGTTACAGGGGAGTAGGCTACATATTCAGAAAGGACTGCGAACTGGTCTAGATGCAGACACATCATTTTTATTTGTTCATGCCCGAGTCCAGACCAGGTCCAGGAGGAGCTGAGCAGGGTGGTGGGAAGCCGTCAGGTCCGAGTAGAGGACAGGAGGAACCTGCCGTACACTGATGCTGTCATCCATGAGACACAGAGACTGGCCAACATTGCTCCCCTTGCCATTCCTCACAAAACCAGCCGAGACGTCACCTTCCAGGGCTTCTTCATCAGTGCGGTGAATTGCTCACATTCATTGTGTTTTGCTGGTAATAATTATAATGGTAATGATACATAATAATATGTTTAAAATCAGAGCGTACAAAGGGATTTGATAGCTGTAATCACTTTATAAGTGAGTTTGATGGCAAGCAAAAGCAGTATAACAACGGAGAGTCCAACAAAAACAAGCACAAACTGAGGTGAACATGTCAAAACCGATAAAATAGTCAAATAAATAAAACAATCAATAAATTAAAAAATAACACTAATGAGTTTCTCAACTTCTTAAAGCTGAAAATGGTTATGATTATCATCATTATGTTACTTTATAAACCTTTCTCTATATCTTTCCCTACAGGGGACCACTGTGTTTCCTCTTCTTACTTCTGTCCATCATGATGAGAGTGAATGGGAAACCCCAAACTCTTTTAACCCTTCCCACTTCCTGGATACGGAGGGTAAATTTACCAAGAGAGACGCCTTCATGCCCTTTTCTGCAGGTACAACTTTGTTGAGATGTTGCTTTTTAATGCCTAAAGATGTATAACAATTCTTAATATGCCTAAAAATCTGCTGTAACTCCTTGTTATCAGGTAGCAGGGCGTGTCCTGGAGAAAGTCTGGCCAGGATGGAGCTGTTCCTGTTCTTCACTTCTCTCCTCCAGCGCTTCCGTTTCACTCCTCCACCTGGAGTTAAAGAGGATGATCTGGATCTGACTCCAGCTGTGGGCTTCACCCGCACCCCTTCACCTCATGAGCTGTGTGCCGTCAGTCGTGAGGGAATTCGAAATGAGTAGATTATTTGATATGTAAATGGAATCATATCGTAGCGTTTGAAAGTTGCACTTTTGTGGTAAATCCCTTCCAAACATTTCCCATAAATATTGTATCAGTCTTCAAGGTCCTTTTGTCAAAGTTGCATCTTTTCTTTTATCTCTGAACACTCCTATGCCGCACCCATGAGGGTAACCGAAAATGTTAAAAAATGGAGCAAAGACTATGAAATTGAGCTAACATCACAATACATTTGCAAAAAGTAAATAAAGAATATGTAATGATGTTTTTTTGTGTCTGTGTTTGCCAACTTGAATGGCGTTTGTGATAGCGTACATAATTACGATAAACAAAAGTGGCAGCGAGGCTCTATATGTGTTTCAAAGAGTACTGAGGCAAACAATTAAGGCTTAAAAAGAGTGAACAGCGTGTAGTGAGAGATAAACGTTTGCCTGTTTTCAGAAAGTCTTCTGTGAATTGCTCCGCGGGTATTTGAAGTGTTTGCGTTATGTGGGTTTAAATACCAGACCACAGTTTGATTTATATCCACGGGCGTTAATTCCCCGGCTCTCGTTTACACCGTTACTGTTCGCATACTTCCTGCTCATGTGTCTTGCGTGTCTATATCCGCAGGTGACGTGGTTACATCATTTTTGCCCTTTTTTTTTAAATTGAACAAAAACAAACCTGTCGTCTTAACTTCAACAAAGATTGATCTGACCAGGATTCAAACCCATTGGGGAAAAACACAAAATTACTAGGCTGTTTAGCAATCTGAACACTGTGCCACAAAGCTGTACTGGCAAATGGTAGTGGGTGTTATTAATATATATTAATGTGGTGGCGGGCATGGTTTGGCTCAGCTGCAGAGAGGACGGAGAAGGGAGTGGCTCGGGGAACGGTGCCAGGGGAAGGCCTCATGTGGGATTAATTTGGATGTGTGTTTTGTTCTTAAGGAGAAATCCGGCGACAGCGAGGAACTCAGCCAGGCGAGGAAGCTGGAGGGGTGTTGTGTGGAAAACGTAAATAAAGATTGTACAGACATGTACAGACCAACGCGTCACAATTAAGTTAAAGCAGTATAGAGGAAACCTTCTGGTGTAGGGGATCTGAAACAACTGGTTTCCTGGGCGCCACATGCTCTGCATAATTGTTGGAATGCATTAAGCAATAAAAGTATTGTTCTTCGAATCTTTATTCCAACATCTTCTCTTTCTTCCATGCAACCTTTCAACTACTTCACACTTTCAGCTATTAAAACCATTCAAATATTAAAACGTTCAGCTCATTCAGAAGAGGGGGGCTATGACTTTTCAGCTTTCTACCTTTTATGCTTGAATTTATATAAATCAATAATCATCAATATTTAACATGGTTTTCAAATGGAGCTTCAATGGTTTTCAAATAGCTGTTATAGTTTTGTGCTAGAGGACACTTGTTTAAAGTGTGGATTCTTGGTAAAATCCGTTTACTCTGCTCGGTCTGTGACCAGAAAACAGCAGCTGCGCCGTCTCCATGACGACCACACAGCCTCGTTGACAGCACTCACTCTTGCTCCCCTACGTAGTCCAGAGCTGCCAACTTTTCAAAAAACCTTGGAGTGAGATTTTGTCGGGGGTGACCTAGGGTTGATAGGGTCGATACTATATACTATACCTGCCAAAATATTACGGTACAAGATACTATTGATACAATACTACAAATAGGATAATGGAATATATTTATCTATAGTAATAAATAAAACATCTGTAAGGTTCCTTTTTTTTTAACTGGTATCTGTTTGACTGTCTGTGGTATGAACAATGCTTTATTTACTTGCATAGTTTGATATTCTCACATTCATATTTCCTTAACTAAAAAAAAAAAAGGATTAGTTGAAGATCCACCCTCAGGCTCCACAAGCATGTAGCTTATTGCATCAAGTGTGTATTATTTGGTACAATTTTGTGTGCATTCTGACCTCATGATCATATAGGCCCACATGAGTGAAATTGTAGGTTATTTTGCATTTCTATATTTCTGCTGGACTATTCAGGAACTTATTTGAGGTCTTGCTTTGTCTTGTGTTGTTGATGATGTTTGACTGTGTTAGGAACGTTGTTGTCAAGCTACCCAACAAAGCTACAGGGCTGCCAACTCTCACGGTTTCCCCGTGTGACACGCGTGTTTCCATGTTTTCACACACTCACGCCACACATCCAATTTATTAGGCAAAAAACAACAACTGTGCTGGTTCATCTAAACGGCGCATCTATAACTAAAAAATGTGTCCGGGTAAAACAGGACGTCTGGTCACCCGAGCATTCTGGTGGTTTGTAGGGCCCAAAGTCGTTGATAAGGGCAGCCTACTGGAGATGGACAACATTGGTTACATTCTGTGAAGCAAAGACATAGCTGATGGTCCACCCCCAGGACATTTTGGTTTAAGTAGATGTTATTTCATGCATTCTAGTGTATTTTTGGGTGGTATGTCTGAACTTATTCTGATTCATGTTCATCTGCTCATGACTTGTGGGGCCTTCTAGACTTGAGCTGAACATTCAACCAGAAAACTATTGTTTTGCCTCAATGACTGTCTATGTACCACAATATAGCCTAAAAATAGATCTGTGTTTAATGGTCATGTGTCGTTCGTGAACGATTCGTTCTTTTTGAACGAATCCTTACAAGGACTCGAGAGTCCTCTCAAAAAAAAAGACTCGTTAATTTTACTGAACGGTTGGTAATATCTTACCGACCGGTTAATACTACCGGTATTTCTACTGCTATTAATACTTTAACAACTACTATTTTTACTACTACAACTAGTGGTACTAAAATGCTACTATTATTATCACTACTACTACTAGTATTTATACTGCTATTAAAATGACTAGTAGTACTAAAATACTACTTCTTCTAGTAGTGACTCTGCAACTGACACTACTAGGAAAAAGTACTACTAGTATTTCTACTGGTATCAATACTACAATTACTACTAATGTTACTACAAATACTACTGTGACTAATAGTATTTGTATTACAGCTTTTTCTGCTGCTATTGATACTAAACCTAATATTACTACTTCTACTGCTAGTACTACGAATACCACAATTACATCTTTAACTAATACTACTACTAATATTACTACAAACAATTTAAAACCTCTTTTTATTCATCTCAGCTTTTGTTATTCCAGTATTTTTTTAAATTAATTTAAGCTCCTACAACTTCTGTATTTTTTTAGAAAATCTACTACAATTTAGCTTCTCCCATTTCTGCATTTTCAGCAGTTCTTTAAAATAATTTCAGTAATTTTTCAAATTCATTTCAGCAGTTTTCATTTCTGCTTTTTCATCAAATCTATTTTAATTCCTTTCAGCTTCTCCCATTTCTGTATTTTCAGCAATTTCAAATTAATTTAAGCTTTTCTAATATCTGTAATTTCAGCAAATGTATTAAAATTCCCTTCAACTTTCTGTAATTTCAGCAATATTCTGAAGTTCGTTTCAGCTTTCAGCTTTTAGCATTCCAACACATTTTCAGCAGGAAATGCATTTTCTAATTTGGACTTGCAAGTTTAATTCATTGCAGTGACATCTAAATGCATGTGACAAAATATTAATATTATTAAGAATACAATATAATATTATAGGAAAAAACTAAATACAAAAGACAAACCTGAGGCCATACATTTGGAAGTGTTCTAATACATGTCCAGGTTACCAGTCCATACTGATCTGCGTCAACGTAATGGATAAATTATGCCAAGGGTAATGTATTATAGATTTTCGACAGCCCACTAGATGGCCAGGCACTTTTGTTTACTGTGCTGTACCTGGCCTCCCTCTCGGACAGCTTCCTACTAATGTACACCACGGGGCGGTCCACCCCCCCCCACCTCCTGGGACAAAACGGCCCCCAGACACCTGTTTGACGCGTCGGTCTGCAGAATAAAGGGCAGAGAGAAGTTAGGAGTATGAAGGCGCTGTTCCCCACAGAGAGCCTGCTTTACCTTCTCAAACACCTGCTAGCACTGCTCCGACCACTGGACCAGATCTGATGGACCTTTCCGGGGTCAGGTCGGTCAAGGGGTTAGTCAGGTCCGCGAAGCCGGGGGTGACCCGCCTGTGGGCGCACCTGCCCGCCCCCCATGTGGTACCCCAAATACCGTACCTCCTGCCAAACAAAAGTTCAAAGGGAGAAAATCCCGTGGAGGCCTGGGGGACCTCCTGCACTGCAAACAACAGAGGGTCAAGCCAGTGATGCCAATTACGTTCATCGTCGCTAATAAATTTACGGATCATGGACTTCAGAGTCTTATTCATGCGTTCCACCAGCCCGTCCGTCTGTGGGTGATATGCGCTAGTACGAATGGACTTAATGCCCAGTAACCCGTAAAGTTCTCTTAGTGTGAGCGACATGAACGAGGTGCCCTGGTCAGTTAGAATCTCCTTAGGGATTCCAACTCGGGAGATGACCTGAAACAGAGCCTGCGCAACGCTCTTTGCAGAGATATTGTGCAACGGCACTGCCTGCGGATAACGCGTTGCGCAATCCACGAGAACTAACACAAAGCGATATCCGCGTGCGCTCCGGTGAAACGGCCCGATGAGGTCCTGGATGCCTGGCCAATAAAATCGGGTCATTATCCGGTCTAGCGTTTTCTTTTATCTCATGTGACCAGCCATTTGGTTATAGTAAGCCGCCTGGAAGATCATTTCCCGGCGGCTTTTTGGCACGAGCAACTGAGTGTTTTCCCAGTATCTTACGGTATGTAGCCTCATTGATCACAATATTGTATACATATAATACTATGAGGTTAATTACTATTAATGTAGAGACACAGAAGAGATTCAAGTACACTGAGATTCAACGCCACTGACGCAAAATCTCGGATGAAGCGCCAATAGTATGACCCCAGGCCCAGGAAACTTCTCAACTCACTGACCTTAGCTGGGGTTGGCCAGTCCTTTACTGCAGTCACCTTTGCTGGGTCTGTAGCTACACCACAAGCACTGACAATGTGGCCCAGGAAAGCTCTTTCCCTTGTTAGCAGTCGGCACTTCGCAGGGTTGAGTCGCAACCGGGCATGGCGGATGGGGGTGAGAACTTCTTGAAGGTTGATAAGGGCTCTGTTGAAGGCATTGGCATGTACCAGCAGGTTGTCAAGGTATACAACGCAATGATTCCGGGGAATGCCCGCCAGCACCCTTTCCATCAGCCGCTCAAACATAGCTGGCGCGTTGCAGAGTCCAAATGACATGACGCGGAATTGCCACGGCCCTTGCCCCATGGTGAAGGCG